CAAATTTGAAGGAACCGCCGGTATCTTTTCTCCTCCCATATCGTGTTAAAAGTGGTCCCAACATGTGCATTGCCACGGCATTATCCCAAGAAAACTCGTCATAAAAGAAGGAGCTCCCAAGCACCACGATGATCAGGTCATCCTCGCCAAATCCTTTAATCTCCCTCAGTTTTTGTTTCGTGTGGGTTTCACTGTAGCTTTCAGCAGCCCAAACATCGACTACTGATTCCGGAATCACAATGAAGTTCCCATCATCAAGCACGCTATGCAGCATCTGAACAAATTATACGATCTTAGGTAAAATACAAAGCAGACACTTTGGTACACTCGAAGTGGTAACATAGGCTTATGACAAACAGGAATATACCGGCAGAGTAAACTGTGGAAAGACAACTACATTTGCTCTCGCAAAAGCACTTCTCCAGTGGGAGATTAGAGAATTTTGGTCCATCTTTTGATAAACAGGCAACCGATTTGCAAGAACATCTTCATGAACTATCCATATAAGTGGTACTGAACGAAAAGGCTCCTGCATAAGGCTGCATAAATATGAACGTTTATCATCATAGAATGTCAAACACAGATGTAATTATCAAAATTCTGAGAAGCCGAACAGCCTGTTGATTTTTCACATCTTAGGCAGCAACAGCCAGTATAAGTACGCAGTACAGAGGTCGATCTGATAGCAGGCAACTAAAGAGCTTAATTTTACCCACCTTGAAATAGCTTCTTTTGCTTCAAGCGAACCAGCAATAATACCTTCAAAACTGCAGAAGATGAATCACTGTAATTTAATCCAGGTGGAGTGGGGAAACAAAATATATTTAATAGAGTATTCAAGAATCATTTGCCAAGAAATCTGATTTGAAAATATGGCCAAGAAAACAACAAAAAAACTTTCAAAGAACTGGTAGGACACATACATTGTCCAATCAGTGCGCCCCAACTGATCTGAAACCAACACTTTAACGTGGCCAGCTAACTGTTCCCACAATGAACGTGCTTCACCATTCTCAACGGCAAAAACCTGACAACTTTTAAGGTCACAAGCTTTTCTAAGAGAGGCGGTAAATAACACACATCTACGCTTGTATCCACACTTCATTGCATATTTACAGTGCATTAACAAATTAGAGCATCCATTCTGCTTATACCATAAATAGGAGAAATAAAAATCTTCAACATCAACGTTAGAGCTGCAAACATAAAATGCCATAAAGTTTCACCTTAAACACGTAACCCAGTTTTTGAAGATTCTTCATCACTGTGACCAACATTAGCGTTCGGGCATCTTTCTTCATATTGCCTAGTATCTGGCAATCATAATATACAAAAGAGGTGAGTGAATAGAAAGCGCATGGAGACGGACGAATAAAAAGCATTATGTGAGATCGATCACAGAAAATAAAACAGTGTATATAGATTCCAAAGCTAATCTACAAATGCCTTCAGTGGGACTGAAACCAGTGATTAACAATGCAAATAATTTCAAAGTAACGGTGAAAACGCCAGTGGAAAGTTCAAGCATGTGCCAGCAGACTCCTTGACGCATCTACAAAGTAATTTAATTTTAAATCCATACCCCCAAGGTGCAGCATCTAACTGAAACACATGGCATTTGCCCATGAGCCTGTATATGTCTAGTCAGGGCGTTTAGGAAAGCTAACTACTGTTATTGCTCCACTGGCTCAGACCCGACAAAAAAAAAATTAGACTTGATCCCACAAAGTGCTACTGACGTTTTCAATCTTGCTGGTGGTTATCTACTTTAGCTATGATAAGAAAAGAACATAAACCAGGGTCCACATCAAATCTCTTTAGGAGGAGATCTCTTTCTCAAAGGAATCTTAGCCAAGAGCTTTCCAAATCATAAATTCTAACGGCATTGAGCCAGGACTAATTGGCAGCTCCTCTTCTAAACCTAATGAATAATGTTATTTTTCCAAATCATCCGAACACAAGTGCTAGAAATAGAAACATTTACTAAGTGTACAGTCTCACAGTGTACACTAGCGCTTAAATCACCATTCAGTCGCAATTTAGAAACGCTAGTAAGTGAATCGATTGCAAAAGGCATAGAAGAAAGAAAAAAAAAACTCACGAGAGCCAGCCTTGGGGGACGAACGCCGATCCTGACCGCCGAACGCAAGGGATCAAGCCCTTCTCCTTCAATTAATGTCCTCGAAGTTCTTCCAGGGACGTACTTCAAGGTACTTCCCAATCCAATTAGGCTTCTCCCCTGTCCTCCCTTCACATTCCCTTGCCAGGAAATCGAATTCTGAAGCAACAGCGAGGACATGACGAACGCGCAAACGGTGAACGCGACCAGAAAGTAGAGCAAACAGGTACCACGGGGCTTGAGCAACGAGAGCAAGCCCTTGCGGTTCAGAGATCGGCCAATGTGATGAGGTCGGATACGAAAGGAAGGCCGATCCAAACCGGAGTGAGATCGATCTCGCCTGTCGCTCGAATTCCGCTTAAGACGGAGACGATCCCGGACGGAATGGAAAGATATCTCGCTGTTTCCGGCGACGTTGTTAGCGTTGTGATTCCCGTCTCTTCCGGCGCCGCCATTGTCATCGATCTCGAGCGAGAGAGAGTTTCTCCCCATAGAGAAGAAGAGACAAAGCTGCTTCACTGGTTTTCGATACGAAGCTCTCTCTCTGTTTCAGGTGCCACAAAGCTTCACCATGAGAGAGAGAGAGAGAGAGAGAGAGAGAGAGTGTGAGAGAGATTCAGATTGATAATTTGATTTGCGTACTTTTGAGTTGCGAATCTGTTTAAGAGGAGACACTGGTGGAGAATGAACAATTTTTGTCAAACTTCTCGACTTTTTAAAGTTTTTTTAATATTAAAAATTAATTTTTCTGTCTGTGATTTCAAATGTATTTTTTTAATCATTAAATTATTTTGTTAGGTCGGTGACAAAACAATTGTTTCATCAAAAGATCAGATTTCACGCGTTTATCAGAGAGTCCAACTTGCTTTTTGAGCAGTAATTGTCACTGTTTAGTGATAATGAAATCTCTAATCTAACAATGAATGATGCTTGTTTGTAAGAAATTAACAATGAGTGTAAACCGGAGATGCGGTTATGCCAATAAACGGATATGATAAGTAAATTGTACACTTAAATATTTGTTTGCTTTGTATTTGTGTATATAATCTACCAATCACTTTTGATGATAACAAATGTATCAGTGAAAATATGTACACTCAATCATATTGCTTTGTAATAAAAAAACAATTGTCCATATATTATAAAAGATGTAATTTAAATTTTTTTTTAAGTTTCAGTGTCAAGGTTGGAAAAAAAAATGAGATCGTAAGCCAAAAAAAAACTAAAAATGCATGAACGAATCTGATTTATTTTGTTTAGTTTAGTTGTTGTCTATCGTAACCACTTTCATTTACCTTTTAACAATAACATGCATTTACTCTTTGATCATACATTATTAAAAATGGTTATACTAGACACGCTTTAATCTTTATACAATCTTTTGGCATAGCATTATACGCTCTAATGGTTTTTAACTGGTAATACACTAATATGTACAGTATCATAATAAAATGAGTATTAAATCGCGTGCGTCGATCTTCTAGCGTGTCGATGGAGTACGAAACAATCAAAATTAAATAAAACATGAAATTACTACTATTTGTCAAATGATTACGAAGTTACTACTCAAATACATATAAAAGTGTTTCTATATTTTGTATCACCAATGTATAACGCAAGTTAAAGTTGATTAGATTCAATCTGTATCCTGCAAATGTATTCAATGCAGCAGAATCTATTTTTGTCTTTAATGCGGCATATGGTACATCCGTCTTTCTTTGAAACTCAGTATGGAAGAAAAATTAATTACCATAAGTAAACAAATGATATTTAATTAATAAGAAACACAAAACATGCGTAGATAAGGACAATTTAATTGAATCGGATTAGACGTAAATGTTGTTCCCATGTCTTTTCATCAAACGTTTAAATGGAAGTTGTTAACTCATGCATCCTCATCGACACACTTCGTTCTCCATATACCTTTGTCAATCGTTTTTATGTATTGGGGTCCATGAGACCATGACAGAGAGCTCTCACGTATAATCACATGATGATTTATACTATTTCCTCTTTTTTGTCTTTGTGTTTTCTAATTAATTCCTTAGATATTATTTACCTACATTCGAGATATTTATAGAGAAATGTGCAGTGTTTTCATATTCATATTCAGATCCAATTCTTATGTTCATTGCAAATTGCGCGGTGTGTGGCATTGATCATGAGTTCCGTTTTTTAGTAGTCTTGTATGCTAATGTTCATTTTATGCTTACGTATTTACCATTGTGGATTTGTGCATGATTATGTTTTGTATTGTTCATTATTTTATTTATTCCAGTATCGTTTGAACTTGTCGTTCAAACATAGTCAAATTTTCACCCAGATGTTGGTAGGCATTCAATCAGAAATCTACACCAAAGCCTATGAAGTATCTCATCATAAGTAGTTAAGTACATAGTCTTGTTTTTTTTTAGAAAAAAGAAGTGAAGCCAAATTATGCTTAACTTTTTCAAAATTTTCGAATATCTAGACAGATTGATTCAGCTCTTGTCTTGGGTCGGGTAATCTTTTCGGACAAGGAAAACTTTTTATCTAAAAAGTAAAAAGCATATTCACCCGTTGTCCAAAAATAAATAAATAAATAAAATTCACCATAATAATTTTGGTCGGATTTTATAATAGGCCCAAAAATCTGGCACCAAAAATAAAATAAAACACACCCCTTAATAGGCCATGCCCATTGGCTATTACCGTCACTAGGTTAGTACAATGTCCCAACTATATGCAGAAAGAAAAACGAGAAAGTGTATGTAAGTCAGATTTTGGATTCTCATTGATCAATCAGAAAGTGACACCTCACTGATAACGTTTTTTTTTTTTTTTTGCTAACCAACCCCCAAAAAATAAAATAAAGATAATAGACGAAAAACAATTATTTCTTCATCATCATATTCGGTATCTCAAAAGTTCTCCTCCCAACTCAGAGCTCCGCTTTGCTTCTGCCGTCGAGGCGGTTTTAAATGGCGGCAGCTTTACCTCTATCTCCGATTAGCCATCAGTTATGCCGGAGCAGCTTCAGGTTCTTGAACAACGCTACGACTCCCCGGTTCTGTTCTCCGGTTTTCTCGGTTTCTCCAAGTCTCATCGGCGTAACCGGAATCGGCTCGGCGAGTCAGTTACGCGCTCGCCACCGTCTGATCTATTCCGCAGCTGCGACGGATTGGTTCTTGCATGACGTCGGAGCCACCGTGGCAGTTGTCGGTGGAGCCTACGCGCTCGTCTTTAGCTTCGAGAGTCTCACCAAGCGAAACGTTATTCCACAGGTCCGTTCAAACTATGCACTCTCTGATGTTCTATTTATTTATGTTATTTACTACTGCTGTTGTAGCTTCGTTGAACACATCCATATGAATATATAATTCCTATGTTAGCTCTGTATTTCTGTAAATGAAGACTATATAGATACTCACACTTGATAAATTGCGGTTCTTTGTGTTAAGAAAGTAAGAACAAGAAGAAACAATAATGGACTCTGATTCTCTGATTAATTAATTGTTTCTGATCATGAACAGAATCTGAGCAGAAAGCTTGTGCATATACTCTCAGGTCTGCTTTTCGTAATCTCGTGGCCGATCTTCAGGTATTACTTTCTCTGTACGTATGTTGATTTCTTGCAATATTTTTTCTCTGCCTTCAGCAATTTTTTAATTGCTATTTGCCCTTAATCGTCTTTTAAGTTTAGCGCATCGACGGAGGCTCGATACTTTGCTGCTTTTGTTCCATTAGTGAATGGCTTAAGGCTTGTTGTCAACGGATTATCCGTCTCCCCAAATTCCACGCTAATCAAATCCGTCACTAGAGAAGGAAGACCAGAGTAAGCTTTGTGTTTTCTTGCTTTCTTTTTCTCCATCTATCTGATGAGTTTCTACTATATTCTGATGACACATTTCTTGTTTTCTTCCGACCATACCTAGGGAGTTGCTTAAAGGTCCTCTGTTCTACGTTATAGCCCTTCTCGTCTCTGTGGTTTTCTTCTGGAGAGACTCTCCTACCGGTATGATTTCGTTGGCAATGATGTGCGGTGGCGATGGTAATTTTTCTTTTATCAGTCAATTTCCTTTTCTTTTTCAACATTGGAGTTATAACCACTGAAAACAAAAAGTGATTGTTATACATTTGTTTGTGGTTTGATATATAATATGTAGTGGACTAGTGGAAATAGGTTAGTGATCTGTTGTGTCTAAGATTACATGATAACTAGGGTTTTGTTGCGTTGATTTCCAACTACCTGCATTAGTTAGGACATTGTTGATTATCTGCAAATATCAAATCCTGTGTCTTTTATGATCGTTGATTCCATGATCTAATATCACTGACAAGGGAAAATAAACTCTCTATAACCTTTTATTAGTCAAAACAATTCTCCCTCTCTCACCTAAATCATAGTTCAAATTTACACTTGAAAGTGTCGAGATACTCAAAATTTGAACCTAGTTGTTTTTTTTGGTGTCAACTAGCTATGTTATTAAATAAATAAAATACAAATTGAGATATTAAACCTAGCGCTGCATATACAGGAATAGCTGATATCATGGGACGTAAGTTTGGGTCAGAAAAGATACCTTACAACCCAAGAAAGAGCTGGGCGGGAAGCATCTCCATGTTCATCTTCGGCTTCTTCATCTCCATCGGGTAAACCCCACGATTAATCATTAAACAATTCGTTTTCTTGATGAACAACTCTTAAACATTGAGAGAGATATATTGCAACTAAACCCAAATTAATTACTTTCTTTCTCTTTTGTAATTTTATAGATTACTTTACTATTACTCAAGCCTTGGATACCTTCACATGAACTGGGAAACGACCTTTACGAGAGTCGCGATCGTCTCACTGGTCGCCACAGTGGTCGAGTCTCTACCCATCACCGATCAATTAGACGACAACGTTTCGGTTCCTTTGGCTACTATTTTAGCTGCTTATATAAGTTTCGGATACTAAATTCAGCCGAAATGTATATATTTTTATGAATCCGACCTAGTTATGTATCCAAGAATATGCTAGCTGTATATATTTTACTTCTGCGAAACTTACATTACGGCTCAAAGATTCATAATTAGTTAATTACCCCTGGTTTCGGGTTAGCAGGAGTGTTCGATCGATACATAGAAAACAAAATGGATCACAAAAGACTTTAGGACATTAGTATGATGTTTTGAAAGGATAGGGACTTTTAGAAACTATTGGGGTAATATGAATTTTCAGAGAATATTGGGGTATTTGAGACTTTTAAGAAACTATAGGGCTATCAAAGTATTGTATCAAATTAAGAAAAAGACACCTCTCTTAACAATGACTCTCTGATCGGTTGGCAATTTCTACATGTTGACCATTTACGATATTTTTGGAATGTTTTCCTAATTAGTGGACACTATTTTTGTAAAAGATTTTCCTTAAAAGACAGACAATGCATATACATTATTAGGGAACTTCGTCCAAAAATGTTCAAATGTGCAATAGAAAAAAACTTTTCAAATGTGCATGAATTCTAGAACGCACAACTGATGCATCATTGTGCAAAGGAATCTATGACTTGTAACTATTTTTGTTATTACCTTAATAATTGATTATAATTAATTCGAATCCATAATTTCAGTTTCTTCCTAAAATAGATTTTAATATACAGGGTGGTTGGTCGTACTTCAACTATTAAGACACGATCAAGAGACACTAAAAACAAAGATACTTTACCAAAAGCTATATACATTCAGTTTTTCTGTGTCCATGTTGGAACATAGACTACATAGTAATGTACTACTACTTGGGCTCTGTCTTAAATTTATGTTATCTTGTGTAAAATGTAGGGAAGGAAAAAAAAAATACCATATTAATCACATCTCACATGTCACTATAATTTTCTTCTGAATATGAAAACTTTCATAACATAAATAAAATAATTGGATTAACATCTAGTAGCTATTTCTACTTATAGATCGGATACGAAAACAGGTCACGCCTGTCTATGTCTATTGTCCAACTCTAAGTTAACGACTAAAAGCGCACGTAAAATAAATGCATATCTCATCTCATACTAGTATCCAATGTATTTGTTTGTAATTATTATTCAACTAGTGGCATGTATCAACAACTGTACAACGTAATTTGTAAACGACATGGAGAATTAAACCGGCGAAAAAGACTGACGTCATTCGAAAGCGGCCGGTTCTGGTCACCACGCGTGTAGCGGCGGATTTTATACGTGTCATTCAAGAAGAGCGAGTAGAAAATTTCGACTATACATACTCGCGTGTGAAAGATAATCCAAGGGTATTTTTGTAAACATACGAACATGCCAAGTAACGTTTCCGCTTCTGCATTAACACACTCGTCACCTTTATAATTTCTCTGGAACGGAGATATATACGCGAGAGATATCTCTTTCCTGTAACCTTAAATGGAAAATTCGATTCAAATTGAGTAGAGAATAATAAAAAAAAAATATTTGCATTTTAAGGAATCCAATAAGCAAATTTCGAATTCACTATCAAATTATTAACACCAAACAAAAAAAAAACTCCTCGGCGTTATTTACACGGTTTCGCCGTCGAGGAAGGAAGAAAAATCGGTTTTCGTATTTTCCGATGATGGAAGTTTCCGCCTCCGCAGAAGAGACGACGGAGAGCACCGGAAAACACAGCTGGCAGAAAAACGTCGCTGCTGCTGCTCACAATCACAATCACAATCATAATCATAATCACCACCGTTACAAATATATCTCAAATTACGGTGGCGGAGGAAGCTCCGGGCGGCGTTTTCTGTTCTTCGTTTCCTGCTTTGGGTTTTACGCTTTGGTGGCGGCGACGTACGCGTGGCTCGCGTTTCCACCGCATATCGGCCGTACGGATCATGTATCGTCGTCTTCGCTAGGTTGCAGAGAGGACAATGAGGGTTCCTGGTCCATTGGCGTTTTCTATGGAGATTCTCCCTTTTCTCTCAAACCTATCGAAACCGTGAGTTTCTGAATTTACGCTGCTCGTATCACTCGATTTTTTTTTTTTTTTGATTGAGCGAATTTGTGCATTTTAATTTAGATTAGAAAGGGAATCGTCTCTTTTGCCTTAGCTAGCAGGTAATTGTTTCATCGGTCGTTATCTAGGGTTCATGAATTTCAATCATAACACGACATTGTTTCTGCTGGTTTTTGGGTGATGGAACCAGATCAATGTATGGAGGAACGAGAGTGCAGCATGGCCTGTGGCTAACCCAGTCTTAACTTGTGCCTCCATGACAAATTCTGGTTTTCCAAGCAACTTTGTAGCTGATCCCTTTCTTTATGTACAGGTATGTAAATTCTAGTCCTCTTTGATTCCTTGGTTTGCTTGCTTCATGAATACATGGAGTATAGTAGAAGAAATTCAAATGACATTTTCATGAATAAAAATCGCTATTTAAAGTGGTTTGAGTCTCTAATTTTGCTATCTTATCTTATGGAACAGGGTGATACTCTTTACCTCTTCTTTGAAAATAAAAACCCCATTACATTGCAAGGGGATATAGGAGTTGCAGAGAGTATTGACAAAGGAGCAACTTGGAAACCTCTTGGTATAGCTTTGGATGAGCCTTGGCATTTGTCTTTTCCATTCGTCTTCAATTACAACGGAGAAGTAAGATGTCTACTTCTTACTCATACACATTGATGATAAGAAATATACTTACAAAGAGCGTTATTTAACTTCTTGTTTTTTTTTATCAAAAGATATACATGATGCCGGAGAGTAACCAGATAGGACAGCTTCATCTCTACCGCGCTGTTAACTTCCCATTAAGTTGGAAACTGGAGAAAGTCATATTGCAAAAGCCGCTTGTTGATTCGACCATAATCCATCACCAAGGAAACTATTGGCTATTTGGATCAGATCATAGTAGCTTTGGGACGAAGAAGAATGGTCAGCTTGAAATCTGGCACAGTAGCACTCCTCTTGGCCCATGGAAACCACATAAGAAAAATCCTGTCTACAACGGTAAAAGAAATGTAGGGGCAAGAAACGGAGGCAGAGCGTTTTCACATAATGGGAATATTTACCGTGTTGGTCAAGACTGCGGTGAAAGTTATGGCAAAAAGATACGAATATTTAAAGTAGAGGTTCTTTCTAAGGAAGAGTACAGAGAAGTCGAAGTCCCCTTCGATTTGGAAATGTCCCATAAAGGTAAAAATTCGTGGAACGGAGTTAGGCAGCATCATTTCGATGTACGTCAGCTAAGTTCTGGTGAATACATTGGTTTTGTTGATGGTGACCGTGTAACTTCAGGCGATCTGTTTCATCGGGTTTTTCTCGGTTACGCCTCTCTTGCAGCTGCTATTTCCGCTGTTGTGTTACTCGGGTTTTTGCTTGGTGTAGTGAACTGCATTGTTCCATCAACATGGTGCATGAACTACTATGCGGAAAAAAGAACCGATTCGCTCTTGAATTTGGAAAGTGCCGGTTTGTTCTCGGAAAAGTTAAGACGAATTTGTTCTCGGTTGAACCGAGTACCACCTTTCCTCAGAGGACTCGTGAAGCCTAACTCCTCCTTGGGAAGGTTAACGCTTGGTTTAGTAGTCCTAGTAGGAGTTTTGCTAGCATGCGTAGGTATCAGATACATATACGGTGGAAGCGGAGCGGTTGAGCCTTACCCGTTCAAAGGTCACTTATCTCAGTTTACGTTAGCAACTATGACTTACGACGCTCGTCTCTGGAACCTGAAAATGTACGTTAAGCATTACTCTCGATGTCCTTCTGTGAAAGAGATCCTCGTCATATGGAACAAAGGACCGCCTCCTGAACTGACTGATCTAGACTCGGCCGTGCCAGTCAGAATCCGAGTCGAGAAGCAGAACTCTCTAAACAACAGGTTTAATGTTGATCCGCTGATAAAAACCCGCGCCGTTCTTGAGCTTGACGACGATATAATGATGTCTTGTGATGTCATCGAAAAGGGTTTTAGAGTTTGGCGGGAGCATCCGGAGAGATTGGTCGGGTTTTACCCGCGTTTCGTTGATCGAACCATGACTTATAGTGCGGAGAAATTTGCGAGAAGTCACAACGGATACAATATGATTCTGACCGGAGCAGCGTTTATGGACGCCGGTTTCGCGTTTGATATGTATCAGTCGGATAAGGCGAAACTTGGTCGGGAATTTGTGGACGAGCAGTTTAATTGTGAAGACGTTTTGTTGAATTTCTTGTACGCGAATGCGAGTGGATCTGGAAAGGCTGTGGAGTATGTGAGACCGTCTTGGGCTGTTGACACTTCGAAACTTTCCGGTGTAGCGATTAGTGGAAACACGAATCAACATTACAGAAAGAGAAGTAAGTGTCTCCGGAGATTCTCCGATTTGTACGGAAGTTTATCTGATCGGAGATGGGAATTCGGTGGTAGAAAAGATGGGTGGGATTTGTAGAAAAAAAAAGGAGTTTTACTTGTAGGGCAAGTAAGTAGTTCTTCAAAAGATGATTGTGGCTTTTAAAAATATAAGTTAGAGCCCCTTTGTGTTGATTTATTAGATTCGCAATGTAACTTTAGCCTCTCTTTTTCATATCGTGTTAGATGTTTAACTTTTGAACCTGTTGTCGGTGAATGAACAGGGCTTCTCTGATCTTATTCGATCATTTGTTGTTTTATTTCATATTTAATGAATTCTATCTTCTTCTTTATTTTAAAAAAAAACAACACCGACTATAAGATTAGGAAAAGGAAAACTGACTGGACCCAAAAAAGAAAAGAAAAAAAGGAAACTCTAATATCATATACTCCAAAAAGGAAATACAAGCCTATACCTCTCTGTATAAAAGCAAGACACACAAACACCAAAACTCTCATCCTTTTGTCAAACAATGTCGACAACTACCAAAGCCTTATCGCTTCTTCTTGTTCTTGTTCTTCTACTCTTCGTGTCCCTTGCTCACGCCACGACGGATCCATGTCCCATCAACTCCATCTACCAATTCGGAGACTCCATAGCCGACACCGGAAACCTAATCCGCAACGGTCCCGTCGGAGCCAGATCCCACGCCGCCAGTTTCCCATACGGTCAAACATACTTCCACCGAGCCACGGGTCGTTGCTCCAACGGTCAGCCCATGATCGATTACTTGGCACGCAGGCTTCGTCTCCCACTCCTAAACCCTTACCTCCTCAAGGGCAACACAAACCCTTCTTCTTTCAAGAACGGCGTTAACTTCGCCGTCGCCGGAAGCACAGCACTCAACAGCTCCTTCTTCGCCGCGAGGAACCTCCACGTTCCGGCAACAAACACCCCTCTCTCCACTCAGCTCGCTTGGTTCAAGTCTCATCTACGTTCCACGTGTCACGGCTCTTCTTCTTCGGATTGCTTGAAGCAATCTCTTTTCATGGTCGGTGAGATCGGAGGCAACGACTACAACTACGGTTTCTTCCAAGGAAAATCCATGGAAGAAATCAGAAGCTACATCCCTCACGTGGTTGGAGCCATCGCAGCCGCGGCTAGAGACGTGATCCGAGCCGGTGCGGTTAACGTGGTCATCCCGGGAAACTTTCCGGTTGGATGTTTTCCGATTTACTTGACGTCTTTTCCCGTGAAGGATCCAAAAGCATACGACGACAAAGGTTGCTTGAAGCATCTCAACGAGTTCGCAATGGATCACAACAACCAACTCCAAGAGGCTATAGCTTCTTTAAAGAAAGAGTTTCCGGATGTGGTTATAGTCTACGGAGATTACTACAAGGCGTTTCAGTCCGTTCTACGAAGCAGCAAATCTGCGGGATTCGACAAGAGTGTAGCCTTGAAATCTTGCTGTGGGATCGGAGGAGCTTACAACTACGACGGAAAGAGACAGTGCGGAGCAGCGGGAGTGCCGGTGTGTCAGAATCCGGACAAGTTCATAAGTTGGGACGGAGTGCACTTGACACAGAAGGCTTATCGATTCATGTCTAAGTTCTTGAACAACATCATTCTTTCACAGATCAAGTGTCTTAGCTAGAGCTTAACGAAGGAAGAGTGTCTTTTCTAGGCTCTTTCTAGTTTTGATAATTTGTATTTTGTTTCAGTTGATTGACAATGACTAGTTTCTTTTGGGTACATAACTATTTTATACACAAAAAAACATATGTGTGTAACAAAAATAGAACAATTATTCTCATATTTAATGTCCAAGTTTCTTTCACTATACTTTCACACATCGAGTGTTGTCTAGCCTCTACTTAGTTTTATTTATGTCACACATTTGTTGAACTAGAAATTTATTTAAATTTGTTTTTATTGAACAAGAACATAGTACAATTACAATATGTTTTTCTGTGTGTGTGTGTGACATTAAATTACAATATGCCAGGACTTAATTACGGTTAATTAGTGTGATAATAGAATTTCAAGTAATTTGGAATAAATTTTATAATGTCGCAAATTAAAATAATGGATGATGTCAGCGCATATTGATCTTACAAAACTTTCACAAATGAAACATATACAGTATATTGAGTGATGGCATTGTTTATATATTGAATCAAACGAATCATTGCAAATAGTTGTCTATCCAAAAAAACTTGCAAAATCTCTAACCAAGTGATCAACAAATCCTATCCTTTTACTATTTAAAAAATAAATTAATATTTTAATCCAAAAGGCCAAAAAAAAAGAAGATGAACAAGTGAAGAAGAAAGGCGAAGAAGAAGTGAAGAAGGAAGTGTCAAATCTTATGCTTGCTCTTACTCTCTCTCCTCCATCAAAATTCCCTCATTTCTCTGCTCTTCCCAATATTCCATCTCTCTCTCTCTCTTCCTTTTCCTTCAATCGAGATTTTCTCGCTTTTATTCGAGAATTTCGAAATCGGAACCCACCACAACCCTGAAAAAAAAAAAAAATCAAAACAAAAAGCTTCAAGCCCTCATTCTGTACAGATCCAACGGTTCTGTGATTTTTTTTTCTTCTTTTTTTTTTTCTTATTGGGAAATCGATTCTTCTCGGTGTTTTGATTGTTGGATTAATCATGGGTCGTATCGAGACGTAGAAGAGGTGTTTTCGTTTGAAGGTCAAAGGGGAAATGTTGGCAATGGAGAAGGAATTTGATTCAAAGCTTGTTCTTCAAGGGAACGGTGGGAACGTTTCCAGAAGCAAGAGCTTCTCCTTTAAGGCTCCCCAAGAAAATTTCACCATCCAGGATTTCGAACTTGGCAAGATCTATGGCGTTGGTTCTTACTCTAAGGTTTCTAAATTCAATCTATTCTTTCGTTTTTGATTCTTCCGATTTTGGAACCTAGCTCCGATTTGTTTCTCAGCTCTTCTACAAGTATTGTTTTTCTCTGATGCTTCATTTTCTCCGCAATGTGGGTTTCATTCATGAACCAAGCTCGATTCTCTTGTTCGCATATCTTGAGCTCTGAATTTTTATCTCTTTAGCCAATTTGAGCGTCTTCGTTTGTTTTGTTGCGCTGTGGATAATTTCAAATCAGGTTGTTAGGGCAAAGAAGAAGGAATCTGGAACTGTGTATGCCTTGAAGATAATGGACAAAAAATTCATCACCAAGGAGAATAAAACAGCTTATGTGAAACTGGAGAGGATTGTTCTTGATCAGCTTGAACATCCTGGGATCATCAAACTTTTCTTCACGTTTCAAGACACTTTCTCACTATGTATGTATTTCGTATTCAAAAAATGATTTCTTTTGCCTGACTGTTTCTCCCATTACCTTCCTGCACTTTAACAAATTTCTCGTCTTCTCTATATGCTTTTGGTGTAGATATGGCACTTGAATCTTGCGAGGGTGGCGAGCTTTTCGACCAAATAACCAGAGTAAGATCAATCTCAGAACCTTGGGAGATTGATTCTTGGCTTTTGATATGATCGGAATTTGACATACCATCATGGTTCCTTCTGTGTTTTTTTTGTCCAGAAAGGTAGGCTATCGGAGGATGAAGCTCGGTTCTATAGTGCAGAGGTTGTGGATGCTCTTGAGTATATACATAATATGGGACTGATACATCGAGATATTAAGGTAACTCGTCTTTTGAATATCTTCTCTTTTGTGGCCTGGACAACTGGAGTGCTGAAGTGTATTCTTCAAATGGTAGCCGGAGAATTTGTTGCTGACTTCAGATGGGCACATCAAGATTGCGGATTTTGGTAGTGTAAAGCCGATGCAAGATAGCCGGATCACAGTACTTCCTAATGCAGCTTCTGGTAATATGACCGTCCATAATCCTATCTGATATTTATGAGCTTAAGGTCTTATCGATAGTTATTGCCAGATACTGGTTTAAGCCTGTCTCTGTAAACTGGTGACGTATACAGACGATAAGGCGTGCACTTTTGTTGGGACTGCTGCATATGTTCCTCCAGAAGTTCTCAACTCATCTCCCGCAACTTTCGGGTAAGAGTTTTTGGTTTCTGTAATTTGCCTTTTGGTTTTGTGGATTACAATGTCCCTTACTCTGTGTAACACCCTTCAAACAGAAATGATCTCTGGGCTCTCGGCTGCACTCTCTACCAAATGCTTTCAGGGAGTTCTCCATTTAAAGACGCAAGTGAATGGCTGATTTTCCAAAGAATTATAGCCAGAGATATAAAGTTCCCAGATCATTTTTCAGAAGCAGCTAGAGACCTTATCGACCGGTTGCTGGTAAGATACATTAAAAGCCGTCGTCACCAATCAAATGATATGGCAGTAACTCTTTCACTGTGAGGTTCTCTCAGGATACAGATCCAAGCCAAAGACCAGGTGCTGGGTCAGAAGGTTATGCTGCTCTTAAGAGACATCCTTTCTTTAAGGGAGTTGACTGGAAGAATCTAAGGTCCCAAACTCCTCCAAAACTAGCCCCAGATCCTGCGGTACACATCCTCATATACTCTGGAATTGTTATGCCCTTTATCATTATCGTTTAGCTCGTTTTTATTGATTCAGCTATTTTTACCTGATGCAGTCTCAGACAGCATCTCCTGAGAGCGGTGGCACACACGGTTCTCCATGGAACCCGACACATGTTGGAGATTCTTCAGCCACACAGAACGATGGGCATGGTGCTCCTTCTACATCTTCTGAGTCATCGGGTTCCATAACACGACTTGCTTCAATAGACTCTTTTGATTCAAGATGGTGAAGGCATTTAAGCATCCTTGTTCCACAGTTTCCTGGGCAACATCCCCGGTTTAAATCCCCTGAAACTGGGATTTAGTTAGACAATCTGCTAACTTTTGGTTTGGAAACATTTGGTTAACAGGCAACAGTTCCTGGAGCCGGGAGAATCAGTTCTGATGATATCAGCCGTGAAGAAGCTTCAGAAAATAACGAGCAAAAAGGTGCAGCTAATACTCACCAACAAACCCAAGCTGATCTATGTCGACCCGTCAAAGCTAGTTGTAAAAGGGAACATTATCTGGTCTGATAACTCGAATGACCTCAACGTTCTAGTCACCAGCCCTTCCCATTTCAAGATTTGCACGGTACTCTTCATTTCCTTAGCCTTGTCTCTCTACCAAAGATGCTGAATCTTAAATTGCGACTCTTGCTGAATTCTGCAGCCAAAGAAGGTTTTGTCATTTGAAGACGCGAAACAGAGAGCTTTGGTGTGGAAAAAGGCAATCGAGACTCTTCAGAACCGCTGAGAGACAAACTCCACTGAAGAAGAATGATTCTGTTATTCCTCAATTTCTTTTGAACTGACCAAACTCAATTCTTCAGATGTTTTTCTATCATACTTGCTTTGAAAAAGACAACTTGACAACAACAAAAAACAAAGAGAGAGAGGTACAAATTTTTAAAAAACTGCTTTTTGATTCCTTTATTTTCTTCAAACAAATGTATTTCAAAATTTAAATTACATGAGTTATCGATTTCAAGAACGAGTACTTCTTGTCAAAACCAATGGTTACATTGCTGGAAACTTGCAGATTACAAACAAACCAAGTATGCGAAAAAAAAGACTTGATTGATTTTGCTAGGCATTGCTCTCTTTGACAGCAAGAGGTTCATACCATTGAGGACCAAAGCCTGCAGTTTTTCTTGCTTCGGCGTTGAAAGGCGGTTTCAACGGTCCTCTAAAATGTTCCCTTACTACAGAATGAAACTTGTTAATAATCTCTTCATTGCTATCATCTGATTCTTTGCTGTTGATGGTGAATTCCGGATCCTTTGAACGTGTGTATAGATACTTAAACCATTTCACTCCAGCTGCACAGTGAGTGATTTCTTCAGGGTACACAACGCTCTCCAGTAAATCAGCTGTTTCCTTATCACCTCCGTTTCTAAACCGGGATATCGTCGTGGGCAGTACATCAAGCCCCCTAGCCTACAAGCATGTATGAAGTAATCAATGAAAGGAGGACCCGAAAAGACATTTTCTTTAGATAGACAGAGAGAGCGAAAGAGAGAACCAAAGATGGTGAAATGCTTATGAGCTTTGCAAAGATTCATCTTTTGCTAGGCTTTTGATGTTTTAATGGATATATAGAGAGGCACTACATCATTCTCGTGTTAAAAATCTGAATGGTTCGTGGCTTAAGTAGAATGTTTCTCACCTCGTGAACGCAATGCTCTATAGCCAAACGAGCCAAGAGATCCTGAGAAGTAGCGGCTGCAGAGTCCCAAAGACCGTCATGTGCAGGCAATGCACCGTAACGAGAACCGATCTCCTCAAGCCGAGCTGCAAGCAATGTGAAATGACGGCCTTCGTCCTGAGCTACGAGAACAAAATCCGTGAAGAACTCTCTCGGCATCTTCTCTAGCTTGCCAAAACGAGCAATTATATCCTGCAATAACATAATCATCAAAATTTGCAATGTTTCACTTCAAATCTATAGATGAAGACCAAAGGCGTACCCATGATAAGTCAATTGCCCAGCTTTCAGTATGAACAAGGCTATGTACAATTGCTTGCCTGCTCTGTAAGCTACCAGCTCTTCCCAGCTTCGGCATCAAACTCGGAGACACCAATTTCACCTAAAGAAACGATCTTCGTTTCAATCAATTTCGTAAACTGAAGAGAGAGAGAGACAAAATAAGAGATTGAAGGAGACTGTACATTGGTGAGACGAGCCGGCCTGTCCGGGACGGGGAGATCAACGGTGGGATCATATGGCTCGGAGATAGCACCTTGGAGCCATTTGACGGCAATCGAATCGCCAAGCCGGGCTTTTTCGAACGGATCGGCTGTGTTCAGAACCCTAATCGCCAATTCAATTAGGGTTTCGCTCTCCATTCCGTCTCTCTGTGTTTGTCCTCGTAGTTTTGCCGGCGGAGTTTGATGCCCGCCACGTGATAGAAATAATTAGTAAACCAAATATCCACCCGCAAACGTAGCGCGTGGTTTATACTTTATACGAAAATTAATTAGTAAAGTATGTTTTTTTTTTTGTTAACCTGAATTGTTTTTTTTTTGTCGTCTTTTAATTTCATCAAGCCCATAAAGGCAAATTACATGAGGTTTAAACCTAAAGCCCTTACATTTAAGCCCAACACATATCCATTAAATTTAAGAGATAACAATGTGTACAAACAAACCACGTGTGTTACACGTGTAAGGCTTAGGCTGAAACTAAGGATGTTGCGGAGAAGCACTGTTGAGAACGTCTCTGGAACATTGCTCCGCCGGGAAAATCAAAGATCCGTTGAACTATGAAATTTCGCCAGATTTCCATCATCCTTGTTAAAAACTTCATGTAAAGTCTTCTACATAAATCCAACAAAATTCCAGATGGTCGAACATTCTTTAACCACTAGAAGAAGGAAGCCTCCGATCGTCTCTAGCTCAAGACCTAGTATCCATCATCTCTACCTCATGTAAGAGGAGTTATAGCTCTGTAGAAGACAACTTTGAACAGAAAAACCCTTTACTTAAACTATTAAGCAAAAGGAATCCGATCGAAATTTTATTACCAGACAAAGCCGGAGATTATTACCCGTTTAAACGGAAGAAAACTTCCGATATTGATCGGAAAATTTACACAAGGGAGAAAAAGTGCTCTCTCTGAAGGATAGAGGTGAGAGAAGAGAGAGAGGAAAAAAACTCTCCTTGTTAACCTGAATTGTTTAATCGGCTGACTCTTGTATATTACATTTGTTAAATTTGATAGAAAATAATGAATATTGTTAGTTGAATGGTTAATTGTGGATTATGTAATATTCTTTTTATCTCATAACAGAAAGCTTTCTATAGCTTTCAAATATGCCTCCTCAAAAACAATACATCTCGCTCTCTAACAAGGATATATAGCGCAAGAAGTAGTCTATGAGATGGCAAATGAGTGCAATCAAGAAATTGATCATCTATATGGTGAAGAACAAATGGACCATCCTCGAGTGGTGGTCCTGCCTTTCTTAGTTGAGCTTTTGTTTTCTATGAATCCTTCTTCTTCTATTTCCACTTGTTGGGTTATCTCTCCCTGTTCTCTTTTTTGGTTGGTTAGTTTCATATCTGATTTCTTGTAATGTCCACTCTTTCATTAATTCAAGCAAATAATTTTCATTTTCTTAACAGTAAAAAAAAAAAGTGTTTCCCTATATAGTAAATGTTTTTTGATGGACCCATAACTTTACAGCTCAACAAACTCAATGATAATTGATTTTTTGTTTTCTTTCTAAAAGATATTTACGAGAATTAAATCTAGTAGTTAGAGAACTAATTTCATACCAAAGTGGACAGTTAACAAATTTTTTAAAAGTCAGTAACATGTGTATCTTTTACAAATGGACCCATAACTTTACAGCTCTCGATGAAATCAAAGTTTCAATCCATTTATATTCAGATTATAAATATTTAAACAGAATCATATGGTAATTTATTTTAGTATAATACTTTGAGAATCTATGGATATGTTATTTGTAAATCGATTATAATTAAATCTCAAGGACTATGTTTAGATATTTTTATATTAAAATTAGGTACAAGTTAAAAAGTGATGTAAATATATGATCAAATTAAAATCTTGTGACATTGACCTTTTAAAATCGGTTTTAGTGTAAGAGCAGTCACACAATTGTCTCCTAATTTTCCCTTAATCTTGCAGACCCGTAGGACCACAATTTTTCTATTTTTACGTATGGCTCCACAATCTTTGAACAAAAAAAAAATGTAAGGCTCCACAATGTAACAATAAAAGTGATTGCATTCAAAGATAATGTCAGATAGTTTGACACATCAATCTATATATGTGTAAATATAGAAGACATGTCTATAAATTACAGTTTGAACACACATGAAATTTATTGCTCACTCAAAAACGGGTAAACCACAATAATGCAAATCTGTCAAAAATAAATGCGAACAGCTTTAAATACTCAATCTTTTCGTCACTGTTCTTAAAATCTACCTCTATACCAATTGGTCGCTCGTCAAATCTACAACCAATTTGCTGTTTACAACAAAGAAGATATCATCAAAAGAAATAATAACTGCGAGAGTATACTTGTCAACTAGGAGTTTTACTTTTATTTAAGATTCAAATTGGGGAAAAAGGAAAAAAAAAAATCAATAATCGACTATAGCAACTTGTCGGTCTAAAATCCAAATAATCCAAATTTCGAAATAACGCCTAAGAAACATTTCTTATTAAATTGATAAAAAAAAAAAAATCCGATCTTGTTTTTCTTTCTGCCTACTTGTGATGAATCAAACACGAACAAAACTCATGGTATCGTCGTTGATCCAATCATACTTCTCAGTGAACGGATTAGGTATTTTCGACATCCCCGGATATCGCTCGATCGAATCTTCCCAAACATTCTTACCATCAAGATTCTTGAGAACCTCCCAGACACAATTATTAGACTCGAATCCAGCTCCCATACTCATCATTAATATCTTGTCACCTTTCTTTAACCTCTTCTTAGCTTCCATGTAACCAAGAACATACCATAAACCACCAGACGAAGTATTCCCGAACCTATGAAGCGCCATTCTCGCTGGCTCGATGTCGAATTCCGTAAGCCCTAAGCTTTTTCCGACCCCTTCAATAATCGCTCTTCCTCCAGGGTGAATACAAAAATGTTGTAACCCTGTCTTTAGGTCTAGACCTATCCCCGAGCTCGCGGACGACTCTCCTTTTGCGGTGGTTCTTCGTTTAAGCGCACGGACTATCGCGTAGCGGAGTAGTTCCTTGATAGGCAAGACTCTAGGGAGAAGAACTTGGAGGTTCTTGGTTAGGGCTCTAGCCGCTGCTTTTTTTAGGTATTTGGTTAAGAGAAACCCTGGATGGCCTTCTTTGTCCTCCATTTGCATACAGCATGAGTAGGCCTCATCATCAGAGCCCACATGGGCCCGGACCACAGTCACGAGCTTCATCAAAGCCCGGCTCTTGAACCTAGCTGCGTTGGTTAACAGAACAGAGCTTCCTCCGGCACGAAAGAGACAGTTGGAGAGCATCATTGACCTATCTTTACCGCAATACCAGTGAGGACCCATTGTCTCGGTGCTAACCACGAGTGCAAAAGCGTTTTCGCGGGTTTCGAAGATCCTTTGCACTATATCTACTGATATAACACTCGCGCTACACCCTAGCCCCGAGAGGTTGAAGGATTTGATGTCTTCTCTCATCTTGTATCTGTTGATGACTCGTGAGGTTAGAGAAGGAGATGGAGCGAAGAGAGAGACGTTTACGACGAGAATGTCGATGTCTGAAGGAGAGACTAAGCCTTTTGTCTTGTGGAAAAGCTTGTCGAGAGTGTCGAACATGATCTCGTCCATCTCGGAGTGAGCGTCGAGGAGAGATGGAGAGTCCTCTCTGCCTTCAAGGACGTTTCTTGGGCCGTACGTTTCTTCTCCTATCCCAGAACTAGCCATCGTACGGAGGAGAAACCTGTACTCTTCAAGACCCAAGTTCTTGTTTCGTTGAACGACCTTAGCACAAGTCTCGGTGTCGAGTTTTCTCTCTTCTTTGCCCTTGAAGCACTCGTAGTGAAGCATGAAGCAATTTCTCTGGTTTCTTTTGTTGAGAACAAACTTGGAGATGTAGAAGACGATGATAGTGGAGAGAACGAGCAGAGAAGGGAATGAAAAGAGCTCCATGGTAGAACGAAAGAGAGAGAGAGAGAGCGAGTGAGAGTTAAGTGTATTGTTCTTTTTTTTTCTTCGTTTATGAAGTTGTGTCAAAGTTGCAGGAAATGTACGGATTTATAGAGTTGAGTGATATGGTCAGCTTTTGTTTTAAATTATCTTGTCATAGAACTATAACTCCTATACCAACTACTTTTTATTTAAAGATAAAATTGAATAAAATTGATGCACGTTTACATTAATTAGTTGTAAAAGAGATATTTTATTAAATTTATTAGCTGGTTTAAAGAATTTATAAAAATATATATAATTAGTTTGAGGATGGTTTGTCGTTGCACGTACGTAAGAATATCAACTTTCGAAGTGTATAACATATGTATATATAAGGTTCCAAAAAAAAATATATAGAAATATTGTGACCAACTTGTTTTTAAATAATCGTTAGTCGACTTATAATATTTTGATAGATTAATTCCGATGTTTCATTTTACAACGGTTGGTCTGTTTAGAAATTAGACCGAAACTATTTTTTAGTTTTAGTAAATAAAGTTATAATTTTTAATACAAATCTCTTACAAAATTTAGGCCATTCTCACTAAAAACAAGTCCAATGACTGACCACCATTAATAAATTGACAATGGTGTTTGATGTTAATTAGATGTCGATGATAAACAACTAAGCATGAAGTAATAAACAATCACTATGAAAATTGAGTATATCATCAAATACACTCAACGTATATGATCAAATACACTTGAGTGTGCGTGGTGTTGTGTCGTCTAACCAGTAAGGCAGTAACCAGTACAATAAGTTAATTTAGCGACGATTATGGACTGATCATCTTTTTGAAAATGAAATATTAAAAAAAAAACTCATAATCCTTTCACAAAACCAACCAACATAATAAATATGTTTGGTGACTAAGAACTCACATGGTTGGAGTTTGAAATTCGATACACAATTAAAATCAATTAGTGGAGGTTTAGAGAGGTAGGAACAGTGAATCTCCATGCTTAAATGTCTTGTGGTTAATGGATGGATCAAAAAAGAAGCAAGTAGGTAGTAGGACATATCCACTGTCAGCTAGTCCCATGCGACATGTCTCTCATGCTTCGATTTCTTAACCTTATCTTATTTTTGGGTCAGTTTTATTTTATTGAATTTTTCCCCATGTTTTAACCCTTTAGGTAGTTAGGTTGTTCTCAAATTTTGATACTATACGACATACACACTATATACTATATAATATACCCTATTACGTTGTAATGTATCCTATCAATCAAAATTAGGTCTATCAACCAATTTATTTCGTATGGTTTTGATGATATTTACTAACTAACGAGAGTAATGACCCCTTTCCAGTTTTGTCTTCATCTACAGTCTGTGACGAATTAACTATGCGGTTTTCTCATCTTTATATCATAAACATTGTAACTAGTTTTTTACCAAAAAAAAAAAAAACATTGTAACTAGTAAACCCTTTCTTAAAAAATAAACTTCCAACATTTTGACAAATAAATCGCGAAAATATGGTGGCTAAATTTGGACGAACTTTACAATATAATTTAATTAATACATCTGTAAATACAGACAATTTTTTTTTTACTAACGGCATTTGTATTGCAAATAACATTTAGTTAACAAAAGCAGTGGTCAATTACAACAAAATCGCAGCGGAAAGAATATTTGATCGGTTGTTGTGATAATACATTTCCAAACTAGCTATGTTTTTCATCACCCATTCTAAGATTTCTCATCAAATTGTGTATATCACTTTTCTCACTGCTCCGTGAGGAAAATTTGTGAATATATGGTCATCTGGTGACTAAATTTCTACTAACTTGTCAATATAATTTAGTTTCTAACGGTATATCTACAAAAAAAAAATGCAATTATAATAGGGAAATTCTTAAAAATAGCATATTGTATGTTTCTTTCTTATCAGATTATCACGAAAAATATAAATTCAAACCAGACATAAACGCAGAGGACCAGAGAAAGCTGTCTCGTTTCCTGCCTCTTCTTAGAGAGTTTGTTCCAACTTCCAAGAGCAGCTCAAGAGATTGAAGCTGATGATCATTCTAGTCGTTATACTGCAAAGGAGGAATTATGTGACTGTGAGTGAAGAAGAGATGATGATGGGTATCAGTTCCAAGAACCACTTCCCTCTTGTCAAAAAGTCGACCATGGACAAGATTACTTGTGCTGCTGCCTTAAGCCTCCTTCAAAGATTATGTTTTTTTTTTTTTTTTTATTATTCTGATTGACAAGTCACCTGTAGTGGTGGTTTCCCATATGAATTATAAAGTGTTTGTTATATAGCACATTGATTTTGGAATCTTGAAATTGACCCTGGTTTCACAACAAAGTTAGGTACTCTTTGCTTCAAAGATTAATCTATAAAATATAACCAAATCCTGAGTTTTCACAATGGAGTTGTTGTTTCATTCGAGGGGAAAAATAAAAACACCCTATCAATTTCACTTATCGCACAAATATGCGTACTTGGTAACAACAATAGTAACAGAGGTATTGCCCAAGTTGACATCTTGCGCTTGGACTTGATCTTTTCCACTGCTGCTTTGATGATCGATGGTGACGGTACACTGAACCATTTTACATACCATGAGAAGGTTTGTGTCTTTCTGCAACTTTGAGTTATAGTCATCAGGCCATGCTTCCGAGGTCAGATAATTTCTCAAATTCATCTTCAGCTCCCTTGAGCTATTCAAAATCTCTTCACACCGTTTCCCTATTGATGCCAAGAAGATTGACTGAACAAAGCCACCTGAAGAGGCCAATCTTCCACTTGATACCTCCTCGTTGTAGGCAAGAGCAACCTGGGAATACAAGAGTGGATCCCAAAAACAATTAATTATAAAATCAAAGCAGATTACAAAATGTAACTCTATTTTTCTCTCGTGTTATATCATTGCAGACAGAGTACCTTGAGGCTTGAGATTGAAAGTGAATCACAAACATTACTATCGCTTTTGACAAGCAGCTCAGCCATACAACCATTGGTTGTATACAAAGATAAATAAACCTATAAAGAATCATGTGACAGTATATTAACATATGCTAAGTAAACTCCAACGAGAATGTTCCAAACTGTAAATAAACATTGAATAATAGAGAGCAAAAGTAGCAATCACCTGCAAAAGAGCTGGTCTGTCCTTGCTTATACAGTCAAACAACACTTGCAGACAGAACTCCTTGAAATCAGAATCAGATCTGCATGAATGGGTTCGGATTAAGACTTAAGACTTCTCCCTTTTGGGAATCTATAAGTCGATAAGAAAAGTATTGAACTCTGTTATGACTTATGAGCAAGAACCACAATGAAGATGTCCCTGTTAATTCTACTTGCAGTCATATTGACGAAATGATAAAAAAATAAACCCCTAGCACTAAATGAAAACATGGAATTACCAACTTTTCTGTGCAGATTATATGCCTACATGACAGGTAAGTAATATTTTCAAAATTCATACTGCTGACCATGGACATTGAGGGAGAAGCGGACAAAACAGTAATTACCTGTCATTCCAAGATTTGTCACAACACAACTGTGCAAAGGCTATTAGGCTTGGATCCGATGAGAAAGTGCTGACCAAGTAGTGATCAACGCAATCAGAATCCAGTTCTCTGTGGCTATTAGCAAAGCATATTATCTTCGTCCAGAGTTCTTAACCGGTGCCATGGAGGGTTGAAAATGCAGTAATGTTTGACTCCCAGTGTAAGCTTGACGCTGTCTCCCTAAGATCCAAGTCCCAAACCTAATAAGGAAAATTTATTGGTTTTAGTCCATCAAATATATGTTGTTGAGCAAAATGTAAGGAGTGGACGATTACAAGATGAGAGTGAAGAAGGTCAAACAAACAGAAGTGAAGACTTCAAAAACTGAATTGGTACCTGAATCTCGTTTTCATTTGAGATGCTGCCCAGAAAGCCTTTGCTTTTCAATGAACTGTACAAAAAAAACAGATAAAAATTCAAGTAGAGTTAGAGATACCATTTTTTTTTGAAGTCTAAATAAAGCGGAAAGGAAATTAAGATAAGAGAGACACTAAATAACACAAACCTGAAGCGGAGCCAATGGAGCAACAGCATCTCATTATGATGAAACTCTGGGCAGGTCTCAAAATCAGCAACAGCATTATCTTATCGAATAACAGAGTAAGGTGCTCTAAATATCTGCAGGGACAGAATCTTTGCAACCAAATACATACACACAGATTGTTTCGCATCACACTCCTATAGTCCTTAATTGTTCCCAGTTTGCTTTGAAATGGAGATCGGATAGCTGAACTCAAAGACCCATTTCAAGTATTGCTCGATTTCACGGCCGAAAGAAGAAAATGCGATAAGCTTCTACCCCGAAAAAAAAAAAAAAAAAGAGATAATGCAAAACGGCAACAGTTAACAAGCAAAACGCATATGACGTAAATTGATGTTAATAATGTAAACGCATATGCGCAAGCCCTAAATTTCGACCAAAACGACAATCCAATTACAAATAAAACGCACTAGAGAATAAAATAATAATAAAAAAATAGCTCACTCGCGAAAAAATCGCGCTTGACCGCGTTCTGGCAAAATACCTTTCGATTTTGGCCTAACGCGCTCAACGCGCTGTGGGTGCGAGTGGGATAATGTCTTGACGTTTTCAAGCGCGTGGCGTCACGCTCTGCGACATAGAACCAATAATATTATTACACGTGCGAGCGGCAGATAGAAAAGAGAACTTATTTCAATAAAAACAAATAATAATGTAACTCATTTAAGTATATATCACTGTTCAAATCTTTTGTTGCAGAGCGCGAGAAAGGCGATGAAACCTCTCTGATTTCTCTTCTCCTTCTTCTTCTCCTTCTTCTTCTTCTTCTTCTTCTTCTTCTTCTTCTTCCTCTTTCTCGCTTTGCCTGTACCAGAACCTTAAAACAAACTCCCTAAAATGGAGATAAGATATGAAAGAGAAGACTGACGAAAAGCTTTGGAGATGAAGCCTCCAGTGGGATCTGGGTCTGAGAATGTCTCCTCCTCCAGCACTTGTTCCAGAAGAGACCAGTTAATTGCTCAAGATCCAGTTATGTTTTCTTCAGACTATTTCTTTTGACTGACTTGACTTGTATCTCATTAATAAGCAGTCAAGGCATTTTCATGGTTCCTCTACGATCAGGATTCAGGGCTTCTGTTTTAACAACATCAAAAATGGGCCTACTCATTGAGATCACACTTTGAGGATATTTTCTGAAATCGATTTGACTTTTCGACTCAATAAAACTCGAGAGTGACACAAGAGTTGACAGCATCCGAACGATCAACGGCTCAGATTGATAGTGAAAAAAGGGTCCGAGCAAACCAATGTACACGTAATTAAAGAGTATTGGAAAGAAACAAACACGCTTGGCATCTTTTATGCGAAATTGCCGCACAACTCATATATAAATTACGGTATTTAATTCATCAATCACTCCTTACGTCTCAATATTATTCGTCTTAGTTAGAACTAATTCCGTCTAATTCATCAACCATCTAATCCTATTATTTGTCTTAATTACAACAAATTCCGTAAGACATTGTACTTTAAATTCCAATCCACAGTCATAATATTATCAACCAACCAAAACAAAAATCAGATATCTCTAACTTTCTCAATGAAGCCAGAGCCAGAGGTGGAGACCTCCAGCCTCTATACATTGCTATACAAAGAAGTTAGTTCCCGAGATGCCCCCCTACATTCCAAAACGCTCTCGGTTTTCGGGGTTTCCTATTCATCCTCATTGGTCTGTTGCTGCTATGCTTTACTCTCTCCCAAAAAAAAAAAAAACATACACACAAGTCCTTGAATTTAGGGTCAATCTGGTGGAGGAGTCTTATTCCGCGGTGAAATAGCTGTCGTAGATGGAGAGTTTATCAAATGCTTCAAAGTTTGCTTTTAACCCAACAAATTGGCTCCCGATCTGAGAACAACAACCCGCATCAGGCCATCGACACATTCCTTCTCTTGTACGCAACGGACACAATGCTTCACAAACTTTTTCTTCACTCCCTGATGACGAGTTTGATTCTGAGACATCTTCTGTTGTTGTTGTCTTGTTCTCAGATTGTTTTGGGGAAACTGAGTGAGAACATTTCCGTGGCCCGTCTTCTACTTCAACTGTGCAATCTCCGCTCTTTGTGAAGTTGACCTTGCAGCCCAGTGATTGCACGGCTCTCGATATGACTGCGCGCTCTTTTATAGCTCTCTTTGCTGATTCTCTAGCTGCACGGCTTATACTTCTTTCGTTATGCAACTCTTCGCTCAATGACTCCACTGTGGAAGATAACGCCTCCACCTTCCTTTCTGCTTCTTCTTTCTCCTGTTCCAAATTTTGTCCGACACACCCAAGAAAGTTAGCTGACGATAGTAGCATGGGATGTGAAGTCGGATATAAACTTTGTAACAAGCAAGAAAAGTGCTCTTCTTTTTTTTTTTTTTTTTTTTTTTTGCAGTAGTCCAGAACAGGTTAAGAAAGATGAGTCACCTTCTTGATTTCTGAATACTTGACAGTCATGGCTCTACATTGGAACTCGGTTTCTTCAGCATTCGGTTCCACAGGGCAGGCCCACCGAAGATGGAACTGGGGCCAGAGAGTCGGGGCTAGAGCTGCTGCAGGAGGTAATAATGGGCCATCATTTCTTGAAGGATCATAAAATGGGTTACAGTGGACATGAGAAGTTCCACTGACGGAACGCAAATCAGTCAAGTAAGCCCAAAGGCATCCACAGGCTTCAGAAATCCCACATTGTTGCCTCTCCATTTCACTGAAGTTATCAACAAAGGGTCAGAATTTTACTAAATTGGTCTCACGGTCACTTCCTGTTCAACCACAGAACTTCAACTATACAACATTGATCCAACAATAATCTTACATGTGACGAACTTCTAACTTCACAGCAAAGCTACCAAATAAAGTTTCAAACGAGAGGTTACCTATTGCACAGAAAGTTCCCAAAACGACATGAAAGCAAGCAGTCCGTGAAATCTACCAGGAAAGTCTGAAACAAATTGTACAAGGTCAGAGTATATTATTAGTAACAAAAAGTTCACCATGACACTGTCAGCCATCTGTAAACAGTCTATATACATACCGGAGAAAACTCGAAAGCAGACGGATACATCCGCATTAGCTGCGATACGCAATCAACCCACTGCAAACATACCATAATCAACTATTGTTACCTGCCACGCCAGAAAAGAATACATAATTGCAAGCAAGAGCTGCTCACCTGCAAAAATATAGGAGAATAGTCGTTCAGCCCATGTGAAGAGCTAGAAGATTGAGCAGTTGCTGATCCTGAAGCTTGCCGCGCTGGAGATGAAGGGAAACTGCTAGCAGAAGAAGATTGAATTGGTAATTCAAAATCACCAGATCCAGAAACGTTAGGCATTCCCACACGATCCGAAAATGGGTGACCAAACGCTAACCAATCCTTTTCGATAAGAGCCTGATATGAAGTCAGAACAGTAGAAAAGACTACATAAGTAAACGGTGCATCAAACAAAAAATCTAAAAATGCTGTTCATGAATTAGCTGGAAAGAACATCTGAACTGGTAGCATGTGCCACAAAGTATTCTCTGAGCAAAGACGACAATATAAAGTTAAAATCCTAAACTATAAATTAATAAGGAATTAAGTAGATTCAGTCACCATGAAAACGAGAACCCAAAAAACCAAAACTTTAGCACATGGAATACCTGAAACCCAGCAAATGTTCTATAGTATGGATCAAGTAATAAGCATGCAAGAGAAACGAGCTGAGTTGTTCTGTCCCATCCATCGCTGCACATTACATCACAAGTCAGGTTACAACAACAAAAAATCTACTGAGAATAGTAAACAGCAGGATTTAACAGATGATAATTGATAAATACAAGTGTCTGCTTGACACGGATGCAGCTTTGCCTCATCACATATAGACATTGGTACCCAAGTAAAACAGTTCATGGTGATGTGGCCTTAAAATAGCTAACCTGCAGTGCACAAGAACTGATGCCGACTCCATAGCAACACGTGCAGCAATCCATGCCACACCAGCTAAGATGCTCTGGATGTGGCTCAACCAACCACTTTCTCCAAGCAAGGATACTGAAGCAGACATACTACTGAGATTACCTCCACCCCAGGTCCAGCCACCATGTCTCTACAGATTTCACACAAATAGATGCATTCACCTTTAGAGAACGGAACAAAACAAAAGTATGGTAGAACATGATGTATCCACAAAATGGTATCTGTCGAAAAAATATTAGACGTCTTTGGACGCCATTGATGACCTCATCAGCCAATAATATTTCCATGACTCTGAAAAAAAAAACTAAGTTTCCAAAAATTTACTTGCTAGTTGACGTATGATTATGTCCACATGCTTTACAGCTAACACAATGAAAGCCTATCCGATTTAAAACTTTTTACGAATACCCTGGACTCCTGTGCTTACCAAGAATGACGACGTCCCATCGGATGACGTTGTACCGTGCATATCTAAATAATCCCTAAGGCGGGAAAAGCTCTCTCTCATTGCATGTATGTTGTCTATCCCAAAGAAAACAATCTGAAGAGAAACACTGTCAGTAAAAAAACGCAGTTCTAGGAGACAAAATATTGAGCTCAAACCACTTAAGTCATGTACAGACTTCAGATTGCAAATAATTTGAAGATGATTCTGAGCCTCCTCCCTTTGCTCCATTTGCTAATGCATTTTTCCTAGGTCTTGCATCTGCGATATAAAGCTTCCTATGAAATAAAAACAAAACGAGAGTTAATTCATTTGTTTTATAATAAAGTATCAGTACATCCAAATGTTAACTTTAACCAAGTGATAAAAACATCAGAATCTCACCGTCGTGCTCCATTATGGCCAGATAACTGAGTGCAGAATGAAGCAACAAGTTTTTCATCAAAATTACTGTAGAAAAAGGGCAAAATATATCAAAACTTCAGAATCCACCACTTCAATCACTTTGAGATTTTAGATTATCATGCACAAGTCTGGTCATGAAATTGAAACTTCTATATATACCTCCTCATGTTCATCATCAGACCAACCAAAGGTTGTGATGACCGAGCAATCACAGCTCCACTTCCTGCAATCAGGATAAAAAAGCAACATGTAAATGTGGAAGCTCTACCAAGTAAATTCAAATGGAAGCACCATAACCGCTGCATTTTTACCCGGATGACACCACGAGATCACGGGCAAGCGACATCTTGCCCGGAATGTAGACGCCTGGATCAGCTCTTCATCACTGAGATAAATAAAACATGCGGTATTTTTATTTTATGTCTATACTTCCCAGAAAGATAGTTTAAACCGAAAAAATAAACAGTGGTATGCCAAGTTACTGAAGAACATTTTTTTAAGAAAATCATTTCTGCACAGGGATCAATGTCCTACCTAATGGATTTTGGAACCATCAAAGCAAACGGATAAGTCGGACACAAGTTATAATTCGAGTTCACGTCAGTTATCCGCCAAAGATCATTGGACAGTGCGAATGAACCATCTTCAATCATATTCATTGAAGCTCGCGATGAACTTTTTCCGAGAAGCCGAAAATATTCGTTAAGCAATCTTTCCTTTGGGTTTGTGTTACTGAATTTGGAAGGCCCGCATGTAAAAGCATAAAGATCCCATACTCTCTCAGGTCTATTACACTTCAATAGTGCATCAACTACAGCACGTCTCTGCAAAAGTATGCCAATAGAATCGTATAAGTTTCAAGGAGAAATGCAGAAGGCAGCATAAGATGGAAAAAATAGTCAAAGTTTCACCTGCTTGATTCCGGGGCGAAAACCATAGACAATTATCCTCATGTCTTTGCCTGCAAAATGTACATGATTCACAGGACATAGTTTCAAACTAACATAAGAAAAAGATACTAGATAAAGCGGTAACAGATATGAAAAGTCCCTTCAATCAACATTTTTGCGGGGGTGTTGTCTACTGCCAAGATAATTACTTTTAGGTAAGAAACAAAGAGAGAAAAAAAGAACCAGAGCTAAATAGTAACGAGGAAACATACCAGTGACCTGTAGAAGACGTTTTGGTGGATTTTTGTTTGATTGAACTTTCAGCACCTACGTATAACACCCATGACACAGTAATTACATACAAATAACAGCATTAAAAATCCAGAGGCAAAAAAAATTCACTAAAATTAATCACATATGGCTGTCTCCAAAGACATAATAACTGACCATTTTGTTAAACTTCTCGATAGCTACCAGAGGAATTGTACCAAGTGGAACAAGCTTTCTGGTTCCTTCACTCTTCACAAAGAGAAACAAGGAAAAGATCCTTCAATTTAAAAACATTGTCCAGCAAAATTGATAGGAACGCAGAAAATCAAGCGGCAATATGTCCACGTGAACAATACAACGCAAAGGGAAACCGAAGAAAGAAGAGTCATACCAAAAACAGAATACGGAAATTTGTCAGCAAGAGGGTCCCTGCCTCATCGGTGTTTATGAGGATAACTCCACAACCCTGAAATCAAAGCCATAACAGATATACAACTTCAATAAAAAATTACAACAGATAAATCCCACAAACAAAAATGCATTTCTTGCTATTTTTCAAGGAACCTGAGTGAAGATCAACTCTCAAATCCGAAGCAAAAAAATTTAGAAAACAGAGAGGACACTGATAGAATTCCCAATTCAAAACATCCAATTTTGACCAAATCGAAGGACATACCTCGAAGATGATCCTCTCAGATTCCAGCAAGCAATCTAAGTTTGAAAACGAGCTTGACCAAGAAGCTGGCTGATCCCCAAATCGAAAGAAAATAGGAAAACATTAGGCGTCAATCGATTAACCCATCAATACCCAATACACAACAAGAACAAAAGTAAAGGGGGATTCGGTAAGAGGAAAAAGCGAGAGATAAGCCAGAATTGAGAAGTTAGAGTAGACGAGATATATACATACATCGAATTTAGTCCATTCAAGCACGTCCCAGCTTCCGGTACCTTCCATCTTCTCCGACGAATATCGTAGCGATCGTAGTCGCCTAGACGGAGGTCTCGGCGCCGTCATTGGAAGGAGTCAGAGATGGTGACGAGGCTTCACCTGCCTCTCAACGGTGGCAAACGACGGATTTTGCACGCTGCCTTTTCGCCACAAAGACAATGCGACAATCCAAAATACGACGCAGTTTCTGTACGGCCAAAGCTTGCGTTTTAGACTAATTATCTTTCTTACCTACAATATTTAAGATTTGATTTTCGGTTTTTTTTTTATTTTTCATCTTAACTACATTATAACGAGGACTTGGGATTTCCGAGCTTGATGTAGTTTAATTAAACTTGGGTGTAATTTTTCATTAAATAAAAGTTTCTTATTTGATCTCACTTTATTCTTTTTGTAACTTTTAAAAAATCTGTTGGCATAAAATAAATTTCTAATATAAAACTAAATATCTAAAGAAAATAGTTTTTTAATAAATATCCCAAAATGAGTTTTAATAAATTAAATGTGTATACAGCTAGTTGTATATTTGTACGTCATATGAAAATTATCATCGTTACAATATTTGTTTTTAGTGCTAGATATCTCTTATAAAGTAGCACCTGAATTTGGACTTCGAACCTAGAATAAAAACACTCATCTGAATATATATACCAAAGTGCGCTTCCATACAAATTATGCGTTTATATAAAAACTTATAAAATCATAAGAGAAAAAAACTTTAATTCCAAACTTGACAAACCCACAAAAAATAAACTGTGACCTAAATAAGAGGAGAACACCAAGCACGAGTAATAATAAATACAGACAAAACTTGGACAACATGGAACATAAAATCCGAAATCAAGGATTCTTCTGTATCACCACTAGATTTTACATAATCAAAAACAAACTTGGCACATACGTATATGCAGTATGTATCTCAACCACAGTAAAATCGTAGAACAATATACAACGCATCATCATCATTATCTTACTACAAGTCAGAATTTGCAATCCACGAAGCAGAATAGTAAAGAAGATAAGATAAAGATGAGCTCAGATCACAATACCTCTCGTGGTAACCGAGCAATGTAACAGCTTTTGTCCTCAGGTTTGGTCCAAGCGGTATATGATATGATAACTGGGCGTGGGCACGGTTTGGTTTCCCGGGCAGTGCGTGCCGGTTTAGATCAAAGAGGTAGTAAAAATGCAGACTTGTATTGTAGTCTTGGAGAGCTTCCCTAGTTATCTGTGTCCAAGCATTTCTCAAGGGTTTTACTGCTGGTACACTCTTGAAGAGCCTTGGCGTTAAGTTCTCTGCCAAATCTCCAAACATAGTTGAGCCCAACAAGAAGCTCCGTAATGATGGCTTCTGTCTTTTGCTGGTTTGCAAAGAAAAGGGTTTGTGCAAGAACTATATGCGTCCTTGAAACCAAGCTTTGGTGCTCATAACTCCTCTCGGATTGCCATTTTATCATGTTGTGAGCTAATGGGCCCAACCATTCCAAGATACCCGCCATTGCGTCTGTCCACTCTTTTGCTAGTCCTGGATCATAAACTGTCGAAGAACTCAAGTTTTTCGAGTAGGGCTTTAGCCTTTCTCTCAGCGATGTTCTCACGCTCGCAGGTAACATGTTGTAAAGGTCATCTCTCGCATCATCACCTATCAAGTGAGGAGATGCAACAAATCTCTCTATCACGATGATGACATTAGCATAGTGTAATGCTAAGCAAGCGGAACCAAGGGTATTAGGAGCAGCATCTGCCAGCTTGGGTCGGGAAGGAAGTACCAAGTTTTCAACGTGGACAGAGTTAGAATTTCCTTCAAGATTATGATGCTCAGCACTACTATTCCTAGCTCCATTCCGGGTCCTAGTGCTGAGAGGAGTAATCCCGTCGTGAGACACCATGCAACCTTTAAACGGGCCAACCTGTGTTAAGCGGTTGGCTTTCGATTGCTTTTTCGCTGAGGAAACTGAAGGCCTTTCCGGGGTCTGCCCCATCTTTTTGTTGTGCTTGCTCATACCGATAAGTGGTCCTGATTTGGAGGTGAACTTTCCAAGCGGACCTGAGTAAAACTTGAAACGTTTGTTCTTTTCTGCAACAAGAGGACCTGACTTAGGGGATTGGGCGCTGAGAGAACCCGAAAGGAAATCACTCATCTTCGTCCTTGTAGCAACTGAACCTGATGCTGGACTGGTATATCTTCCAAGGGGACCAGAAGCAAATCTAGGAGGACCGGTAGTCTCAGATTGATGAGACACAGGTGTCAAAATTGTAGAAACCGACTGGCTGCGACCAATGAAATCAGAATCTGCAGAGCTAATATCACTTGCCTCTGCTCTGTAACTAATGCCAAAAACATGTTTAGTCCTACTTAGGATTGTGAAAATTGATCTAACCAAGAGAATCACGGTATAGTCATAAGTACGGTTCCAAAGAGAGACATCCCGAAGATTCTTCACTTCGTGTCTTTTCCATGTAACTTTTTTCTGATACTCCAATAGATTGTCGGTTGCAGATTCATTGCTCATCATTCTCTTGAAAGTCTGTTCAAGATCCGCCAGAATCTCAGTCTCCTGGTAGAGACTTGCATTTGATGAGATGAAACGTTCCATTTTCTTCGCTTTTCTATCCATTTTCTTCCACCCAAACTGCCACCCATATGGGTCAGCCCCAGTCTTCATCATCTCACTGAAACAATTCTCAAAGCTCTTCAGCTTGGGATCGTTGCATTTTCTAGCGAGCCTAGCCACAGCTTTGGCTACATTCTCGACGTTCTCCATCATTTCATCGCGTATTAGTCTTACAATGAAATCATCGTCTTCCGAAACTAGCTTCTTTATACCCGTGGAATGTGTTATCTCCCCCCTAAGCCTTGCAACATTTTTATCACTAAGAGATTGCCACAGATGAACAAGTTTCGACAGTAAACTTGCAACCTCGAAAGCTAATACACCGAGCACCACCTTCTCTTTATGACCTTCATGTTTCTTTGGAAATCTCCACAGATTACGAAACCAAGTCTCTGAAACCATCCTCTCTCTCAACCTGCTGCGTTGCAATAAACAACGAAATTAGCAGTGTCTCTTACGCTATGAATAAACACCAGGAGCAACTTACAAACAAAAACGAGCGATGAAGTGCAAAATCAATCAAACACACATAAAAAAAAAACAAAAAAAGTATAGACTCACAATTGAAATCTCGAACTGAAATCATATTCGGAGCAAACCCATACACCAATCACAGATAACACACTAAAAAGAAAGAACATCAAGAAAAACTGCAAGAAGTAGCTATTACACAAGCAATACGAATTGGATTTGGCCGAAATTGGGGAAATCTAGCTACAGAACACAAGATACACAGAATCGACAAATCTACCAACCACCAAATCGGCTATAAGAGAAACCTTCAGCTGCAGTATGCAACACGGTCTCGCAACTTAACCTTTTTCAAATTAGATATCCTCACAGGAAAAAAATTCACTAAAGACGTATGATTGGAGTTAAAATTGTCGGCAAATCCAGAAACAGACACGGAAAAGTAAAACCCCAACCGAGGAAGTGCGAAAGAAGAATCTTACCGATCATTCGAGGAAAAGATGTGTATCAGAGAAAAATCTGGAGAATAAAAAAAAAAAGAAGAGAGAAAGAAATTAAGGGAGGGGGAAAGTACAGGAAGAAAGAGAAAATGGCGAGGAAGATGCAGTGAAGACTATAGCCACATCCCACATGGAGAGGTTAAAGCAGCTAATTGTGGAGAGAGAGAGAGAGAGAGAGAGATACTGAGCGAGTCAAGTTCGTGTGAAAGAATCCTATATTTGCCTTTCTTTTATTTTTGGTGCTCTTTATTAAGATTATTACGTCTTTTGCCTCAAACTTTTATGATTGAGCCAGAATGTTCACGTTGGAGCGAGTCAACTAGTCAAGGAGTAACTGCCTTTTTCGTCCAAATATATATAAATAACAAATTAGAACAATTATATATTTCTAAAAATTGTGTCGAATTTAGTTGAACCAAAAAAATAAGGAAAATAAGGAGATTTTGTTACAGATCCGGCATTTGTTTTTCTTTTGATGATCATAAATTTTTCGTTATTTAATCAATATTTTCAAATTTTGAATTAAACATACGTTTTTCAAATACAACAAACTAATAACAAACTAATATGAGGTTTTGTCAATACTCCACGTTGATAAACTTGTACAATATCTAACCAACAATACATGCAAATGATCACCATCAAAACCAGCACCGATCCTAAAATGGAAATGTTTGAGTTTGAAACTTCAACCGTCTTCTAATATGGGGAGTTTTTTTTTTTGAACAATAATATGGGGAGTTCAATTCTCTCTCTTGTGAACTGAATAGTTAGAACCTATCATCATCGGTTCTGACTACAACAAATGTTTTATCTGAAACACATTAATTATGCCTTTTGACAAATTTGCATCCATAATTTGTAAATAAAATTACACTTAAAAATAAATATATATAAAATAACTTTTTGTTCAAGAATTTGACCAACGAAGCTTCTATAATATTGCTAATCCAATGGTTACATTTACAAAAAAATTGTGTTGAATAGAATGTCATAAGTATTCCACCCTACGTAAGGTCCGGGTGAGTAACTGAATATCCTAGTATAATATTATTTAATTGTCAATTTTAAAGTTGACAATGAATTATAAGAAATTAACACAAATCTTACACGTACTTTAAGATAATCATATCAAAACCTTTAACATTTTTCAAATTTAAATAGAGCTGTGTATATTTAATAATGCTTAATCCAGTAAAGGTGGTTTCCATTTAAATAAAACCTATAAAACTCTAGTATTTGAAACTTAACAGAAACGCTAGGAAAAAATTTACACAACTTGTTTGGTTGACGTTGAACTTGTCAATATGAAAGCGATATATTTCCAATTAGGTATTTATTTATATATAGGTTTTAAAAGGTATTGAGTGGATTGTTACTCGTTGGAGCATGTGTGTGAGTGGTCAAAAAGGAAAAAAAAAAACACGTTTGCAACTATTTATGTTATTGATTGTAAAAAACAAACAACTTCCTGAAGAAAATATATTTAATTTAGTCTCTGAACATCTGTTTATGTCAATCAAGTATTCCTCTGAATAAAAGTTTAGACATAAAACATAGTTTTTGTATTAGTTTTTTGAGGTTTTTTATTTTCTCTCTAACAAAATTGTAGCCTTTTATGTCTTTTTGGTTCCGTCACTAACGTGCCAAATCCAATGCCTGTTAAGTGCAAAGTTAATAAATTTCTCCGGAATGCTTAGAGTTTTGCTTTCGGCGGAAATGCGAACATTTCCGGCGACGCATCTTCCTTTCTCTTCATGTTGAGTTGTGGCCTGTGGGCTTTCGGTTATGGGCCTTATCAAAAAACGAGTATCAGTGAAAACAACTAAAAGTTATTGAATGGCAAAAAGTAGAAAAGAAACAGAAAAATATATAGACATTGCCAACCAAAAAACAAAATAATATAATTAGCAAAAAATCTACAAAAGTAGAAAATAATATTAATTTTGACTCTTGAATCTTATTAATTAGCACCGTAATTTCCTTTTACAAGAAGTTTTTTATTTTTATTTTTATTTTTTTTGCGGTTTCCCTTTCTAGTAATAGATGACGTATAAACGAAAGAAATAGACCTTGACACAAAATTTTATTGGGTTTTCTGCTAAACCCTAATTGTCTCTTCCACTCTATCGCCGCCGACGACAACAACAATGGGTGCCAAGGCGAAGAAAGCTCTAAAGAAGAACATGAAGAAGATTTCTGCTTCGGCTGCTTCTTCTTCTCAGCAGCTAGCTGTTCCCCAGAACCCGAAACCATCGGCTGATTTTTTGGTAATTTTCATCGACGCTTCATTCATTCTTATTGTTTAAGAACTCGTTTCAGAGTTTGTGAACCGCTCTGTTTGTGTTTTGTTGATAGCCACTAGAAGGCGGTCCAGCTCGCAAAGCTCCAGTGACCAAGCCTCTTGAGAATAAAGCCACAGTGCTATATATCGGTCGAATCCCTCATGGGTTCTATGAGGCTGAGATTGAAGGTAGTTTTTTCTTACTCATTTACCAGCTAAATTGACACTTTCCCCTTGATTACTATGTTTGATCAATTACACTTGTAATCTGAAAGCACCTGTTTTATCTTTGGTTCATAGCTTTCTTCCAGCAGTTTGGATCAGTTAAGAGAGTTAGAGTCGCCCGAAACAAAAAGGTTTTACATTTGGTGCTTTTTTTTTTGGTTTGCTCTAGTCTTGAGGTTATGTGCTGTTTCTTGTCTCATTAATTATTGGTTTTAACAGACTGGCAAATCAAAGCATTTTGGGTTCATACAGTTTGAGGAACCTGAGGTATTATACTTGAACATGTAGAAAAGTGGTGCAACCCTTTATGCTCTACTGATGTTCCAGATCCAGTTGGTAACTTTTTGGTTCGATTCTCTACAGGTCGCGGCAATCGTAGCGGGTGCAATGCATGACTATTTGTTGCTCGAGCACATGCTTCAAGTCCATGTCATTCCACCAGAGCATGTTAAGCCGAATCTGTGAGTGACTTGAATACACTTTGTGTTTCCGAGTGATTTCTGATTTTTCTTTGCGAAGAGTTAGTTGGCACATCCAGTTGTGTAAGGTTAGCTTTTTGGCTTGGCTGTCTATGTATTGTGGGCTATATTGTTGAATAAAATAGCTCCCTTTCTAATGGTATCTCGTGTGGTTTGATCCAAGCTTAGAAGGGCAATGTCTATGGTTTGCAAAGTTAGACTTTATGACATTTAGGTCTAGGGATACGATGCGAAAATAAAAGAGAACATATTCAAGAACTGTCTTCTTTACATGTAGTTGTGGATCATAATGCTTCTATGTCCTTAATGATACTAGGTGGAAAGGGTTTAAGTCTCAGTACAAACCAGTGGATTGGGTTCAGATAGAGCGTAAACAACACAACAAGGTAAAGCTTCTTCGTTCTTGTTGTTCTCATTTTGCCATTTCCCTAAGAGTTGAGTTTTTAATTTTGTGATTTCTGTTTTGAATGTATACAGGAAAGAACACTGGAAGAGCATAGGAAAATGTTGCAGAAGGTAGTGAAAAGGGATCAGAAGAGGAGAAAGAGAATCGAAGCCGCTGGGATAGAGTATGAATGCCCCGAGCTTGTAAGTGTCCGATTACACAGTTCTTCCTACTCTATCTGCATTACATTTCAAACACAGAACTAATGGCAACCTCTGTTGCTGCTGCAGGTCGGAAATACTCAGCCAGTCCCCAAGAAGATCAAGTTTAGTGAAGAAGACTAGGAACCAAAGATGAGAAAAACACATTTTCCATAAGCTTTTCTTCTTGTTTTTGTTTGGGATAGGATCGGGTTCACATTTGTACTTTTTACATTGGATCCAAAACTCAACTATAAGTATCTGAGCTATTGCAATGAAATTTTATGTTTGAACGAATATCAGATTTTCTGTATAGCATCAATGTACTTTACTAAGACATCAGGTGTTAGATTCTCCCTTGTAAAACTGTTGTTCTTGCGATCTCTAGGTGCAGCGGTTGCGATGAGAACAAAGTTTTCGCCATTTCCTACATCAATCTCGTACAAATCTGCAAAGACCTGTCTAAACTCGTCTTTGAGTTCTTGGTAGAAAGTCTTGTTCGGAGGAATGACATTGATAACGAAAACCCCAGAATGAACAAGAACTGCTCTTGCAGCTAGCAGAACATCTCTGGCCACAAAATCGACAGGAGGAGCACTCACGCCGTGAATCGGATCGGTGGAGTCTAGATCAACCATCAAGGCATCAAATTTGGTATTCTCACCATCACAGGTAGAAGAAAATCTCTTCAAGAACTCAATACCGTCTTCAACGTGAACATGAGCAAAGCTTTCCTCTAAGCCGAAGTGATGCCTCGCGACCCTCAAGACTTCAGGGTCTATCTCTACGCCTGTGACCTCGAACCCCAAATGTAGCCTTAGGAAACTAAGCAATCCTCCACCTCCGACTCCAATGCACAATGCCTTTGGTCTAGATTTGTCCATGTGAGAGGAACCAATCAAGGAAAGACTTGCCACCATTGGCGCCAAGTAGGGATGCACGAGTTCCGTGAGATCAGGCGTGAACTCTGTTCTTGTTAGTGAAGGTAAAGATTTCGAATTCGAAGAGTCTGTACTTCTGGTGACGATTTTGATTTCGGATTGGACTAGATTAGGCATTCTCTTGAACCTCAATCTCCTCCTGAATTCTCTTACCCCGTCATCGATCTCAATCTCTACATCTTCAATCACCATTTCACCTACGAAAGGCCCGACGGATTTCTCCAGCTCTACACTGGAGACAACATCATCCTCGTAAATCAGGAAAGGTACATCGTCGATTTCGTCTCGTGTTAGGGTTTTGGGTGACAAAGCTACAACAAGAGGTTTTACTCTCAGCTCGAGTCTCTCCGAGTCGTTGCTGTCCTCGGGGATCGGTCGGTGGTAAACCGCGGGGAAATCGGTGCCACCGTCGGGATCGTCGCCGATCAGTATCAAGCGAGAGATGTCGGGGAGGTTAAGGAGGAGCTGGAGATGGCCGGACTCAGTGGAGAAGATCCAATCGGCTTCTCTGTGCTTGGGTACGAGCGTGACGGCGACTCGAGGCGAAGACAAGGTGGAATGAAGAGGCGAGTCGAGGACGGCGACTCGGAGGAGCTGTAACGGAGAGATTGGATTCGGAATGGTGAAGGAGATGAAACGAGAAGGAGAGATGGTTTCGAAGATTCTCACATCAAGCGCCATTTTCTCTTTTGATTTTGATTTCACCATCGAAACTATCTTTTTTGCTGCTTTCTCTATCCTTGTGACTTGCACGTGATTGATTACCTTTAATAATATTCATTAATGTCTTATGACTCATGGGCTTCATCTTCAGGCCCTAGACCTCTCAGATTCTCTCTCCTTTTTTGTTTTGTTTAATGTGATTCTCTCTCATTTCATTCTTTGTGGATTCTTCAACAGAAAGAGTATTTTCTACAAACATGTAGAAACAGAGCAGAGTTTATTGACCTCTGCAGTAAAAGAAGCTTGAAGTCCTCTTCTTTCACCGGCCACCGAAGACCGAACTACCTTTTTCCATTTTCCCAAAATCGCATTCCTTACACTGCTTCTCCTGACAATAGTACAATGGCGGATAATTCGTGGGATAATTGTGTTGAGGAAGCTGTGAATGTACTTGAATCCAGGCAACTCCTTCGATCTTTGAGACCCATTTGTATGTCCAAGCAAAACGAAGAAGAAATGGTGGGAAGCAGAGTCAATGAAGGAGACGAGTACGAGGTGTTCGACGGTATGTGTCAATGGGATCGGACCTCAGTCGAGGTTTCCGTCTCGATACCCACATTTCAGAAATGGCTTCACGATGAACCCAGCAACGGTACGATTTTTTTTTCTTGCCGAGAGTTTCGGAGTTTCCAAAGTTACGGTTTTTTTTTCCTCTTTAACTTAGGTCACTGAAGCTGAGTTGAATAGGCAATGGTATGGTTTTTTTCACATTGACAGGAGAAGAGGTTATAAGTGGAGATGCATTAGCTGAGAGTAGAAAAGGGCGATTCAAGAAGCTACTTTTATTCTCTGGGAATGATTATTTGGGTTTGAGCTCTCATCCTACAATAGCAAATGCTGCTGCAAACGTATGTTTCCAAAACCATTTCATGTCAACAAACTTAAGTATATAGGTTTCTTCCACTGCCTTATCTTATTCCTTCAAGGCAGGCAGTCCAAGAATATGGTATGGGACCTAAGGGTTCTGCGTTAATATGTGGCTATACCACTTATCATCGTTTGCTTGAGTCTAGTTTGGCGGAACTGAAGAAGAAGGAGGTAAAAAAAAAAAACTTCCTTGCAAGTCCCATGATATTGATATATCTCAAGCTGAAAGCAGATGATAAGTCTTTTTATCTTTCTAGGATTGTCTTCTTTGTCCTACTGGGTTTGCTGCCAATATGGCCGCAATGGTTGCAATTGGAAGTGTTGCTTCTCTTTTGGCTGCTACTGGGAAACCTCTTAATAATGAAAAAGTGGCCATCTTTTCTGATGCACTGAATCATGCATCAATTATTGATGGCATCCGTCTTGCTGAACGACAAGGAAATGTTGAAGTTTTTGTTTATCGACATTGTGACATGTATCACCTTAATTCGTTACTGTAAGTCCTTCACTTTCCCAATCCTCCCTGACATCTAGTTTTCTATTTATGTCATTTATAATTGTTTGGACAGATCAAGTTGCAAAATGAAGAGGAAAGTCGTGGTAACTGATAGGTCAGTCTTATTATCTACTTACCCTTAATGCTCTTGTTTTTTTTGTTTCTTTTTTTTTTAATAAAACTGCTCTTGTTCCATATATGTTAAAAGTTGTTGTACTTAATCCCGCAGTCTGGTTTGATATCTAATCATAGTTTTTTTCGTTTTGCTTTTCATTCACATGTCGTTTTTCATAGTGTTATTTACAAAGGCTTAACTTTATTTCAATATGCTTCTTAACGCCTTTGGTGTTTTGAGACTGTAGACATGTGAAAGGAATTTCTATTAAATGGTTCTCAGTTTTTTATTTATTTATTTGACAGCTTATTTAGTATGGATGGTGACTTTGCACCAATGGAAGAGCTCTCTCAGCTTCGGAAAAAGCATGGCTTCTTACTAGTCATTGATGATGTAAGTTGGTTGAATGTTGACGTAAAAAATTTGAGGTGTTGGTGTCAACTACGTTTTCCTGAAGAGATATGACTTGATAGATCAGGCCCATGGAACATTTGTTTGTGGAGAAAATGGTGGTGGCGTGGCCGAGGAGTTTAACTGTGAAGCCGACGTGGATTTGTGTGTGGGCACTTTGAGTAAGGCAGCAGGGTGTCATGGCGGATTCATAGCTTGCAGGTACACACCTATATGATATAAAATTCGTAAACTAGTGGTTGTTGAGATCACTGAGGTTGCAAATCAATAATCAATCTCAATTATTACGGTTGAAACAGAGATTTGAATGTAGTAGTAACAACTTAACTTTGTTTTGGAAACAGCAAAAAGTGGAAGCAACTGATCCAATCAAGAGGTCGCTCATTCATATTTTCAACAGCAATACCTGTCCCTATGGCTGCAGCTGCTTATGCTGCAGTTGTAGTGGCGAGGAAGGAGAAATGGAGAAGAAAGGCAATATGGGAGAGGGTGAAAGAGTTTAAGGCATTGTCTGGAGTTGAAATCTCAAGCCCCATTATCTCACTTATTGTAGGCAATCAAGAGAAAGCCCTCCAAGCGAGCCGGTTCACACACATCTCCCTCTTTCTCTTCCTCTCACACACACATTCAATTGTATAGCTGATTGGTTTTTCCATTGTTGCAGGTACCTACTAAAATCAGGCTTCCATGTAATGGCAATAAGACCACCTACAGTGCCACCCAATTCTTGCAGGTACAAAAACATCATCTTTTTTTTCATATGCATTGAAACCATTTCATCTTATGAATCTCGATGAAACTCTTTTTCTTGTTGTTCAGGCTAAGGGTAACACTGAGTGCAGCACATACCACCGAAGATGTTAAGAAACTCATCACTGCGCTTTCTTCTTGTTTGGACTTTGACAACACCACCCACATTCCTTCTTTTCTATCTCCCAAACTCTAATGTCTAAACCTTTTTCTTTGTGTGTGTGTCTCAATTACAAGGCTCTGTTTTGGAATTAGTTTATGATATGTGAATGGTTGATCACATGTAGTAGAGATTTTTCATGTATTGTTCCGTACTTTGTGCAATGTATTTAACACCTACTTGCATGTGAAAGTAAAAACAAGGATTTTTCCTTGGGCCAGTAGAGTAAAAGCCCAATGGTAAAAGTGTCATAGGCCCAAACGCAAACTTAAGTGAGCAGAGGAATGTAACATTCCCCTCGTGGGTCGCACACTCACACTCACAGAAGTAGAGAAGGAGCAGAGGTCACACTCATATTTTCGCGGTGGTGATGAAGAATCCGTGGAGAGCCATGGTTCAAACCAAGTACTGCTTCGTGAAAAAAAAAGGCAAAAAATTTGCAGATTGTTAGACATTATATTCATGTGGTCTCTTAATTCGATTACTTGCAAACCAAGGCTGACCAAGTTTCCTTTTTATTTATAAATTTCCATTTTTACTATAGTAGTGTTAAACCGAAAACTATAGTTATGTAAACCGAAGAAACTAAAATCATTCTGGTTTGTAAACTATAGTTATAAATGGAAGTTTCACTAAACCAGATTGATCTAGCTTAAGTGAACCGGTCTTGGTTTGATGTTCTTACTTCATCAATCGCTGATATTTTCGTTACAGGCGGTTTGAGTAATTAGCTTCCAAAAAAGGAAAACATTTGTACTTAATTACATACGATTAGCGGACTGTAAGAAAAAGGAAAGAAACAAGAGTTCATTAAACCCTTTATATATCACATAGAGAGATGGGAAGTGGACACAGTCACAGAAAATACAATTCTTTCCTTAACAGGTCGCAAAACAAAAATCTCTCTCGTTCTCTCTGTTTGTGAAATCTGGGGAAAAACAGAATGGTAGGCATGAAGAGGAAGATTTCGATGGAGAAGATAGAGAAGAAAGACTCGCGATCGGTTGCTTTCTCCAAACGCCGTAACGGTCTTTACAGCAAAACATCGGAGCTCTGTCTTCTCTCCGGGGCACAAGTTGCTATCTTAGCGACTCCGATTTCTTCCAAATCAAAAGTCTCCTTCTACTCTTTTGGCCACTCTTCGGTCGATAACGTCGTCTCCGCTTTCCTCAAGAAGCAGCGTCCTCAGGAGGATCTAGGGTTAGGGTTTTGGTGGGAAGACGAGAGTCTTGCCAAGTCTGAGGATACGAAGGAATTAAGTGACGCGGTCGGCTCAATGTCGAGAATGTTGCAAAATCTGAAGGTATTGCATTCAGTCGCCGTGGAAAATCGTGAGGACATGAAGAAGAAGGATGTTGTTATACAAGAAACTCATCAAGAGCTTGATAGAGATCAAACCCTAAATCTTCAATCGACGACTTGTGCAAGTTCCTGCACTCATGATGATCCTCCTGCGGATTTCGAGGGGCTCGTCAAGAACAGTGGAGAGGAGGATCAGACGATCTTAGCAATGTCTGACATCAACAATAACGACAACAACGGTTTAGTGCTTGGAAACTTGGATGGTTGGGATCAAGAGCTGGATCTTGACCAAATCTTTGATTTCATGACGAGTTCTGAAGGTTTATCCATGAATATGGAGATGGATGATGTCTCAACGAATCGAAATTCCTGCTCTGATTCTGTAGCATATGAAGATGGAGCAATGGTGATTCACAGTAATTCGGATCAGACCGTAGCGACATCTGACAAGAACGAAAACAACATCAATGCTTTGCCTGTAGATCACTTGGATGGGTGCAATCAAGAGCTGGATCTTGATCAAATCTTTGATTATATGACGAGTTCTGAAGGTATGTCCATGAATTTGGAGATGGATGATATCTCCATGATGATGAATACGTATCAAAATCTGTGCTCTGGCTCTGAAGCTGTTGAAGATATTGAGGCAGTGGTGTTAGACAGAGATTTGGATGAGGATAATCCCCACTTATCTGATTACTTCAATGAGTTAACCTCCATTACTGCACTTTGAAAGTCCTCACAAGATAACAAGACAATGTAGGGATTGGTTCGGTTAGTTCTGGTTAGGGATATTTAACTAACGAAGAATCCGGTTTGACTTCGATCAATTTCCATGTTATGTTTGGGTTTCAGCCTTTAGGGATGTTGATCGAACTCAAACCGGTTCAGTTTTGGTTCTTAATTAACTATGAATATTTGAAATCTTTTTAAAGTTTGTTGTATGTTTTATCTACTTATGAATATTCGCTGTTATTTTTTTTCGTAATCTTTGAATCAATGAATATTATTACATCTACAGTACAACAGAAAGCATCTGTCTTAAAATTTTTGATTAGCAAAAGCAGTCATCTTCAAGACCAGTTTTCTTTGTGATTAACATGATCTTTCGTGGACGTCTTAGATATTTACGGGCGAAATTTTTTTGCCCCTCTTTATTTCCCTTTTTTTTTTTGAACCTTAAAAATTAAAATTTGAGTTGATGCATCCATTCAAAACAGAGAAGTGCCATCCATCCTCAATGAATAGCTGAATTTACAAGAAATAGACTACTTGAGCAAAATTGCTACATAACAAATTGCAGAACGTGATCTATCATATAAAATGCTTTATTACCATGTATGTTTTCCTTCTTTTTTCTTTTCTCTTACAAAATGTTAATAATATAATATTCCTATGGTTATTATCATCTGGAGATTTACATATAAAAGCTGTGGTGTACGCTAAAGAGTTGTTATAATTTTAAAATATATAGTACAGATATTAAGGCAAAGGTGGATGAATGTATTAAAACTAGGTTTGAAAAGAAAGAAAACTACTGTCTGATAACAAATTTATGATCTCTATTCGATCGAATTGGTTAGATTATTCTGGATAACCTTACCGGTAAAAATGTTGATTTTGCATCTATTCTTATTAAGAAAAATGCAAACAGCTTGAATCGATTTAATGGAGTATTCGCGTGTCCATTCGGACAGTTGAAATTTATGACAAGTAAATTGAATTCCAAACAAGTCAAACACGTTTATACGATTTTTGTTTTTGTTTTTTTTTTCAAGTATGCAATGATGTTGAAGTCTGTTTAAGCTTACAGAGACGATACTATGTATTTTTATATTGTTTTGGGTCTACCAAAATTGGAAAGTGAGTAATGGCTTTCTGCAGAGATTTAGATTTCCCAGGTTACTAATTTATTAAATGAGTAGTTGAACGCAGTAAATAACAAAAGAAAAGACATGCACTCACAAATCCTGAAGCCCCAAAATGTATAACTCTCACATCTAATTTTCACGGATGTATGTTCATCGATTGGTCCAGTGACACAGACAATACAACTACATTATTCCATCTTCATCATAAGTCCGTGATATATCTAGTTACAAACACTAACTGTATTTGGGATATATCCTTTTTAAGCTTTCGTCTAATTACCTTGTCCTAACCGTCCGGCACGTGAGTATGTTGCAACAATCGGTCTATGTATGTAGGTGAGTCTAAGAACATATAATAATTTCTGAAATTAAACGTTGCTTAAAGGATAAAGTGTCTAAATGGTCAACTAGATCAGTTTATAAACAATCATGGTATTTATGTACACACGAAAACTACACATATTAATAATCATGTCTCAAAATTGGCCAAAAGATTAGAGTTAATTTTTGGCGTGATTTTTTTTTTATTAAGATATTATCTTGTAGTTTGTAACTTGTACGTTCGAAAATTTGTACCTACAGGAAACAAAATTATTTGTGATTATACCATATTTTAGAGTTTAGTTTCTTAAAATATTGTCGACACTGACAGATTTTACTTCCATAGTTTTAAAAAAAAAATCGTTTTTTAGTAATATCAAAATGTATGCTTTCACAAACTCCCAAGATATTGTTTTGCCATATGATAGACAATGTCAGTGTCAACAACAAAAAGTCAAAAACACAGATGTTAATAACCCTGTTTTTATTTTCTTCTGACGCACACATTCATATTCGGATCATTTTAGTACTTTAATCTATAAAACGAATCAGCATGCCTTGATTTGGTGAGCAGTCAACGGTCCACAATATGTTGACTATTGAGTAGTGATTTTTTAAAAATGTGGTTGTAATGTATCACTCTGTTTTTTCACAAACGGTGCAAAACCCAATAAAGTCAAATACTTGGACCTATATTTTGCATGCATTCCTCTGCTTTTATACAATCTTCCTCTCTTCTCCATTGAATTCCATCCCTCAGAGGGAAGAAGAAGAAAAAAGCCAAAAAAAAAAAAATCTCAGTGAACTAAAGATGTCTCTCATCTCCTTTTCTCTGACTTCTCTTGATTTCACATTCCTTGCGGTTATCGTCTCCGGTTTCGTTCTCATCCTTACTCGATGGAATTCGAAGACGAAGAAACGTTTAAACCTTCCTCCAGGCCCGCCGGGTTGGCCGGTGGTCGGAAACCTTTTCCAATTCGCGCGCTCCGGGAAACCGTTTTTCGAATACGCAGAGGAGATGAAGAAAACGTACGGCCCGATTTTCACTCTGAGGATGGGGACTCGGACAATGATCATCCTCTCCGACGCGAGTCTAGTCCGCGAAGCTTTGATCCAACGCGGAGCTCTTTTCGCCTCTCGACCCGCCGAGAATCCGACTCGAACTATCTTCAGCTGCAACAAATTCACCGTCAATGCCGCCAAATACGGTCCCGTGTGGAGATCTCTGAGGAGAAACATGGTGCAGAACATGCTTAGCTCGACCCGGCTCAAGGAATTCGGGTCGGTGAGGCGATCCGCCATGGATAAGCTCATCGAGAGGATCAAATCGGAGGCTAAAGAACACGACGGAACAGTATGGGTGCTTCGAAACGCCAGATTCGCTGCCTTCTCCATTCTATTGGAAATGTGTTTCGGAATCCACATGGACGAGGAATCGATTGAGAAAATGGACGAGATTTTGAAGACGGTGTTGATGACCGTTGATCCACGAATCGACGATTATCTTCCGATCCTCGCTCCGTTTTTCTCGAAAGAGAGGAAACGAGCTCTCCAAGTCCGCCGTGAACAGGTCGATTTCGTCGTCGGATTCATCGAGAGACGACGGAGAGCGATTCGGAATCCAGGTTCCGATAAAACGGCGTCGTCTTTCTCGTACCTCGATACACTCTTTGACTTAAAAGTTGAAGGCCGCGAAACGACGCCGTGTAACGAAGAGCTCGTGACTCTCTGCTCCGAGTTTCTCAACGGCGGCACGGATACGACGGGGACGGCGATCGAGTGGGGGATCGCGCAGCTGATCGCGAATCCAGAGATTCAATCTCGACTGTACGATGAGATCAGATCAACGGCTGGAGATCGTAGGATCGAGGAGAAAGATGTGGAGAAAATGGTGTTTTTACAAGCTTTCGTCAAGGAGCTTCTCCGGAAACATCCGCCGACTTATTTCTCTCTAACGCACGCCGTCATGGAGACGACGACGCTTGCCGGCTATGATATTCCCGCCGGCGTAAACGTCGAGGTTTATCTTCCGGGAATTAGCGAGGATCCGAGAATCTGGACTAACCCGAAAAAGTTTGACCCAGACCGGTTTATCTCGGGTAAAGAAGATGCTGACATAACCGGGATTAGTGGAGTGAAGATGATTCCGTTTGGTGTTGGCCGTCGGATCTGCCCAGGGCTTGGAATGGCGACCGTACACGTGTACCTGATGCTTGCGAGGATGGTTCAGGAGTTCGAGTGGAGCGCCTATCCGCCGGGAAGCGAGATTGATTTCGCCGGGAAATTGGAGTTCACGGTGGTGATGAAGAACCCGTTGAGAGCCACGGTCAAACACAGGGTTTAATTTTTAAGTACCTAGTTTCACGTCTGTTATCTAGTTTTTTTTTTCCTTTTCTAAATTAGAACAGTAAACACAAGGATAAGTTGTGTTTACTGTTTATTATATTTGGGACCGTTATGCTAATTTTCAGTAAATCTATTTTTGGATTAAAACAAGTTCAGTCCACGTTATTGACCTTTTCGAATTCAAAACAAATTAATATAAACATGTTAACCAATAAAATTAATTAAAATTTGTTGCATGACACATTCCCAAATATATACTCCACCCCTTTCTAATTGCTGATGTTTTAGATTCGAAACATTCACCAATTTAAAATGGAGAAAGTATTAACAATACGAGAGAAACTACCACAAGGTTAAGAAAACTACGATTGCCAAATATCTCCTGTAATTTTTTTTCCCATTTCTTCATTTAAAATGTTCCGAAGAAAAACGACAAAAAAGGGAGAGGATGGAGCACGTTACGGTACATCAAGTGAGGTAACAATAATACGAACAAAAAAAAAAAACCTAAAAAAGGAAAGAAAAATCTAAGAACCCATTTACAATCTCAGCGTAGAGAAACTATACACATAACCAGAACCTAGAGAGAAGAAGACTATTATCTCAAATCATCCTCTTTGAAAAATGCCCCAGCCAACATTTGCCAAGCAAGCTTGTAAAATTTTGCATCTTTCCATATTATTATCAGTTCAAGAAAAGGGATGTGGCAACCTCGCTCGATTCGGCTACTTTCATGGCTTCTGCAATCCGGAGAGCCGTCATGGCTTTGTAAACAGCCAAGTCTGCATTCTCCGCAAGAACTTGGGCTCTTCTTCTTTTGGCGATGGCAATCTCCATGGCTCTATCAGCCAAGGCCTTGGCTTCTTCCACTCTAAGATAATCGTTTTGTTCCTCTGAAGCCTCTTGTTCAGCTGCCTTAACACCCACTGCCCACGTTAAAACCAAACAAACATAACTCAGCTATTTCACTCTGAGAGTGTGTATAAACAAACTGAACTCTGTGTAGCTAAATCCAACTTTTATCGAGCTTAATCATCGAAATTCAACTCTTTATCGATAAAAGTGCACAACTTTCTCTATCCTCAAACTAAATACTACAAAGCGAAGGGATTTCCAGTCTAATTCTGTGGTAATCTACTCTATTTAATTATACTTAAGCAAGACTGTTCCATGTAACTCTAACTCTCAGGTGTATCTACTACTTACATTTTCAGTACTTGACAAAACCAAATATATCACAACACTAGCCACCAGAATTCATCACACAACCTATCGGGAGTGCGTAAATCCACTGAGTTATAATGGTGAGGGAACATACCGAGACTTAGCTGTTTAGATTTTCCATGGAGTTGACTCCCCTGCCTTTTGAAGGATCTTCTCTTACGAAACACATGTTTGAAGAGTAGAGGAGATTTCTTTGCTTGATGACCCTGTTTATTTAGCAAACATTATTATTATTTGATTATATTCACAGAGATGGGAAACAAAGAATATTGGTCCAAGTACGCAGGAATATGACTTTACCTGGAAAACTCTGAGGAGTGGTGCTTTTCGCTGCTTCCTTTTCCTCGCCCAGTAATCATGAACTGCTTCAACCACCTCTTGCCTACCCAGATACGAAAGACTAGCTACAGTGGCTGCTTTCTCATTCAAGAGATCATCGGCAGGGCTTTGAAAAAAGCACTTTTCAAACCCATCAATCATCAATTCAAAAGCATCCTGCTCAAGTCGTTGAGATTGCTCATGTTCCTCACCAAGCATTTCCTCGTTCTGCCTTTCAAGCCACTCTTCATCTTCAGAATCCATGTCATAAATCGCAATATTTCGAGCCATGGCCCTTGTCACCTCATCTTCTTTCACAGAAATATATGGAACTGGCATAACAAATGAGGGAAAATCAGCAATATCCTCTGAATACCCACTCACTTCTCTTACTCCAGGTATAGGAATCACTTTCGCATTCTGTTCCAATATATTCCGTTCATAGCATTCGTTGTAAATCTCCTTAAAACCGAGCCAATCTTGTTTGTCGCAAAACTCAAGCTTCCAATCATTGTCCCCTAACCATACTATAGATTGTGTAAACCGGTTGCACGAACAAGGTCTCATAGTCTTTCTTGCCCTGTGTCGGTATCTGATTGCCCCATCTTTCTTTATAACAACGAACCACTCCTTTGAAGACGAAAACTCCAACATTACACCACACCCTTCTTCTCTCGTGCATCTGTCTGAACCTATAACCAATATGTTCGCAGAACAGCATAGAGAATCAAGTTCCTCTTTTGTCCTCGGCTTTGAAATGGTACTGATCCCATTTGAACTCGGAGATGAGTTATTTAGCACCGAGCTTCTGAGCTTTCTCGATGACACCGATGTTGTCCTGTTTTTCCAATTTCCAGATAGTTCAGAAACCGGCGTTCCATTGTGCGGCTTGTGTACACCATGCGAAAGATTTCTCGCTCTTCTCCTTCTCAAGGAGCTTCTCCTCTTCTGGATACTATGAAAACCTAGACTGCCTCTATACTGAGCATTCCCTCCAGTTAGCTTCGAGGCTGTAACAGACGGATGTAACCCGACAACAACTCCGTTCCTCGGATTACAAGGTTCAGATAAAACTATTTCAGACTCTGAATCAGATTCTTCAACCGGGTTGTTCAGCAAATACAGAGATTTCTTTACGAAAGCAAAAGAGCGTGGAACTACTCTGAGAAACAGAGTAAAATGCATATCCATAAAACACCGAGGAATGGCATTAAAATCAGCTGAAAAGAGAGGAAGACAGTTCAGAGCCCCAAAGAACTTGCAGACGCCCCTTGAACTAAGGGGAGGCTCCTGAAAAATTAAAGATCCAGAGTTTCTATCATCACTACCAACAAAAAAACATTGTAGAGCAAACCCAAAGAGTGTTAGTGAATTACCGCAAGAAAACGCACGCCATGGTCTGCAAAGACGTCGTTGATAGGTTGAGACAAGAAAAAAGAAGCAAGTGAAGACAGCCCCAGTTGTCCCCTCCTCACATATCTCATAACCAAGACGAAAACAGTTGAAAACCAGGATTCCTCACATGACGCATCTACTGTAAGAGTAATCACAGGACCATAGAGTCGTCGTGGAGAAACCACCCGGTCCGAGAGTCTCTTTCGCCTGCAATAAAACTTGAGGCTTCGCAGTGGCTCCTCTGATCTATTATCACTTGACTGGCCAGAAAGTCTCTTCCTTTTCCTACTATATACAACCCCAAACAGCTTATCCACAGTCTTTTCATCTCCCACAGCTTCAGCTGTTGCCACTTTCCTCCGTTTTCTGACCGGAAAGTCTATTTCTTTGTCGTCCTTCTCACTGGAGATTTCTCTGGGGCTACAGGGTCTGCTTCCGGCGCCGTTACTTCTACCACCGGAGACTTTGTTCCCTTTGCCTTTGCTGGGATTTAGGCAGTTCCAATCTCGATCCACAACGTCATGGGCACGCTTTACCTTTGGTTCGTCGACATTAGGCCAGATCCGGCGACCCGAGCGGAGGACCCGGGCACCGTCTGCGGCTTTAACCACCCCGAAAACCCTTGTGGTTCGTCTCATTCCCACCGACGGCATCTATGCGTTGCTCATACGACTCCGTTTTACTCAACTGGATAACGCCACAACTGGCTTGACTTCTTACTCCGTCTTCGCTCAGAAAAAAATTGGCTTACTCAAAAGCCCCTCCTTTGATCTATTCCCACACTAATCTCTGTAAAAGAATCACGGATTTTCTCAAAGACTCAAACCAATTCTTACCAGAACTGTTTAATAAAAAAAAATCTCTTTTTTTTATATCCAGCAAAAATTGAGGAACTCGAAACAGGTAAGGAAGGGAGCGAGGCGGAAATCAACCGAATTGATCAGAGATCAAATTAGTGATAGCCAGAGGGAAATGGAAAAAAAAAAAGAAAATCGCCGAGATCTCTGGAGATCGAAGAAAAATAGAGAAATTCGATTGGGAGAATCGAGATCTGTTCATGTGTTTTTTTCTTATCTTTTCTCTATTTTTGTTTTCTTATCTAGAAACGAGTAGACATGGTGAAGAAGAGGAAGATCGGCGGTACAGGTGGTTTCACGAATTTCTCGTTTTGACAAGAAGAGAGGGAACAGAGGTGGCTAGGGTTTATGATCGAAAAACAATAACCAAGAAAGCAAAAAAAAAAAGATCGCTTTAGGGTAGATTGGTTGTGACCGTTGGATGCTCTACTTGACGGTTCAGATTCATTCTGGTTCGATGGGTCCAATGGTTATCTTTTTTTTTTTCTTTTGGCAACGTAGACGGGGAATTTTTTGGGTTACACGAATATTTTTTTTTAAGAGAATTTAAAACGGAATGGGTCGAAAATTTCAAAAGGTCAGAAGGTGAAATGACAAGAGTACCCTTGGGATTAAAGCCAAAGGTGTCTGAATCTGAAGTGTTTAATTACAGGACTAACATACAGTTGAAGGAATCAGTAGTCGCTAACTTAACTAGTACGAGTGTGTTCTACAAATACACACCTTTTGATAAGTTGGCTTTTTTTAGGTGAAAAACTGTTTTTTTTTAAGAAACTAGGTAGAATAAAGTTTCACTATAGGAATAATTTCAAAAAATTTGCTTAGACAAACAGAAAAATAAGAAACAGCTGAGCTTTTGTCTGGTGATAACTGAGTGAAAAACGCAGGAAAACTAAGACAACAGAAGATAGCTTTGAGCCTTGAGACAACTTTGAGATGTGAGAAACACACGAGATGATGATTACAACAAGACCGAGCATTTTCTTCTTTGAAAACGAAAGGGGTTTTTATTGACTTTTTGTTACATATGATTTATATTTTGCTCTGTTAAAACAGAGTCAAGACTTCTTGCTTCTTCCCCCTTTAGGTTAGGCCTTGGCCTCTTCTGAGGCTTCAGCCTCGGCTCCCCAGAAACTAGTTTTCTTTCCCGTCTTTGAAACTGTCTGAAGAACAGCTTCTGGCTCCACGTTGCCTTTCACCGTCACCTTCTGTTCTTTCAGATCCACATCAAATGACTCCACTCCTAACAACATTAATGTTCGTTTGTGTTTTGGTGAATTTTCTTTACTCATCAATCATGAAAATCGCATCACACAAATCTTTTATGATAACTACAAGATCACTCTCTCGGTGAAAAAAGTAAGTTTGAAAAGCAATGTTTTGAGGTTTTGAATTAAGAAGAATTAGACATTTGCAGAGGAGCTTAAGATCAATGGAGAAGAGACTTTTCTTGGAATTAATTGGTTAAATTTAGCAAAATCATAAAGCCGATGAGATTAGAAAGCAAATATGATACATCTAGAAAGAACCACAAAGCATAATGTAAACTAATCGCAGAGAAAATCAAACTAACCTTGCATTTTGCCCAAGACTCTTTTCACAGCTCCAACGCATCCCTCACATGGCATAGCCACCTTTAGAACCACAGTCTACGCGGAAAACAGACAACAAGTTTCCAAAGTTTAAGTTGAATTTTGGAAAGCTTAAGCAAAATGGACTTAAAGACCCCGGCTTTAAATCAAATGGGAGGGACAAGAAAAACAGAACTATGAAACACTGTTCAAGTTAATCAAACTGAGAAACAAAACATTTCAGAACTTAGATTGATCCAGACAAAAACAGATCCACCCTTTTCAACTACCATTACATGATTCGCGATCTGCATCTTGTATGATCATTCCTTGCCATCACCAGTTTGATAAAGTGGGAAATTAGTCATACCAATTTTGTCAAAAAGATTTAAGTACAAATCTCTGTTTTTGATTCATACATAATAAATCAGATACAAAGCATAATGTCCAAACCAACAAGATCGGGCAACCGAATGAAACCCTAACTCTAAGCCAGACAGTAAAATTGCAGTAAAGCCGCGGAATAGATGATAAACCCAGATCCTAAAATTTTTTTTTTAAAAAAAAAGAACAGATTCATTTTTAACCTGAGACATAGCTCTTCTCTCTTTCTCCTTCCTGACGTAAAGTTTAAAACTTTCAACCACAGCGAAGAAGAATTGTAAAGGAAAGAGATGGTTTTGGAGTTTTAAAAAGAACGCAGCTTTGACCAAGTCAACGCCGGTATTATTAGTTAATCATATTATAAAGAGATCAAATGCATAATCTTCGTGGACGGATAATTAGAATTCTGAAGAAAATCATATATTAAATTACTATTAAATTCAATAAAAAATCTTCACTTGAACTGCTCTTTTTTCAAATGACTTAATGAATCATCAGTGATCCAATACAGTCATGAATTTGCACACACACACACACACAAAAGGAGTTTGTAACCAATTATAGGGATGATCTATCGTCTAGTAATCGTGAAACTTGTGTAACAAAATATTTTTGAACTTATATGAGAGGAGAATATGAATATCACAGTAGTTGTCTCTGTATTGTTTTTTTTTGTTTAATTAGTTTTTGGATAAATATATGTCGTTAAACTAGGACCAACATTTCATATTTCTGTCGAAGATTCCTTTGCCGTAAGTGGAAAAGATCATCTCCTTGAGGAGAGGATACTGAAGAAGAACAAACAGCAGCGCCGGAAAACAAGCCAGAAGGATCGTCGGAGCAACTATCCATCTCTCGCCAATCATCGTGCATAGCGCCGACGAGAATGCAATCAGCATCGCCGCGATCGACACGAATAATATCGAAAGTCCGGCGATCATCTTCGTCGGCAGCGAGACCAAGAAATCGTCGAAAGAATACCTCGCGGTGAGTATCCCGAGGAATATGAGAACAGAGGTGCAGGAGGCGAAGCAGGAGATCAAATCGGAGACGACGAATGTGATGAATTGCGAGTTTTTCCGGTGAAAGGGTCTACCTGTACTGTCGTCGGTTCCTCCAGGGACGGTGAAGACCGCCGCGAAAGTGACCGTGACAATGAGAGCCGCGACTAAGCTGCACGACATGGCCGTGTCTTTCATCCATTTCTCGGCTTCGTTTCGCAATGCCTCGTGCTCCTTTGTGAATATCTCGAACGGCGTTTGCTCTTCTGTGTTTACTCTCTCCTTCTCAATCTCAGGTGCGATTCTCTCCACTTCCTGCGTAATTCAAAGGCCAGATTTTTTTTCAGGCCTTTATCTGTTTTCCTCTGTTTTGAATATAAAGTTGAGAGAAACAGAGCAAACCTTGAACCATTGCAACTCGCGCTGCATCTGCAAAGTTGCGCCGACGACTGTAGAGAGCTTGGAAGGAGGAGAAGGATAGCCGGCGAGATGAAGCACACCATTTCCGTCACAGTCTTTGTCGGCGAGCAACAGGTACTTCCTGTCGTCCAGACCGTAGAGGAGACTAAACACCTTCTCTTGTCTGAACTCGACGGCCAAGAGAAACAGAGTACTGCTCGAGCTCGTTCTCGTGGACCATAGAAGCTCAGAGTTGTTCTTGATCATCTCTACCAAAAAATCCACATTCCCAAATCTTACTGCAAAGAGTAAAGCCTCGTCCACTGTCTCGGAACGTTCCTTTAAGCCCATGGCCAGTGTTTCCTCTGATATTCCCGATAGAAGCTTCTTGGCTTGTAGATGCATCACCTTCATTCGGTACACGTCATCTATTCCTGAACCATCACTCGAGTCCAATTCAAACGTCATGTTATTTCTATCGAATATATAACAGTATTTTGTAGACGAAAGAAAGCCTTTTACTTACCGGTCCATTTAGAGAGTAACTTGAGCAGTTTCCCCATCAGAGTATCTAAAAATAACCAAGAAAAGTCGAAAACTTTTTCAGTGTCTTCTATGGAATACAGAGACTTTTATGAACTTATGTATATGGAAACGTACTTTGATGATCTTTGTTTGAACGTGAAGCCTCCGGAAGAGTCGGCAGCTTTACTTGTATCCCTAACAATTTAGGAAAGGAAAATTCATTTTTCTATTCAAAAGGACTGATTGATCTTTGTAAATGAAGAGGTCTTAGATTGGTACGAACAAGAGTAGATGAGCCGTTCCAATGGTCCGAGATGGCAGCCACCAGGGAAAAGATCCGGCTTTGAAGCCAAAACAATGATAGGAATCGACTCTATTTGCAAATGTTTTGTGACGGCCAAGCGTCTGCACATGCTGAACAGGTCCAACGCGATGTCTAATTGAACGAAGAAAAAAACAGATCAAGAAATTACCATCAAAACTGCCTAAAACATGTGTTGCTTGAAGTCTAAGAAACCGCTTACCGAGCATTTTATAGAAGATGGCATTGAGAAAGAGTAAGGAACCGTGATACCCATCATGGTCAATTAATACCTGAACCGGAGTTCTGGAGTAAAGATACCGAGCCATCTCCATCTGCGTGTTCTCAACCGCAACCACAACAGGAATCTGACCATTGATTCCAGGAATCTCTACCAGCTTAGGGTTCTTGGCGACCAAGGCTTCAGCAATCTCCATGTTTCCACTAACTGCAACGACAGTGAGAGGCGTGTGGTACGAAGCGTGCTGGCTCATCTTGGGAAGCATTTGTTCAGGTGTAATACGACGAAGAAGCTCTTTAACAATCTCTGGTTTCCCACATGCGCAAGCTTTCAACAATGGTGTCTCGTAAAGGTTTATCCATTCGTCTACTGCGTCCGGACGCTGGTTCAAGAATTCCTTGACGGCTTCTACACGACCTTGGCTTATTCCTTGACTTAATTTTGTATACGCATAGTACACATTTGTAACCTTCCCTACATCAACAACAAGATGATATAGTAGACACCATAAAACCTATCTGCATCTAGAGATCATGCAATGCGGATAACTAGCTAGGCATCCCGTGCTATTCTCACATATAGATCATCTAAAGAAAAAATGTGAATAATCAACTTTTAAATATGAAATTTGAAATTAGGACCGTAAGGTAGGAACTATCTTTCCTTGTAACTCGCTTATAGGCGATTGATTAGTTGACAATGATGATATATGAGAGAAGTCTTACCGCGAAGCCGAGATGCGGAAAGAGCTGATTCGATGAATGGAATCTGGTGACTTAAGGGATCATCATTTGGAACTTCTTCTTCAGGAACTTCTTTTATAGGAGAGCAACTGTCGCCTAAGCCAGTATGAGGAACTTTTGTGTTAGCGAATTTGAAAGGGCTCCTTCGAATTGTTTCCTTCGAAGTTGCGTCTAAGTAACTAGAACCCATTGTCATATTAAGATTTCTTTGACAAACTCAAACAAAGTATAACAAAAGACAAGAAAACAATAAGTAACAGGCTATATATAAAACTGCCTAAGTATATGTCGTACGTATATGCAAGGAATAACAGTAACATATAACCTTTGGTGTCTTGTGTTCTATTCTTTAATTGATCTTACATAAGAATATATGCTTTGCTTGGTTACAAATTATTATTTTATTCGGAAAGCTTTTGTGCTAGAAAGAAAATAAAGGTTCTTCTATATGCAAATATAAATTAATTTTTTTTTTTAAAAAAAACTACTTATTTGTCAAGGCTCCATAGTCCATAGCATTTTCATTTGACCGTTTTAGCAATCATCTTCTTGTACAGTTTCTAGAGTTCTCATTACTTGAATCCCAAGAAAGCTGAGATAGCCGGATGATTTGTAAAACCTTAACAAATTACATTATACTCCTTCTGTTCAGAATTATTTGATGTTTAAGGTTTTTGCACACAGTTTAAGGATTCATTTAATTTTTATTTTTTTTATACTAAAAATATTATTTATAATTCATTTAAATATTATTCAGCCAATAAGAAGACAATCTGCAGAATATAAAATGTCAAAAACTATAAAAATTCATTAAATTTTACATTGAAAAGTGAAAACATCAAATAATTCTGAACAAAAAAACCTTCTAAAACATCAAATAATTCTGAAGAGAGGGAGTATTTATTTAAACTGTTAGGCGGTTTTAAAAAAGATTGGAACCTTGCAAAAAAAAACAACGATTCCAATTTACTTCTTATCCACAAAAAAAAAAAGAAAAAACAGACCAAATTACTGAAACCGACTTTAACTTCTGCACTGTTGTTGCCTAGTGCTTAAAAATCCAGGAGCTATTCATCGACTATGAGCTTCCTGTCTACGCTTGAGAAAGATTGGTAAAACGCCTTGAAATGTTTGTACGCGATGTCTATATCGTCTGTTCCACAAATCTCTCTCACACTGTTTCACAAGTAACAAGTTCCAAAACCCGGAAGCTGAGTCTAAGGTAGTTTAACTTGGACACATAAGAGAATTGTTATAAATTTGAGCCATTAATATACCTATGCATGGAAAGCTGAGCTATGCCACAATCAACGGTTCGAATCCCGACTCCTGAAGCCAATATAGGTCCTATTGTTGAACCACATCCCATATCGTTTCTCACCACAAACTCCTACACGAATAGCAAAAATCTAATTGTCTGTGTACCATTCTTCTCATATATGAGTAGATCAGTGTAGAACATCTAGAAGATCCATGATATGTTGTTTACTCTTGGTTCTTAACATTAAGTAGTAGAATACCTAACCTGAATTGGAAGATCATGGAGCTTTGCTACTTCTTTGAAAAGAAAAGAAGTGATTCCACTGGTTGCATAACGTTGGTTTGCGTTATGCTTGATAACAAGACCCTTGTGTATTTGAGGACGGTGGTTCTCTTCATGCTTGTCTGCAAAGTTCGGGTGCACCCCATGAGCCATATCTGCAGACACTGCACACCACAAAAAATTCTATACTCAAGTTTCAGCAGAAAGACCAAAAAACATCCAAAAATATCTACAACTGTGTCTTGCGAAAATTCCAGAGATTACATACGCATAAGTCACAACTAAATGGAAGCAGATGCTTACCAAGAAACGATTTCCGAATAGCACGGTCAAAGGTACATTCGGTGACCTGCGCATTGCTGAGGGAACTCACAATCCGTCTCATTGCTTGAAACATAGTGGGTGCCCCTGCTCCTTGACATGAATCTGAACCAACCTATTGGAACAAATAATTTTTAAGAAGACGTTAGGCAATTACTTGGCAGACGTTACTAGCACATCATCAGCTCGAAGCAAAAAAGTTATGGAAGGTAAAATGCAAATCCTCTTTACCAACACTTATCATGCCAATAAATCGGCTAATAAGTTTATTTAACTAAAGCAAATTAAGGAAAAAGGGCACCTCCTCGTTGTCGAATAAAGCTATCATCCGGATATCATGTTCACTCGACAGGCTTTCCGATGAGGAACATGAATCAATGAGAGCTCTCAAAGCGCAGAAACTTGATGCAAGATTATCTAGCCTTCCGGAGAATATGAATTCATTGTTTGCTCCTCCAAGGCAGCTAGGTTGTGTGTCACAGATATTTAACTCAAGACTCACTATGTCCTCGACCTTACAGTCCAGATCATCTGACAAAATCTGCAACACGATCAGGAAACATTTGAGATAAATGTGGATTTTTATGGTTAACACCAACAACAAACATTCAGAGGCTCTCAAAATGTTGATAAAAAGGAAATAATTTTCCAGCAAAGTTAACTCTATATTCTGGATAGAATTTCTCAATGATTGCAGAGACTAAGTGCGATGTTAACAAACGATGAAGATGACTGAATCTAGCTAGCAAATAAGCCCGTTATATTATACCTGCATGAGTAATGGATGGTGAGCATCTTTGGAGGATGAAGATACGTTTTTGTCCTTGGACTCTGCTGAGGTTTCATCTGTTTTCGTAGCCAGTAGCGGAACAAGTTGGGTCTCCAAATTCGGTTTAAATCCATCACTGTTCACTGTGCTAAAACAATACAAGAAGAACAAAACAGCAAGAGTGAGCTTCAAAACTAGTTGTAACGCATACACTTACACTTGAAAGCGACTGCATTTGTCAAAAACTCAGCTAGAAAAACTCATAAAAGAAGTTTACCGATCAAGATGAATGGCCAAAGTGGGCACTCGAAGTAATGGCCTTTTGACTTTGACAAGCCTGTGCACAAAGGAGCCATCGCTGGCTCTCACAATTGCTCTCCCCGCAACACTCAAGTCTCGATCAAACCAGGTGTGCCACAAACCACCTCCATAAGTCTGAACATTCACCATGAGATAGCCAGACTTGGACGATGCTGACTTGGGTTTTAGTTTAAGACAAGGGCTGTCGGTGTGAGCAGCTATGGCATGAAACCCATTACCAGGAACATACCTACAAAAAATGTAGGTTCCGTGAACCCTTCAAATACTAAAGCATAACCTTAGTTCCAGGATTCAGTGTTCTACTAATGAAGATCATTAATTGCCAAACCGACTTTGTACCATGGGAAATAAAAATAAATCGGAAACTCACTTGTCTCCGACAGCAAAAGCAACCAAACAGGACATGTTTCGAGTAAAGAAGTAACGGCCACCAGGTTTAAGCTTCCAGTCCTCATTTTCACTCAGGAGATGGAACCCAGCAGCCAAAAGCTGTCTCTTGGCCTCAGCTGCATAGCAAAAGAAGGAAGATCAATCATAGACACTTAGCAAAGGAGTTCCGAAAGGAAAACAGCTTCAAATTACCAGTGGCGTGAAACTGTGTCCAGGATTCGTTGAGATAATCCAGAAGATCCCCGACAATCGACGCATTGGAATCACCCTGAAGAAACACGAAACAATTGAGACTCAGAAACTACTGAGAGAGAGAATGAGAAGAATAGATAAGATAAAGAGAGAGAGAGTGAGAGACGTGGGAGTGGGAGGAGCAGAGGATTGGAGAGACGGAGGAGAAGGAGCGGAAGGGAGAGCGATGGAGATAAGAAGGAAAGGAGAGAGATTGAGGCAGGAAGAGGGAAGAATTGAGGATGGTGGGAAGAGGATAGGTTAGTGGAAGACGAGCTATGGCCGCCATTTAAACTCTGAAAATCTCTCAACTTTCTGATCTCCCCACTTTCCGATCGACGATTACTATCCCAGCGCAGTTATTCTATCTTCTTTTAACTTTTATTCTAACTTTTCACCGTTTTCACCTTTGCACAAAAGTAAAAAAAAAAAAAAATTATTGGAGAGTATTGTATTTACATCAAAGAAACTTTCGCGCTTTCTTGTTAATCAAGAGGACAATTGATGATGATGTGGCATTGTTATCGCCTCTTATTAACCATTGCCAAAAGTCTTTCTCTGCTTTGGGTCTCCGGAGACTTGTAATAATTAAATAAAGACTAAAACGTTAATTGCTACGAAGCTTCATGAGTGGGCCCCCACGTTTTCTGTCTACTTCTCAAAGTTGTTTTATACCACACTTGCGCCTAAAGGAGTAAGAACTCTTCTTCCTCCACTCACCAATCATCATTTTCTCTCTGTGTCTCTCATCGGCCTGGCCTAGTCCTAGACATGGCTGAACTTATCGGCGGCGAAGTCGTGACGGAGCTCGTGAGGCAGCTCTTTTCTATATCTGGAAAAGCCTTGAGATGCAGAGGCGTCGCCTTGAACCTCGCCACCATGATCGAGGAATTTCAGCCCACGATCAAGGAGATCCTCTACAGCGGCGTGGAGGTCAGTTCCCATCGCCAGGTCCAGCTTCGTATGTTCTCTGAAACCCTAGAAAAGTGCCGAAAGCTCACCGAGAAGGTTCTCAAATGCAACCGTTGGAACATGATTCGTCAGGTTTACCAAGCCAGGAAATTGGAGGATCTCCAGAAGAAAATCTCTACCTTTATTCAAAGCCTGCCCCTCCACACTCTCGCCGACGTTCATCATCTCCGGGCTAACGCTGAAGTCCGTTTTGATCGGATCGATAGGAGTTTCGATAGCATGAACGAGAAGATGGGTTCTATGAAAATCAGGGGAGGTGGATTGGTGCGGGACGCGATGAAGATTGCCGAACCTACGGTAGCGACGGAGGGTGATTTGGGTAATTTGGGGGTTGGCTTGGATTTGGGAAAGAAGAAGGTCAAGGAGATGCTGTTTCATTCCAAGGACGAGGGAAGAAGGCTTGTTGGGATCTCCGGGATGAGCGGTTCAGGCAAAACCACTCTTGCTAAAGAGCTTGCCCGGGACCTCGAGGTCCTAGGTAATTAAGCTCTGCTTTAGCCTTATGTGCTTGCCTGGACTCTGATTCAATATCGTTTCTTAATTTTTTCATGTTCGTCTAAGGTGAAGTTGAGTTTTTGATGTTGGACTCTGTTTAAGAGTCAGAGAGACTGTTTCTCTGATGTTAAAGTTGCTTCTTTTACAGGCCACTTCGGGAAACGGGTTTTGTTTCTGACCGTTTCACAATCTCCTAATCTTGAGGAGCTAAGGGCCCTTATATGGGAATTTCTTACTGGTCATGAGGCTGGCTTTGGTGCAACTCTTCCGAAGCTAGTGATCCTTGATGATGTTTGGACAAGGGAATCCCTGGACCAGCTCATGTTTAACAATCCTGGAACCACAACGCTTGTGGTCTCAAGGTCTAAACTTGCAGATCCGGGAACCACCTACAATGTAGAGTTACTAAATGAAAGTGAAGCAACCTCTCTGTTCTGTCTCTCTGCTTTCAACCAGAAATCAGTCCCTTCCGGGTTCAGCCCAACTTTGGTCAAGCAGGTAAAAATTGGTCTGCTTTAAGTAATATTCTTTTTGCTTTCAGTACTCATATTGACTCTGTTTGGCAGGTTGTTGAGGAGTGTAAAGGTCTACCTTTGTCCCTCAAAGTTGTTGGTGCTTCACTGAAAGACCGACCTGAAAAATATTGGGAAGGTGCAGCGAACAGGTTATCAAGAGGTGAACCTGCTGATGAAACTCATGAGAGCAGAGTATTTTCTCAAATAGAAGCAACTCTAGAGACTCTGGACCTTAAAACCAGAGAATGTTTCTTGGATATGGGTGCTTTCCCTGAAGACAAGAAGATCCCTCTTGATGTTATCATCAACATGTGGGTTGAGATGCATGATCTCGAGGACGCGACTGCTTTTGCTGTTCTTGTTGATTTATCAAACAGGAATCTCCTTACTCTCGTGAAAGATCCAAGGTACAGTTATAGATCTCTCTATGATCTCATTTCTTGTAGCTCCTTCTATGGTTTTAACCGTTCTTAACTTAAATTTACAATGGATAATAATTTTGTAGGTTTGGCGCTATGTACACAAGCTACTATGATATTTTTGTGACGCAGCATGATGTTCTAAGAGACCTTGCTCTTCATCTAAGCAATCGTGGAAAAGTAAATAGAAGAGAGCGGCTATTGATGCCGAAAAGAGAGTCCTTACTTCCCAGAGAATGGGAGAGGAGCAATGATGAGCCATACAATGCCCGTGTAGTTTCCATTCACACAGGCAAGAGTTTCTTACACAACGATCCTTGAATGAATTGGTTTGGTTAGTCGTTAGAATCATAACGTTTTGATATGGCCATCTGTTTTTTTTTTTTTTTTTCTTACAGGAGAAATGAGTGAAATGGAATGGTTTGACATGGAACTCCCAAAGGCAGAGGTTTTGATACTACACTTCACTTCGGACAGCTACGTACTGCCACCTTTCATCGCTAAGATGAGCAAGCTTAGGGCGCTCGTGATTATCAACAGCGGTATGTCTCCTGCGCGTCTACATGACTTCTCCAGCTTTACTAATTTGGCCAAACTCAGGAGTCTCTGGCTTGAGAGGGTTCATGTCCCTGAACTCTCTACCTGTACGGTTCCCTTGAAGAACCTCCACAAGATGTCTCTGATCCTGTGCAAGATCAATCATAGTTTTGATCAGACAGCAGTAGACATGGCCCAGATCTTTCCAAACCTGTCTGACCTCACGATAGATCACTGTGACGATCTTGTGGAACTACCTTCGACGGTCTGTGGAATCACCTCTCTCAACTCTATCAGCATAACAAATTGTCCACGCATCAGTGAGTTGCCTAAGAATCTGAGTAAGCTAAAGGCCCTTCAACTTCTGAGGCTATACGCTTGCCCGGAGCTGAAATCTTTGCCTGTAGAAATCTGTGAGCTGCCGAGACTGAAGTACCTAGACATCTCTCAATGTGTCAGCCTGATTTGTGTTCCGGAAGAGATAGGAAAGCTCACAACACTTGAGAAAATCGACATGAGAGAATGCAGCTTATCGAGCATACCGAGCTCTGCGGTTTCATTGACTTGTCTACGCCATGTAATATGCGACACAGAGTCTCTGTGGATGTGGGAAGATGTGGAGAAGGCGGTTCCTGGACTTCGTGTTGAAGCCGCTGAAAAGTGCTTCACCCTGGATTGGCTCGACGAGTAGGTTCTTGATTCTCCCTCCGAGTCCTTGGAAACATGTTTTGTATTAATAACTCACTGCTAATCTGTAGCAAAGTTTTTGTATATATTCCATTGCCGCTCTCAAGAGTCGGTGCTATCTTCCTTCCTCCTCCTTGCCGTTTGTCTTAGAATATGATTAGCGTTGCTCTGTTTTTCCGTACAACTTCGTAAAGATTTTTCACTAGTAATCCTCCACTTACTTCAAAAGATTGCGAAAAGAAAAAACTTCCAAATATCAAATGATTTGTCTATAAAACTTATCGATAATTCCGAATTAACGGTTTAACACAACTTGAGTTATTTCTTTGGAGCGAACAAAAGCTTTATTTATTACTAGTTGAAGTCGATGTTTAAGATGTCAGGAAATTTTTTTACCAAAAAAAAAAAAAAGATTTCAGGAGATGGAATTCGTTATCTGTGTACGGAAAGGAACAGCTATAGCACAATGACAACAGAACCAAGCCATCTTTATTCTTTAGCCCCAATGGTTCAGTAAAGGCAGAAATATTTCGCAGACGTTATGGTTATTACGAGTTTCCACATCATATTCAAAACAGTCTAGACTTGATAGATCGCAACAGATACGATTTCATAAAGGAGAAAGACAGTTTTGTTTTTGGAACAAACAAAAAGCTTTATTAATAGCTGTCGATGTCAGTTTCAGGCCTTCTCAGGAAGTAACGCAGACAGTTCACCAAAACCTGCATGCAGGAGAAGTTGATTCTTTACCTCTTATCTTTTTAGAGTTTTTTTAAGTACAAAGTAACAAGAACAATAAATCACCTGTGACAACGAACTGTTTAGTGCTTGCCCTTGGTAGCTTACGTGAAACTTGTCTTTGGCAACCAGACCCTGAGACAATGGACGAGTAGTTATTAAAAGGGCGTGGAAATGGAATCACACTGTATGTACATATATGGAGCTTAGGTTTAAGGGTTTTGAGTACTTCTGTATCTATCTCTGCGGATTCCACGTCTATGTTGATATCAGCCATCACTTTTATCATCTCTACAACAAGACCTGGCCTGTCCGCTGTCTCTATGCAAAGAAGGCTAGCGAAAACCGGGAACCAGCGAGGGTTATGTAAACTATTTTATCAGGTTATATTAAATGTGACCTCGTATTCTACTGAATAGTGAATCCTTACCTCCTCTTTGGTCCGTCTTTTTTCACATCTATGTGCGTTGCAATATCGACATACTTTTTGTTCGGTTAAATCTCATTTCTCATGCAAGTTTGTTCCTCGTAATTTTCTTCAAAATTTTTTATATATTTATTTTTAAACCAGGATTAAACTAGAACACTTTTTGGTAATACTAGGTGAAAGCCCGCGCTAAGCGCGGATAGTTTTTATTATTTACGATTTCAAGTTGCTCGCTGCATTCCTACAAAAATAAACAAATGAAATGTTCAGAACAATCATCAAACAACTCACGGTTTTTATTGATCCAACAGCTGCATGTAGGTCTGCACAGGTGTTTAACTTTGAGCACTTAAGCAAGAATGTGAATGTGATTTAAGGTAAAGGGAGAAAGGAAACTGAAGCAGACCGGATGGTATTTCAACAGATTGTTAATGATTGTTAATCGAATTTGCTCCAACAAGTCAGGGTCTTCCACTTTCCGCCCAGTATCTCTGGCCGTAAGGAAAAAAAAAAAAAAAAAAAAAAAACAGAACAAATTAAGAACATAAACCAGTTCAGGCAATTAACAACAATACAAGTAGCTGCAGCTGCACACAACACCAATAAATATTTGACACAGGAAGTATTTGATCGTATTCACTTGTCGCATGCCCACAATCTAGTCTGAGACTAAATTTCCCAGGGATAATCATAAGTAATCAACACAAGGTCGACCTAGACACAATTGTACATCCAATTGAGCAAATAAGAGGTGAATAAGTAATTGAACAACATCTATAGCAAAGAGAGGCCAGGGAAAGAACGGCCTTTCTTACAGTTTTGTTATAGAAAATTTGGTCTGCTTAACGGATCCTTCAGTTGTGACAGTTCCTTTTATTACATCCAATCCCAAATCTTTCAGCGCCCTCATCTGCAAAATACAACAATGATTCATAAGCTGAAAGCTAGGCAACTTTGCATGATATCAAAAAAGATGCAGTGATAATGAGAACCCCTCACTGTGTCAATGAGAGCCCCAAGACGATCTCCAAAACTGAGTTGTACAATGGTGGCTTCAGGGTCGGCATCCTGGTCTATCATAACCATTGGCATTGGAACGACGTCATCATCATCTTCCGATTTCTGCGATCAAATTTTCCAGCAAATGTCATCTCAAAGCACACGTCAACACAAAACTCATACGCAGACGGTTTCCCTATTAAACATAAGAAAGTAAAATCACATATCAATCAATATAGTACACACATCAACACATAACCATATCATCTCTACATTTACTTGCTGAGCTTCTTCGTGCATATTCATGTAAGTCTTTGGAAGTCAAATCTATAGATCCAAGAACCATCAATCGTTTAGTTGCGAAAAAATAAAAAGGCTGATACAAAGTTACTGACCGGAGAAGATGGAGTAGTGGCATCAGTGCTGTTAATCGAAGCATATACACGGTTTCTTAGACTGCCATATCAAAACAAGCAAGCATGGAAAGATATATCAGCAATCTCAGATAAAATCATTCAAACGTATGACATTCACAAAACAAAGTAGAATTTGCAATTAGTTCAGAGAGAAACCAAATTGCCAAGAAACTTATCTTAATCATCTCAAGAAACATGTATCTCAAACCAAAAAGAACCTACCGATACTCTCTCAATTTTCATAACGACAAATTATCCTACTCCATACGAGAATCCAGAAAAAAGTTCCACTTGCCAAATCGATCGACCACATACAAAGCAAAGATTACTGTAGAATCAAACTTAGATTTGCCAAACACTTGACCAAAAAAGAGTATCCAAACATAAAAGACTAAGAAAAATCAAGTAATCAGGAGGAGCAAGAAGACTAAACCCCCAGAAATTCCAGTATAGAAAAACAAGAAAAGATGCAGAAGCTGACCTCATCGTGGAGAGAGACATTACACCTTGGACGAACTTCCGGGGATCACCGAAGAAAGCAGGCGATAGATCTGGAGAAGAAGTTTGAGCGGGAAAACGAGTCTGCCAGGTGATCGCAGAAGAAGGACGAGAGGAAGTAAAGGAAGAAGAGAAATGAGTAACAGAGAAGATAGTATTGGAGAACGCCATTGAAGTTGAAACAAGAATATTTTTTTTCTGGGAAGTCAAGAGAACACCGAAATCTACAATGGCGAGAAAATTGGCGTTTTGTGATAACAAAAAGATGATGGAGTGCTGAATCTGCTGATGTGTGACGTATACTTTTTTAGATGGGTCCACCTGGACATCTACATCTACTAGCTAAGGGTCGTATATTTATTTTTTCTTATTATGTTTCTACGAGTAATCAATTGATTACTTGCAAATCGGATTAAATTAATGTGAGAGTGAGACGAATTTAGACGCATTCATTTGGTTGCTGACGTTCTAACTTATGCGTTGCTCTTTTTTTTTTTTTTTGACATCAACTTATGTGTTGCCCTTGTATCTTCTCTCTAGTATTCTTTTCTCCTCCAACCCAATTGGACTACAGGTATTTGAAGATGAACCAATTAAACATGCTAAAAAGAATTAAAATATTACATTTGTAATCTTTCTATTTTTAATATATCAAACTAAAAAAGTAATAGTTTTACCACCAAAAAAAAAAAACTAAAAGGTAATAGGAATTGTTGGCGTGTTATAAAAAAACCCTATTATTTGTTGACCCAAAACAAATTTGGGACTGGACTCAAAAATAAGCCGTAGCCCAATGGGCCTCTATGCCAATTAAAAAGTCCAATGGGTCGTGTGTTCAGCAAAGAGGAATGCGATGATTTTATCATACACATACATCCAAGTTCTTCTTAATCTTTTCCATTTTTTTGCGCATTCCTACTTCTTCTTTTTTTTTTTTGTATGGATGGTATAAAGAGTTCGTTTATGCGATGTTTGCTTATTGGATTCAATATTTGGAGAGAGCCCCGGTTTAAATATACCATTTGGGAATAGCTGCTAGATATGATTTTTAAGCTTATTAGATAGATTTTTGGGTGTAAGATCTGTAGTCATCGTCTCAAAATCAAATGGCTCATATAGAGAAAAAAGCTTGAAATCAAGGTTTCAGCCTTGGTACTTTGTACATGTTCTAAGAAATCAAGGTTTCAACCAAAAATAAACTGCCTCCAATTGAAAACCCACCAATCCATATGCATTTGATTCAAAATACCACCAAAATGGTTTAAAACATATTTGTGTTTATAAAAAGGCATTCCTATACACTAATGTATATTATTTTATTACTTTTCATCACCATCATCACCTGTATCAGAAAATACCCAATCCTATTCTTTTTGCTATTCACATAAAATGTGTAAAAAACCCCTAATAAACTAAAAAACCATGGCCAATTTCCTCTTCACCATTTTTTTCACATCCGAAACCCGAAATCCTCAAAATGACCCGGAGTCGTCATTTGCTGACCAAACTCCGTCATGATCTGCTGCTGCTGCTGCTGCTGCTGCTGCTGCTGAGCATGAACAGGGCTCTCGTGGTGCCCAGACCAGTCCATGTTGGAGCCAGGCATGGCTAGATTAGTATCGACCGTAGTTATGTCGTGGATGCTCGACCTTTTCCTTTCCTTCTTCACCGAGTTCTGTCTAAGAAAATATTTCTGAGCATGGCTCGCGACTTGCGTCGGTGTCCTCGTCACCACCACGTTCCTCGATATACTCCTCCAATCTCCCTTACCATACCTCTTTAATCCGATCAGAAACAATCTGCATCATATCAAACCAAATGTAATTAATCACCTAAATTAACCGAATTGCGATAGTAATTGGAAGAAGAATAACAAAAACCGTGCTAATTCCCAATTTATATCCAAACAAAAAAAAACCCTAATTTTGCTACTTGCAAAGGGAAAAATGAGAATTCGGAATTGATAAACGTACTTGTGTTCGTTTTCAGTCCAAGGAGTTCCTCTTTTCCGTTCGCTCTCGCCGTGTTTAGACCCAAAGGAGATCTGACCGGCCGAGTCCCAACCCGCCGCCGCAGCCGCCGAGTCATCCATGTAATCCGGGACATCGACTCGGCCGGAATCAATCTCGATGACGTCGTGCACCAACGCCTCGTAATGGTCCCTAACTTCAACAGCAGTCCTATGGAGCTGATCGGCGATTCTCTCCCACCGATTCGGAGATCCTTCAGGGAAAAGCACCAAAGCTTGCTCGAACATCTTATCTTCCGATCTCGTCCACACGCTCGACGCCATATCCACGGGTTTCTAGTGGTTTTGAAGAGAACAAAAAAAAGAGTCGAGTGGTAAAATCTCAGAATCTAAAATTTGTTGTTGGCTGTTGGAGAAACTGTTTCAGATAATTTATACGGATTCTCTGGTTTTTTTCTTAGGAAAGTTTGTTTTAAGGAAAAATTAGGATATATAAAAGAGAAAGAATGTGCTGGAAATTAAAATAAAGAGGGAACAAGCAGCTCAGAGACCAACTTCAACACGGTTTCTCTGCAATTGGGATGTCTTTTGTCTCTCTCTCTTTTCTCTCTATTTTTTTTTTCTCCTTTTTAATTTAATTTTAGGGTTACAACTTACACCTGACCTGACGACTGATTTTTTTGCTCCAGTTTGTTACAGTTCTTTTTATTTTCTGATTTTGTACTTTTTTATAATAAGCATATGCCACTTTGCTTTTCCAATAATACTGGAACACGTAGCTATTAAGAAAAACAACCGCCTAAAAATACGAAAAGCAATCTACAAATATTTCTTTCTTTTTGGGTTCACATTTGCCAAACAATCAATCCACTATTTATATATGTACTCTTTTCTGTCCAAGTGTGCTGCTTTTAGTTTTTTTTTTTCGTCTGAGAAATTCATATTATAAATGTTGTTAAAACCAGAGTTTCACAATTTGGATCAAGGTAAATCACACAATCATACAACATGAGAGAGTTATAAACTTTTTTCTAAGTGTGTAATATATTCCTATTTATTATATATACCTTCTTTTAGTTTTTTACTCATATACTTGAATCCCGATAATTGTTTTATTTAACTTTCATTACCAATGTAAAACTTGTTTTCTCATATTTTTTGTGTTAATACTTCGTCATATATTAATTTATTTTTGGTAAAAACAATTCTCGTGATGCAAAGAAAATAATCCCTGATTGCTTAACACTTTGACCAAATTTATTATATACCGCAAAGTTTGACCAATTTTTTACGGTAGGGGGATCATTAATGCTAGTCAAAACCCAATTCTTTGACTATTTTTAACTTAAGTCTAGTGACCATTAAAAGTTTCAGTACTCACGACCCTTGACTAATTAAGCTACCCATGATCTGAGTCCAATTCTCTTTGTTTGAATTTAAAATTTTCACCCCAAAAAAAAAACTGATTAAGTGTACTATTCATAGTTTTAACTTATAAGGCTTAGTTAAACAAGTTTTAGTTAGGTTTCCGTTGGACGTTCTGCTTTGGAAAGTACTTAAAACGAGATTATTAGCACTTAATCAAATACAATACCACAGTTTTTTCTTATCTTATACGGAAATCTTCATTGTATTAATTAATTATATCCTCGAGTCTTAACGAACTTCAACAGATTAACTGAAGAGGAACTCCAACTAATATTTTAGTATTTTTTTAACTGTACTTTCTTTTTTACTTGTTTTTAATATGGTTTACACACTTTTACTAAATCTAGTTGGATCCACAAATAAAGTGGATACGTTACGGACTCGATAAAGGTGCGTAGACCAACTCTTCACCAGTTTAAAGCCACGTGTCTTCTTCCAATTGTTTCTCAATAATACTTTTGGCATCTCAGTGATGCCTCTAGATGACGTGGCATCTCCTCTGTCCGTCACGTGGCCTTCACAGAAAATCCTACTAATTTCTTCTTCTTTTAAGCTTTTTTGGCTGTTACCTTATTGGTTTTAGATTTTTATATTTATCTTCAGAGATGTGGGAAAGATACAAACACATAAGGATGGGCGCGGAGCGGATATCCGGAATTTTAGCGATATCCGTGATCTGCTCCGCTCCGGCCGGATAATTATTTTTATGATCCATATCCATTTCGTAATTATCCGGATATTCGTCCTCCGGATATCCGCCAAAAATCTAAATATTTGCCGGATATCTGATCCGGCTCAAAAAAATATTTAAATAATAATATATTTAAAATAAAAAATAAAAAAATTCAAAATTTAATTAAAAATGACAATATTTTCTTTAAAAAAATATTTTTTTCTTAACTTATTAGTTTTAATATTTATAATAATTAAATTTATAAACAAAAACTCATAAAAATTATATTTATATATAATAATTATACATTTTATATGAATTATTATCTATCTATATATACATATATATTTATACCGGAGCGGAGCGGATACCCGTCTTAATTTTTTTTAGTATTTGTGATTTGCTCCGTTTTTAACGGATATTAAATTTTAGTATTTGCTTTGCTCCATAAAATTACGGATATCCGGATTTTTTGGATCGAATCGAGACGAATAATGGATCAAAGCAAATATAACGGATATTTTGCCCAGTCCTACAAACACACAGATAAATACTAATGGAGAGTCAAAATATGGGGTGTCCGGTGAGAATTAAGTGTTTAACTGATTAGAAATTAGACATACTCTTAAATATCCCACAAAGATTCAAATACTCTAAACTCTGAGATAACTACAAACACCCTTTAGCAAAAAACAATTATAAATAGCGTAGATATGCCAAATTTTTAGACTGTGGTGGTGAGGGAGAAACAACAACTTAATCTTTATTGGTCGGAAAAAGGACGGCGAAACAACAAACATTTCAAATCTATACTAAAAAAAAAGAAAGAACATAGGGGGTTATTGACCCCAAATAAGAAAAAAGTATGAATGGGCTAATTCCCCAAAAAAATATTAAATGGGCATTTAGAACGGGGTCGTAAGCTAAGTATCCATCGATGGATAACCCATTTATCTTATGGGCTGAACCCACTAAAGATAGCTCACATCTCATTACTGATGAGAGACTTAAATACTGTATAGGCCTATAGATAGTGCCCATGATGTGTGTGATAATCAACTGGAAATTTTCCATTTGCGAAAATCATAATTTGATATAAGGCTGAAGTAAGAGAATTTTTTCTAAATTGGGAATATAACATCCGCTTGAGTTCTTTATCTTTTATTTGTGCACGTATTTTTTTTGTTCTATTTCACTAGAGGAAAGAACCTTTCACTCTTTAGTCTGAATTTCAAAAATCACTAATTGAATGGCATCAAATTTCAAATGCTATTTTAAAACCCATTATTGCACTCTATAAGAATCAATAATTCAATTCCTAGACCGACCCTAATAACATTCAACGCTCGATCAACCATTATAAAAGGGCTTGGTATTTCAATGTAATATTGATTAGGAAGAAGGTTATATATAGGTAATTATAGAAAATAAAAAAAATGTAATGAAGAATTAGGCTTTGATTGAGCTCTCTTTTTGGTGGGTCCATTGTTGCATCCCACGCCTACGTGGATCTTTGATGTTATCTACATTAAAATTTTGTGTCAACATTATTTACACTTAAATTTGTAGTACAGACACAAGCAATCTGGTTTTTTAAATATGTGAATTCCTACTACGCTGGGTGGATCTTTGTTGTTATGCTTACTGATTTACAGCAGTATTCAAATATACGGAGAGGAGGAAATTAATCAATTATAATGCTTGCTTACCATATGATAAGATAAAAAGATATTGTTTTCTCATATAACTTTTTTAAGTGAAACAGAGATGGGCAGGACTGGTATACATGTGTGAGACGTGGTCGGGTTGAGGCAAACTGAGTTTGCATCTTATCTACAATCAGTTTTGACCATCCCACTCACTGTAAAGACCACTCCACATTATCTTTTGTTTTTATTTCATTATCTCACGATTATTTTGTGTAACCAAAAACTGTGAGACGACATTGACTCCATACGAATCTATATTATTATTTTTGTCGACTTTAGTTCATATGTGTGTGTGTATAGGGTGGGGTGGGGGTTGATTCGAATATATAAACGTTGGTGAAGCTCATCTAATGATCTTTTTTTTATTGTGAAAATAGAGGCTTCAAGTAAGTGTTCCGAATTCATCTGGATAAGCTAGTGTTAATTCAATGCAATGCACGTCCAAAAATATATTATTGCAATGTGTATCCAGTTATGACTGAGAGCCAATTGTGAGCGGTATAAAATTTACATTACAAATCATATTACAATATTTTCACCTAATCAAGTTTTAATGGAGTTTTTAAAGCTTATACATTGAGATCTAGTGTACTTATATGATTTTGGACTAATTATTGGTGTTGGGAATCTTGATTTTAGTTAACTGACACGAGTCATGGTTTTTGAATGCGTCTTGTCACAACATAATGAAAGAACATGAGCTTTTAATCACCTGCAAAGCTACAAATAAGCAAGAATGTTTTCCAAACTAATTCCAGTTGCATAAAAAATGAAAATCAAAAACTCATTTCCTCAAATTCGGGTCACGCAAAGCTTTAAAACCCGTGTGCTTATCTCTTCAGCATCCCACGTGTCGCCTTCATTGCCACACGTGTGAACCTTCAAACCCCTCATAGCCAGTTAGAGATAACGTCGTTAGCGTGTCTTACGATATACGGAAGTTAACACCGTTTGTTTTTGTTTCTTTTTAACGTCCGTGACGGTTTCATAACCTCGGGAACTAACAGAGTCGTTACGTTTCAAACTACTGTTGTTGTAGACAATTAAGGTAATTGATTAGTACTAATCGCCTATCAATTACTAAGAATCCATTTTCAGTCTATATAATAACATCAGTTTTCATTTCTCACGCAATCTGATGACATTAAATAATATACCACTTTTAGTGGTTATATGGTCAACAAAAATTGTTCACAAGCATAGCTAGTTATGAAATCATACTATATACTACTAAACTAGTTCTGGATTCGGATAAAAGCGTTAGCATAATTAGTGTAGATGATAAATAAATGTAATTGGACCAGACAGATAAAAGAGCATCTTGGATTAGTAGCTTTTTAGCCGATGCTTATGAGATTAATGTGAATAAGAACAAAATTCTTCTTCTTAATAATTATATGATAGTTTTCAAATACCCTTTAAATATGATCGTAATTACTGCAGAATGCCACTATCTTTATCCTCTTATTCTCCTCTCTCTCTCACTCAGTTTTCTTATCTCTATTATAAACCCGAAAGTCTGTCAAATCATAAAAAATTCTCAGTCCTCCTATACAGACTGACCCGACCCGAATCTGGCCGGTGAAGATGGAGGTGCAAAGCAGCAACAATGGCGGTCACTCTTCTTTCTCCAGTTTCTCCGTCTACCTTAACTCTCTCTCCGTGACGCCTTCCCGCTTAGCCCGACGCGCTATATCTGTTTCCACGTCTTCCGACGAGATGAGCCGCGTCCGTGCCGTCTCCGGCGAGCAGATGCGCCGAACTCTCCGGTGGTATGATCTCATTGGACTCGGAATCGGCGGAATGGTCGGCGCCGGTGTCTTCGTCACCACCGGCCGTGCAAGTCGCCTCTACGCCGGTCCCTCGATCGTCGTCTCTTACGCCATCGCCGGCCTCTGCGCCCTACTCTCCGCTTTCTGCTACACCGAATTCGCCGTCCATCTCCCCGTCGCCGGCGGCGCTTTTAGCTACATCCGTATTACATTCGGTTAGTCTCCCGCCAAATCACCACTAGCTCATCCGATCAGTTACGATCTGAAATTCAAATTTCAAATCTGAAAACCGTAACTGATTTTCCCCATTTTCTGTTACATATACGTCAGGTGAGTTTCCTGCATTTTTCACCGGAGCGAATCTTATAATGGACTACGTAATGTCAAACGCTGCCGTTTCGAGGAGCTTCACCGCATACTTAGGAACCGCTTTCGGGATCTCGACCTCGAAGTGGCGATTCGTCGTCTCCGGTCTCCCTAACGGATTCAACGAGATCGATCCCGTCGCCGTTCTCGTGGTCCTCGCAATCACCGTCATCATCTGCTGCAGTACAAGAGAGAGCTCGAAGGTGAACATGATAATGACTGCATTTCACATCGCGTTCATATTCTTCGTGATCGTGATGGGATTCTTAAAAGGAAATCCGAAGAATCTATCACTTCCAGCGAAACCAGAGCATCCGTCGGGGTTTTTCCCTTTCGGCGCGGCGGGAGTTTTCAACGGAGCCGCCATGGTATACTTGAGCTACATAGGATACGACGCCGTTTCAACCATGGCGGAAGAAGTACAAAATCCGGTGAAGGATATTCCCGTCGGCGTCTCCGGTTCAGTCGCCATCGTCACGGTGCTCTATTGCCTCATGGCCGTGTCAATGTCAATGCTCCTCCCATACGATCTGGTCCGTAATTACAGTAATTAATATTTGTATTACTTCTATTAAATTTATAAAAAGGAGAAACGGGAGGTGGTTTGACTGTAAAAGTTGAAAACGGCGGACTTGTGTACGCAGATAGATCCGGAGGCGCCGTTTTCTGCGGCGTTCAGAGGATCGGACGGCTGGGAGTGGGTGACGAAAGTGGTGGGGATAGGAGCGAGCTTTGGGATATTAACGTCGCTTTTGGTGGCGATGTTAGGTCAGGCTCGGTACATGTGCGTCATCGGACGGTCCAGAGTGGTCCCCGTTTGGTTCGCTCAGATTCATCCCAACACATCTACGCCAGTCAACGCCTCCACTTTTCTTGGTACGTTTTTTATTTATTTTCATTTGTCCCCTTCCGATTTTATTTTATTGCTGTCAAAATCGATAAATAAATCATATAGTAAAATTTGATTTTATTATATATATTATTTTTGATCCATAAAGTGAGATAGATAGAGGTAGTTAGGTTAAAAGGGGACCCCAATTGGAACCGTTTCAGTTGTTTCCATGATCTTTTTTCTTTCTTTCTTTCCTTTGATTTTGAAGCTTTAACGTTTTCCCAAAGATCATACGATCCACGTGATTATACTATCTATACGTGTCCATTTCAGTGTATATTTTAAAATCAAATCTTTTGGTACCATTTTAAAATCTTCCCCCTATCGATCTCGATTGCGACAAGGGCTGTGTGCGTTATAAATGTAGGGACATGGTTTTATACATTTTTATGTGGTTTTTATGGTGTTTGGGTTTTAAATTTTAAGAGACAGAGAGAGCATCTGAGTTCGATAGCTAGATGTCATGTTCACCATTGGTTTATTTTGCTCTGTGAAAAGTTCTGAGGTTCAATCTTTTCGACGGTCTTGATTGTGATATCTTTGGTGGGTCTCTTTGGTCCATTGTGTGTTCCCTTAGTGTTGAAAATACATATTCCACTTTTGTTTCTTTTTCCTTTTAAGAAATCTCTACTATTGTTGGATAAACTACAAGGGCGTTTCATCCATTGGCCGACTAGTTTTCAATTATAAAATTATAAATAAAAAATAAAAATTTTGTGGAGAACTAAAGCCTAGTCGGCTGATATTTTCGCAGTTTAGTTTTTGTAAAATTTTCCGGGGCATCTTAGTGACTAGCCCATTCGACTTAATTAGGCACCAGAGTTTTGAAGTTTGAACGATGCCAAATTTTTCAATATGTAAACAAGAATATTCGAAATTTTACTGGCAGTAGCTCAATGGTTAGAATTTAGTCACCAAGGACACTAGTGCTCAAAATAATTATATCATACAGTTATTGGTTGCCATGAATTTAGTGATCATAGCATTGTTGCGATGTGTACTCATCAGAGCCATATATTTGGTTTTATCCATATATATATATATATATATATATATAAGTAAAAAAAAAAAATGATATATCCAATACTCTTTTGTGATAAACCATTGGCTATTCACAATGTCACAAAGTGGATCATAATACTTGAGGGTCATCGTCGTCCCAACCTTATCCTTACCAATTTTAGCATCCCACTATCTCACAATTGCTATATCCATAAGCAGCATTGATTAACCTTTTTTCTTACTTTGACAAAAGAATACAAAATAAAGGAACAAATCCTCCCACGACCATCTTCGATTTCATTTCAATTTGGACTTTTTCAGTCGGCCGAATAATCTTTATAGTTAATATGATAATCTTATTAATGTTTTTTTTTAATGTATATATTATTTCCCGAATCAGGCATTTTCACGGCGGCTCTTGCGCTCTTCACCGACCTAAACGTCCTCCTAAACCTCGTCTCCATCGGAACACTATTCGTCTTCTACATGGTCGCAAACGCTCTCATTTTCAGGCGTTACGTCCCGATCGGACCCACCAAGCCATGGCCCACACTCTCTTTCCTCACACTATTCTCCATTACCTCTCTCGTTTTCACCCTCATCTGGAAACTTGCGCCACAAGGCAACCTTAAGGCTTTCATGCTCGGTTCCTGTGCGGTGGTGGCTATAGCGATCGTGCTGATTTTCCATTGCGTGGTCCCTCAGGCGAATAAACCGGAGTTATGGGGTGTCCCGTTCATGCCGTGGACCCCGTGCGTGTCGATTTTCTTGAACATATTCTTGCTCGGTTCGTTAGACGCACCGTCGTACGTCCGGTTTGGTTTCTTCTCCGGTTTGATCGTGCTTGTGTATTTGTTTTATGGTGTACATGCGAGCTCTGACGCTGAAGCGAATGGGTCTTTTGGTGTGAAAGATGGCCATGTCTTGAAAGAACTAACAGAAGTGTAACAACTAAAAAGTAATTAGTTTGATTTTTTAAAAATTAGCTTCTGTAATTATTAAACTCTCTAATTTTATTAAGGAGGGGCGGAAATAATTAAAAAAGCTATTTAATATAACTTTAGGGAGCATAGCTTATCTAAACTCTCTCAATTTTTAAGTGGGGACTTAAAGAATGACCATCCCTTTTGTTTTCTGTGAGAGGAAGTAAAAAGAATATGTACGTAACAGAAAATTATGTAACAGTTTTAGAAAATCGATATATTTTTATTGATATTCCTATCGTTTTCTATTTTCGTTGTGAGACACTGCTAAGAAAATCAAAGTCTATAGCAAAGATAGGTCTTTTTCTTTATTTTAAATATCGGCTGTCTTGTCAAATGTTAAATTAAATTAGGGTTTGTTTTTGTATACAGCATCTGTTTTTTTTTTTTAATTAGAAAACAACAAACAAAAAGAAATTCTGATAAGTCTAAACGTATATTTCTTTTAGTAAGCTATATCATTTATATATTTTTTATTATTAGATTTTATTTCTTCTTTTCGTACCATGTGAAATTGTGTATATATATTTTTGTCAACAAAAAATTAAAGGACTAAAAAATTGACCGTATGCTTATTGAAGCGATATATAGAGAAAATGAATCAGATGATGACATTCATCTTCATCTGATACTACGACGAAAATAGATATTTATACTAGCTAGCACAAACTATTAACTCTCAATCAAAGAAGATTGCGACATATAAGCACCAATCTTTGTCAATCGTATAAGGCAAGATCTGGTGTGAAATAGTAATGTATTGTGTGATACACAGAGAAATGGAGATAGACACAAGTCTCTCATAAATACGAGAGATGGCGTACCATTGATAGCGATGGGTCCCCATCTTTCTCACGGGACACAGATACGTGACTTTATCCGAATCTTCAATTCCTACAATATCACTTTATTTTTTCCTTCTTTTTTTCACGATCACTTGTTTCGAATTCCTTGACGATATACATTCATTCATTTGTTATTATATATTTTTATATTCCTTTTTATTAAAATAATTATATTCTTATATACAATCTTGATAGTTGAGATGCGAAATTGTCAGGTTTTTAACCTATATTCACTCACAAGGTTTGTGATCACTAATTAATCGGACACATTTTCAGAAACTCTCAGCTTCTAATGTTTTTTACTACTATTTATATATAAAACTTTTGTATATACAGTCAGTCAGTCAGTCATGTTCTTAAATAAAGATCAAATAACTCATTTGATAAGATTTCAAGTGTAATACATGTTAATATTTGGTTAGCTCTAACAACATTAGTTCATGTTATTTAGGATCTTAATAATATTATATTGACCAAAATATATTATACATTTTGCAGTATATCCAAACGTTCTGTAGCTACAAAGTACAAACCAAAGTTTAGGCTATAAAAGTTTCAGTTTACTAAAGATGACTTCATTTTTAGATTAGTTTTCAAATTAGATTTCTGCAGTTTCTACTCTTTTCTTGCAGAGGACTGTGTAAATCATGAGCGAATATGTGATTTCAATTCGAATAATCAAATCAGCCCAATTATTCTTTAACTGAACACTTCCAATAAATTAACTAGTTTAATTTAGATAATTATATTTAGAAGTGGATGATATATATCCCGAATCTAAAATAAATGTGATTCTAATTGGGAGACGACACTTGCTTATATTCTCTCGCACACTCTCTTTTTGGTGACTATATTCCTAAAGATAGGGCCCAAACCAAGAATAGCCTTTTTTTCTTCAAGGTCTTCACATTGGTGGATTTTATTGTATTTTTCATATATTTTATGGATTTGTTTCAGAAAATATTCTGCCAATAAGAAGATGTGATTCTGTTGGCAGTACAAAGATTTGATGTCTTTCTAGAAACACCACTTTAGTAAAGTCATGAGTTCGATCAGCAAAAGGGTTCATTCAAATCTCTAAGTCTGAGTGTCTTCCTATGAATTTGCCTTTATCCTAATTACAAAGCTTAATGATGGATTCGACATTGGATTACCAATATTTTATTTTTCAAGAATAACACAACACGTCTTTTGTCTTCCGACGGTCATGAACAAACCCGGTAACTAAAAAGATAGGAGTATCGTAGTACTCCCTCTGTTTTATAATAGTTAATTTTCTGAAATATTGCACACAGATTAAGAAATAATAAATACTCAATTATTTTTTTATTTTATTTTTTAGATTAGTTTACTTTATAATTAATTTATTATTTTAATTAATATTAATTTATCTTTTCCACCAATAGAGAATGGAAACATGCATTAATTACAAACAAACATGTATTAATTACAACAAATATTGTGAAACAAGAAAAAAAATTCAAAAAATCAACTATTATGAAACAGAGGGAATATTATTTATTTCTAGAATGCAAGAGTAGATGAAAAAAGCTACAGCTTAATCGGCTAAATCAGATTCAATAAAAAAATTGTATAATAGAGGATGGGACCACAAAAGTGTCAACCTCTTTTAAGCATTCAAAGCACAATCTAAGGGAAGTTGTTCAGAAGCTAGTGAATCCATTAACCCATAGCTACGATAGGTCTAGTCTAATTATATCACTTTTCCGTTGACAATTTTATCACGATTTTTTTCCAGATTCTCATAAGCTTTTGACATTCGCTTTATCAAGTATGATCTTAATAGGCTCTATAAAGAATTTTAAGAGGAAAAATAGGAAGAAGTATAAGACTTTGATTAGATTCTCATCAAACAGCTAAGTTTTTGGCAACTTGCAATGCCTTCCGCATTTTTTATGCCCAAAAGTAAATCAAAGTTCAACATTCCATACTTCAAAAAAAAAAGGTAAAACATTCCATTTCTGTGATGTGAAAATGTTGTTGTCAAGTTGGTCTTACACATAGTCCAACATTCCTTGTCATACAATATGGATTCGCAAATTTTGTGTGTATTCTTTCACCAGTTGTATTTGACTATTATATTCCAACGACCACATAAATTAACTCTTGACTGAAAAAAAAGCAGATAGAAAAAGATAAATAAATCGTATACACTTACAATAACTATTAGGAAGCCGATTATTTTAACTGAGAACCTATTTGATTCAATATCTTAACACAATACAAAAAAATTACACCCATTTGATTTTTTATTTTTTTGACCAAAAGCAGCCGAAAGTTTTGTAAAGTGGTTGATCTTTCTTTCAAGAAACAAAGTGGTTAAACACTATAACAAGTTAACAACTACATACTGTAACACGATTTTACACGCGCGAGAACAAAGATTGAAGGCAAACGCGATTACAAAATCAGATTTTTCAATTTGAAAAAGGCCCATTAAGATTAAAATGTGTTTGTACAGTTTAGGCATTTTAGGCCTGTGGCCCAAACTAAGTATGTTGTCTCTTTCGCTGCCAAGGAAGAACATACTTGGGTTCTTCACGGTGAACATCTTGAGCCGATGCAGGATCTTACCCAGAAGAAGCCATACGACTTCTCTTCCCCGAATTATCTCCGCATGCACCAGTTACGAGCAGGAGGATTCATTACAGGAACCATATAACGATGAGTTCTCGAATTGTAACGTGGCCGTTCAAGCTTCGGACTTTATTGAATTCTTGCAGTTTTGTGCGAGCAACAGAGATGTTCTGGGATCAAAAACTTTCCACGGGAAGATTATTCGTCTTGAGTTGCAGAGGGATGTCACTCTGTCGAATGTTCTTATCAATTCTTATTCAAAGTGTGGATTTGTGGAGCTCGCCCGCCAAGTGTTCGATGGAATGCATGAGAGAAGCTTGGTTTCTTGGAACACCATGATTGGTTTGTATACCCGGAACAGAATTGAGTCACAAGCACTGGATATTTTTCTGGAGATGCGAAACGAAGGGGTTAAGTTTAGCGAGTTCACTATATCGAGTGTTCTTACTGCTTGTGGGGCTGACTGCAATGCCTCGGAATGCAAAAAAATGCACTGTTTGTCACTTAAAGCCTGCCTCGACTTAAATTTGTATGTTGCCACTGCTTTGCTTGATCTTTATGCAAAGTGCGGGCTGATCAAGGACGCAGTGCAGGTTTTCGAGTCTATGCAGGACAAAAGCTCAGTTACATGGAGTTCTATGATAGCAGGTTATGTTCAGAACAAGAATTACGAAGAGGCTCTCCTTCTTTACCGCCAGACTCAGAGTATGAGTCTAGAGCAGAATCAGTTTACTTTATCTTCAGTAATTTGCGCTTGCTCAAATCTGGCTTCTTTAATAGAAGGGAAACAGGTGCATGCTGTTATACGCAAGTCGGGGTTTGGTTCTAATGTCTTTGTGGCATCCTCTGCTGTCGATATGTATGCTAAATGCGGAAGCTTGAGAGAGTCTTACATTATCTTCTCGGAAGTGGAAGAGAAGAATATTGAGCTTTGGAATACGATCATCTCGGGGTTTGCAAAGCATGCTCGCCCAAAGGAAGTGATGATCTTGTTTGAGAAAATGCAGCAAGATAGAATGCACCCAAATGAGGTTACTTTTAGTTCCTTGTTATCGGTTTGTGCCCATACGGGTTTGGTCGAGGAAGGAAGGAGGTTTTTCAAACTCATGAGAACCAAGTACGGTCTGTCACCAAATGTAGTTCATTACTCTTGTATGGTTGATATTCTTGGTCGTGCTGGACTACTGTCTGAAGCTTACAAGTTGATAAAGTCTATTCCTTTTGATCCTACTGCTTCCATTTGGGGTTCCCTTCTTGCTTCTTGTCGAGTCTACAAAAATCTCGAGCTGGCAGAGGTTGCAGCTAAGAAGCTATTTGAATTGGAACCAGAAAATGCCGGTAATCACGTCTTACTATCCAACATATACGCGGCAAACAGACAGTGGGAGGAAATCGCCAAATCAAGGAAGTTTCTCAGGGACTCCGAGGTGAAGAAAGTGAGAGGAAAAAGTTGGATTGAAATTAAGGACAAAGTACACATCTTTAGTGTTGGAGAAAGCGGTCATCCGAGAATACATGAGGTGTGTTTGATGCTAGAAAATCTGGTAGTCGAATTGAGGAGGTTTGGATATAAACCTAGCATAGAACACGAGCTGCATGACGTGGAGGAAGGGAGGAAAGAGGAACTTCTGATGCAGCACAGTGAGAAGCTGGCTTTGGTTTTTGTCTAATGTCTTTGCCAGAGGGTTCTAGTGTTAGGATCATGAAGAACCTGAGGATATGTGTGGATTGCCATGAGTTCATGAAGGCTGCATCGATGGCTACACGAAGATATATCATTGTTAGAGATGTTAATAGGTTTCACCATTTCAGTAATGGTCATTGTTCTTGTGGAGAATTTTGGTGACATATTTTGTTTGACACAAAAAAATATTTATTTTCACCGAAATCATCAAAATATTGTAAACTTGATTGAAGATGTGCTGCAGTGGATGTTGATTGGTTTATATGTAACCAAAATTGGAGGTAAAAGTAACATTTTTTATAGTTCATTTCATCTTCGTTGATTCTTGAGATCAACATGTTCAAATGGAGACAGTCAATTGAGTTTTAGTGTTGACAAGTCTTACACAAATTTGAGAAGGGCAGATTAGGAATTTTATAAATAAAGAATTGTGTTACGTTAAAAACCAAAGAGGATGAGACACAAACGAGGGACAAGGGGATAGAGAATGGATAATGGAGGGAGCCTGTTGTCGCTCTCTGCTCCACACTTCCCTTACTCCGCCACCATTCTTCGCCGTCAATCTGCGGCGGCTTCCATCTCTTTCTCCCTTAAACCACAACCTCCGCCCGAACCTCCTGAGAGTCCTGACCTCCGCCGACCGGAGAAATCTCTTGGCTCTTCTTCCTCTCCTTCCTCTTCCCCTTCGCCTAAAACACCTCTTAAGAATCCACTCAAGGGTTTGACAAACCGCTCTTCTGTATCTCCTCTTGTTCAATCAGAGGTCGCGAGTAAAGTTTCTTCCTTTGGCTCTTCTCTCGCATCAAAACTACGTTTGTCCAGCAAGCTTTCTCCTCCTCCGCCTCCGCCTCCGCCTCCTGTGGAGGAATCCAGATTCAGAGATGACACGAAACCTCAGCTAGAAGAACCTCGAAAGCCGCAACCGGAATTCCGACAAGAGGGGAAGATATTCGTCGGTAATTTACCGACGTGGATAAAGAAACCCGAGTTTGAAGAGTTTTTCCGACAATTCGGTCCGATAGAGAATGTGATTCTAATCAAAGGGCATCACGAGGTCGAGAAGAACGCGGGATTTGGGTTCGTCATATACGCGGCGGAGAAGTCTGCGATGAAGGCTGTTGAGTTCGACGGCGTGGAGTTTCACGGAAGAGTGTTGACGGTGAAGCTAGATGACGGAAAGAGGCTGAAAACGAAGGCTGAGCAGAGGGTGAGATGGGTGCAGCAAGGAGAGGAAGACTCAAAGATGTCGAATAAGTCATCGTGGCATCAAGAGAGACAAGGGTCTCGAAAGACTCTCCAGAGGATTCTAGATACCAATGGAGATAACTGGCAAGCTGTTGTTTCAGCTTTCGAGAAGATCAACAAGGTTTCTCCTTTGTTTTCATCAATTTTACTCTGTTTTCAACTTCTCTTTTGGTTTATTCCATTTGCGGTTGGAACGAATTTTCTCACTGATTCAATGTTTTTCCTCCAGCCTTCTAGGACAGAGTTTGGTTTGATGGTGAAGTACTATGGAAGAAGAGGGGATGTGCATCGCGCACGTGAAGCTTTTGAGAGGATGCGCGCGAGGGGTATCACACCAACATCACGTATATACACAAGGTATCTCCTTTTACTACAATTGTGTTACATTTCTTGTTCAGATTCTGCTTAGGCAAAACATGTCATCGATTAGTAATTGGTTCAGTCCCTTGTTGAAAAGGCTATGGATGTTATTAAGTTTGGGATTCCTTAAAGGTTAAAAGAGGATTTGTTTCATGCAGCCTTATTCACGCTTATGCAGTTGGTAGAGACATGGACGAAGCACTGTCTTGTGTTCGTAAAATGAAGGAAGAAGGAATTGAGATGAGTTTAGTGACTTATAGCGTAATCGTTGGAGGATTCTCTAAAGCCGGAAATGCCGAGTAAGTGAACAATTGATGAGTCTGCTTGCACTTGTTAGTCATTCAAATGCTTGTTGTATGCGCTAACTCAATCTGATACTTTGTTGTCTTTGGAAAGAGCTGCAGATCACTGGTTTGATGAGGCCAAACGGAAGCACAAAGACCTTAATGCAAGTATATATGGAAAAATCATATATGCACACTGGTAAGCACTGATATGATTTCAGACTCTAGTAGTGCGTGTTGTATGTTTCGTCTTTAAACTAAAATATATGTTCTGAACAATTTCTTAGTCAGACGTGCAATATGGAGCGGGCAGAAGCATTGGTTAGGGAAATGGAAGAAGAAGGTATTGACGCTCCTATTGCCATCTACCACACCATGATGGATGGTTATACAATGGTCGCCGATGAGAAGAAAGGCTTAATTGTTTTCAAAAGACTTAAGGTAATAATTTGGGTTAGATCCTAGGTTTTTTTTAACTCCTCTTTAGCATCTGAGCAAGTGAAGATGTTTTATTTGTTTTGTTATAGGAATGTGGATTTACACCAACAGTTGTCACCTATGGGTGCCTCATAAATCTTTATACTAAGGTAAGGAGAACAATAGTGCGTGTGTATAAAGCGAAACATTTTCTTGGTATTGTGTCTTAAAGCTTGCCTCCTCTTATTAGGTTGGAAAGATCTCAAAAGCTTTGGAAGTTAGCAGAATGATGAAGGAAGAGGGCATAAAACACAACTTAAAGACCTACTCGATGATGATCAATGGATTTGTTAAACTAAAAGATTGGGCCAATGCATTTGCTGTATTTGAAGATATGGTAAATGACGGCTTGAAACCGGATGTTATACTATATAACAACATCATCGCAGCATTCTGCGGAATGGGTAACATGGACCGAGCGATTCAGACTGTGAAGGAAATGCAGAAGCTGAGGCATAGACCAACCACAAGGACGTTTATGCCTATCATACACGGATATGCTAAATCCGGGGACATGAGGAAATCTTTAGAAATTTTCGATATGATGAGACGATGCGGGTGTGTTCCAACGGTTCACACTTTCAATGCTTTGATTAATGGTTTAGTTGAGAAACGTCAGGTATGTTTCAAGAATCTTATGTCTCGTTTCTTCTGTAGAGATTATCTGTTTGATTAATCTCTTGTTAAAATATTATATTTGGTAGATGGAGAAGGCGGTTGAGATATTAGATGAGATGACATTAGCGGGTGTTAGTGCAAACGAGCACACTTACACAAAGATCATGCAAGGCTATGCATCAGTTGGTGATACTGGGAAAGCCTTTGAGTATTTTACAAGACTTCAAAACGAAGGCTTAGAAGTTGACATTTTCACTTATGAGGCGTTACTTAAAGCGTGCTGCAAATCTGGACGGATGCAGAGCGCATTAGCTGTTACGAAAGAAATGAGCACACGGAATATTCCTCGCAATTCCTTCGTCTATAACATATTAATCGACGGGTAAAATATCATAGGATTTTTTCAGCCGATTTTTTGGCCTTTTTTTACAATCCTCATGAGTTTTCCCCTTTGGTTTCTTTTAGATGGGCACGAAGAGGGGATGTATGGGAAGCTGCTGATTTGATGCAGCAGATGAAAAAAGAAGGTGTTAAACCCGACATTCATACTTATACATCCTTCATTAGCGCGTGTTCTAAAGCCGGCGACATGAATGTAAGTTTCCATTCAAGAAGCAGAGTCTTGTCTTATGTTTTTTTTTTTCGCGGGTTTCTTGGTTTTGTAACCAGAAAGAAAGAAAACTGTTGAATATGTTTGACAGAGAGCTACACAGACAATCCAAGAAATGGAAGCATTAGGGGTGAGACCAAACATCAAGACATACACGACCTTGATAAAAGGATGGGCAAGAGCTTCTCTTCCAGAGAAAGCCTTAAATTGCTACGAGGAAATGAAAGCGATGGGGCTAAAACCCGATAAAGCTGTGTATCATTGCCTTATGACTTCGCTTCTGTCGCGTGCTTCAATGGCAGAGGCTTACATTTATTCAGGAGTAATGTCAATCTGCAAGGAAATGGTGGAAGCAGGCTTGATCGTTGATATGGGAACTGCGGTTCACTGGTCTCGATGTCTGTGTAAGATCGAAGGTTCTGGTGGCGAGCTAACTGAGACGTTGCAGAAGACGTTCCCGCCTGATTGGAGCTCGCATCATCATCGCCATAGCTTCTTGGATCAGGTTTCTGATGTGGATTCAGAGGACGATGATGTTGTTGAGGATAATGAGGATGATGATGATGATGGTATTAACTCTGTTTCTGGCTTCTTATCTTACAAGTAAGAAAACACGGTCTTATAAGTTGTAACAACTAAGGAAATCAATCTTATTGAAAGTTCTCTGAATCAATCGTACTAAATGTTTTTAAACAATAATTGAGTATGTAAGCAAAAAAAAATAACAAGATAATATGAAAAAGAAATTAGCTCTTTATGCAAACATTCACATTTCTAAAGTTGTGAGATGCACATTATACGTGGACACTACACAATAAATGGGTTTGTGATGAGATCAATCTTAAGGATTTTGATAGATTGAAGGAATGTTGATAGATTGGCCTAAGGATAATCTTTAACATATTTAATCTTATATGAGTAGGAGCATAACAGAGTTTGGTTTCTTCTCGAAAAAGAGAAGTCAGCTTTAAAAAACAAAAAAAAAAAACAAAATTCTTTCGTAATGTAAGAAGAAGAAGCTCTGTTCTTCTCACTGGGGTTTGCACCCATTCTCTGCGGGTCCGTTGAAGATTAATTAGTTGGTGGTGAGGTAGTAAAACCTCTATGAGCCACACTGCCCTGTTTGGTTCCAACTATCTTGATACGGTTTTGGGGACCTGCGTTCTTCTCCATGAGAGTTTGAGCCTCTTACCGTTGATGACTAGCCTGTTGTAGAGCGCTTGAGTGGCCTTCTCTGCTCCTTTTCGGGTTGTGTATGTGACAAACGCATAGGCTCTCTCGTCGAAGATTCTGATAGACTCGATTTCTCCATAAGCGTAGAACTGGTCTCGTATGTCCTGCTCGAGTATACTCGAGTTAAGCCCTCCGAGGTAAAGCGTTTTGATGCTTTCATCCTCTGGTGGTTCCAATGTGCCCATCTCACCAGCTTTTCCAAGTAACTTCATCGCAACTGGATCATTCTCACTGTGAATGCGTCGTAAAAAGTCAACAAGTCAAAACAACAACTAAAACGTCAACAACAACAAAGACTGAAGCAATTGAGAAAGGCATGAAATTAAGCTTACCCATAATAACGATCTTTTATGTTATGGTGGGATAGCTCTCCTGTTTTGGGCATCTCATGCCGGTATGGACACTCGGCACCTCTTGTACACCGACCAATGGTGTAGTGACTACAAACATGTGGTCGGTTCCTTTCATAGTTTGGTCTTCTTCTTTGAAGCTTTAGAATAGTATCATTAGGTCGCATCTTCCCATATGAAGATTCATATAATCCAGTCCAGCTCTAGTCTACATATATATATATATATATATATATATATATATTATAAAAGAACAAAATTAATCGAAATCACACATGAGGACACTATAATCGATTCCAAGTATTAACTAACCAGACGAATTTGGATATCTAGACGAACTTTTATAACTTGCATATCAAACTATAACACTGAATCAGGAAAGAAAAATAATTCTTCTAATCTCTAGCTACCTAAACCCTAAACCTATAAGAAGATTACGTACGGAGCCATCGAAGCAACATGAAAATTGGAGATATATATATATATATATATATATATATATTGTTTGAGGGTTGGAAGCGAGGACACCATTTTCAAGTACGGATTGTCACCGAGGCAAGACTCGCATGCGATTGGGATTAAAGCGGATCCATCTCTCTGAGCCATTCTCTTCTGATTTCCTTCTTTTCTACAGATTGATTGTCCAACACGAATAGTGCCTGCCTGCCCGTGTTTTTATATTAGGGCAAACTCGAGTTGGATACTTTGGATTTACGTCTCTTTCAAATATTGCAAAGTAAGCCCCGAACTTTCAAAATTATCCGTTTTCTGTTCAACTGGATAAATCAGACCTCTCTAAAATTAGTGGGATTATTGACGCACATTATATACATCGATCCTGTAATGGGTTAATTTCTGCCAAAATCAATATACTTTTTTTTTTTAAGAATACAAATTTGTTTTTTCCACATGTACCTGTACGGTTTTGCATAATAGTTCCAAATTAACTGCAAAAAGGTTATTATTATCAATAAATAAATCACACTCTGATCTAAGATACTAACTGAATATTTATCTGCAAATTCATATATAGTTATATAGATATCAAGAAAATGTAACTTATATTCTTTCAAACAAAACTGTATATCTCACTGTCTTAACACCTAATAGAACAAACTACATTATCTTAACAGCACATGTTTTGACAGTTCGTTTACATAGTTTGTTAAATTTATATATATAAATATTGTGTATACGACGCATTAGCGAAAATTAATATGTTTAATTTTTGTTTTATATACTACTATATATAGTTTAAAAGATATGCAAATCTGACTAAGAAAGACAGCAAAATAATTTAGTATGGATTCTTAATAAAAACAGTAGTCAGAACTCTCCAACCTCATGAACCCATACAAGACATATATTATTAATACTGAATATAAAAAATTGGCCAATACGCTGCATGATTCGTTAAATAAATCGTATTAAATATAAACATGTGGTTCGTAAACGTACGTTTCACAAGTCACATGTTATAATGTTTGTATAACAAATAAACATTCATACACCAAAATAATCATAATGTCAAAAGACGTATAATTGTCATCCATCATTGTAAAGGTTAGGAGGATAATAGGATAAGAACAAAATAAAAAATGCATTAATAATTAATCAATCATGTCATTTATATTATTGATTTATTGTATAAATGTTTATGACTATGAAGACCTAGACAGAAGGAACAATATGACATGGAACAAGATACAATGGATCTCCCACTTTCGTACCTTCTTCTCTTCTTCCACTTTGAGTTTCACCTAACTAATAAAGAGATGGAGTTTGTAGGCAAAATGTTTTCGACGTATAAATTTTATGCAAAGTTAATGAAGTGCGGGGTCAAGAAAGAAACTATTTTGTAGTTTTATTCATCAAATCCTTTGAAAATTGAAATAGAAAAGTTGCGAGTCAAAATCTAGTTGAGACAAAGACAAGCAGTGAGGCGGTGTCCACGTGGCTCGTAACATTTAAGTCCTAGTTACACACATACACGACCTTAAAGCTAACGATACATTATTATTCCCATTATAATTATTAACGACTTCCCTAACGTCCATAACTATTTCATTCATAAATATGAACCCTTTTTAGACGAGATTTTCAAACCCATCTCTACTGTTTACACCAAAAGTAGCCTTTACTTTAGTGTAAATAAGACAATCAAATAGGAACGGCACAAAAAAAAAGACATTTCTTTATTTTGATTTTCATTATTTACCTCTTGCAACAAAATGTTAATACTAGTGCATTCTAGAGATGAACCTACTATCACTAGGTTTCCACTTTGCGCTCATGCATATAATTAACTTGTGGATGTGTACGAATGTATAAATTTGTATTTATTATATATAGAAAATATAAAATAAATATTTGGACGACCAAACAAACCCATGACGTATTAGTTATGTGACATGATAATTGTAAATTAGTTCTAGCTAGTTATAATTATCAATTAATATAGCAAGCACTCATATAGTAGGTTAGTATTATGATGAAATAGTTGCTAATTTCTACAAAATTAAATAACTAATCATAAGAGTCAACGGGGTACATGCTGTTCCATGCATTGCTGGCTTTGCCTGTTGTTCGATGATTTCAAGTAATGCTCCTTTCATGCAATCTTGATAATTATATTTTAAACCAAGTCGCACTTAATTTGTACTTTCTCTTATTCTTTCTCTATATTGTAAGCTCGCGCGATGAATTATTCACCAATATTTTAGTTTTTTATTATTAATTCTTGTAGAATCATATGAGTTGTTTGATAATTGGTACAATCAAAAGATCCCTAGTTCGACTATAGTATCCGAATTGTCAAATACAAATTCTTAATCGAAAACAAGTTATCATAACCAATTAAAATTTTTTTTTTTAATTAACAACAATATTGTTAATAGTTTTTGTTTTTGTATCGACCTCTTTGTAAGTTTTATCAGTTTCTGTAATATTGAACCAACCTCTATATATTTCTCACTCTCGTTTTAAATATTTTGCTCGGGAGATAAAGATTATTGTTATTATTATTTTATTTTTTGCTAAAGAGAAAAATTATTAATCGTTTTTGTTTTTGTATCGACCTTTTTGTAAATTTTTTAATTTTTTCGATACTCTGAAGACAAATTATATATATAAGCTTCTCTCTTTTTTTTTTAAGTATTTCTCTATGTATGACTAGTCTCATATGCGAAGAATTTTGTACAAAGTCCGACATCCGTATCACTTTGGTCGCGCGAGCACAGTTCGTATCTTTTTTTTGTAGGTTTTATTTGTCAAAGAGAAAGCTTTTTAAATAGTTTTTGTTTCAAGTTTGTTTTTTTTAGTTGTAATGAAAAACCTATATATAATTTCATAGTAAGATAACTTGCAATATTATGGTTTGTATTTTATTTATTTCCAAATCATCAATCGATGTTTTAACAAAAAGTCTGACTAAAATCTTTTAAAAAAACTATCACTTAAAAAACAGCAACACTGTTTAAAATTTTACTTGAACGAATTGTGGGAAGTCTAATTGTGGGAAGTCTCTTTAATATCTATCTATATATAGTTGATGTAATTTTCCGAATTATCATTAATTTTTTTTTAAACACATTTCAAGACCCATTTTTTTTGGGGGGGGGGGGGGACGATTTAAGAACAGTTTTTAATATATACTTTTACTTGAACAAATGCTTGGAAGACATTACATTCGTGTTTTAAAGTTTCCACGTGTTATATTCTTCAGAAGATTTTTTCTGCAATAAAAAATAATAAAAAACCATCAAATCAAATTTTGCTGGAATAATAAACTTTTAAAATTTTGTATAAAGCTTGAAGGACAAAAATTGTTTTTTTTTTCTTTGGTCAATAAATTGGTTTGTTCTCTTTTTATACATGACTCTGGTTGTACTACAACAAATAATTTATCAACTTCTGCGCCTTAGACCCAAAGATGACAATGTGCGTTCATAATTAGTTCTTTATACAAATGGAGAAGTTTTAAAAATGCAAATAAAATACGAAGGAAAATATTTACCATTTATCAAATCAACCTACTTATAAGTAATACTGTAATAGTTACGAATTATCAACATCAACACTGTAAATTTCTTAAATTACCTTTGATGGTGATGGATAAAAAAGAAAGAAAAGATATAGTTCCAATCACCGTTGTAGTTGTTGAGAAGTTACTTCTAAGATTTCTTACAACTGTGCTTGGCATTTATTATTACATTTTACACTGTTAAAAAAATCTCGAAAAAACATTTTACTAAAAAATCGGTTGGTCTTTAGCAAACGGATAAAGAGGTATGTCCAAGGACCAAGATGCTCATGTGTATTTTTTTTTTCTTTCGTTTTTCTGTATTTCATCAAATTATAGAGTCTGAGAGCTTCATAAAATAAAATAAATATTTGGCAGTCGGATATGTAAAATTGTGTAAATCTTATTACTGTCCTTCAAAAAACGCAATGCGGTTAAATTAGAATATTAGATAGTATAAACTTATTGTCGAATATGTAAATTGGTCTAATGTACTCGAAGTAAGGGAGGATATATTTTGTAAATTTTTCCCATAAAGATCTAATAGAAGAAAATCTACAATTAATATTTGCGTGATTCAACGGTGCCCCCTCTTTAATTCCTCACATGAGTTTTGCACTCTCTCTCGCTCTCTCGTTTTGTTTTCTTCTATTTCCCCAATTTTATCCCAAAATTGTATTCTTTTGTTAGAGGGTTTATCCCAAAAAAAGTTTATCCAATACCTTACGCAAATCAGGGGAAACACGAAAAAAAAGAATGCAAAAGACAAAATAATGAAGGTGTTGGTAAATAAAGTTAAAAATGTACGTAAAATGTTGTACTTATTTCACAGCAATGGGTTTTGAACATCAGATTGGTTCTGTTTAAATCTCATTCTACTTTCAGTTTATATCTCTGAAACTCTAGCATATTCATTCTTCAAGGACACTGTCTCAGAACCACGCCCTTACATTCTTGTACAATATTGATGGATCATATTGTTTTAGTAATAGTAAAAAGCTGTAGACATCCATCAAAGAAAATAAAATAACTCATTATTAGCATAATTAATTCTTCAAAATAAGTTTAAAAGAGTGTGATGTGCTGCGACTAGTCATTTGATTCAATCAATAGAGACCTCATTTCCTCAAAACTTATTATTTGTTTCTAGATACACATCTTCTTTACGTTTTACGCACATACAGTTATATATATATATATTGTAATTTACAAATAACATGTTGACCGAGAATATTAATAGAAAAAAGTTAAATTCTGTCAATATAGCTCATGGGAAGTCAGAACTGACTGCATTTCTTACTTTTTTTATTTCCCAAAACTGCGTGCATTATAACAGTTTCGTAAGAGTTCGTTTCATAACCTTGATATATTCAAATTAGCATACATGTGTTTATTTTCATGTATAAATGATAGAAAAAAAAACTTTTAAATCAATTTTTGAACTTGAGCACAATCTTAGGAAGATAGCCTAAAAATTAATTCGGATGTAAAAGAAACCTAAAATCATCCTGAAGTAGAGAGAAATTATAAATGAGAAGAAGATTTGACATGACGAGCCAATGGACAAGAATGTAGTACCGTCAATCAACCTTTATAGATAAAATTATACTATATTTTTATATTGGGATTTGTTTTCTGCAACATTTTCTTGTAAGCAATCGTTTTAATGCTTTGTGTTCTGCACAGTGCTTTGTCATTGGCTCGGGACTACCATTTTGATGTACATATTTATTTATTTATTCCTCTTCAATGAATAATACGGAGTATCTAATATTTTCTTGTCTTCAACTAAATTTAATGAGATTGCTGCGTCTTACTAACTCATAGGACGTGCTCAGAATTATAATAATATAGATCATCCTATATTCATATTCAGGTAATAAGCAACAAATTTTCAAATTCGGGTAAGGTAATTTAATAGATTTGTATGATTTTTGTTTTTTTTTGTTTTTGTTACTTCAAATTCACCTCTCCAACAACATGGGGAGATAATAATCTGTTTAAGTATATGTGAATGCCACACAATATTGAACTTTTCTAAAACTAGCAAAACAATTTATAAATTCATAAAAATATGGTTATTTTCATTTAATGTGTGTATTGGACTATCACTCAATGGACAAATAAGAAGAGTTTTTATAAGACCACACCATGATGATATTAACACCGTTTAATCATGGAGTCGAGATATGATGCATTGCAGTAAAGCACCATTTCGATCATTACAAAATTTATTATATTTTGGGATCAGGTCATGTGACGTTGTTGTGTTATATAACTCGGAATAACTCTGGTAACGTGTATGACTCGAAGATGATAAAAATAAATACTATGAGTTTGGGATAATATGATTTTAGGTTATTTGATATATATTTACATATATATATATTAATATATATGGTTTTAATAACTTTTGATCAATAATTTAGACAGCATAGTGCAGAAAGGCAAGTTAAATTTGGATAGTAGCATATATTTTGGAAAAAACTATTTAAATCCCGGTTGTGCAGAAACGAATCCAAAAAGCTAACCACAAAAAAAACTTTAACTTCAGTCTTCGTAATTTATCTATGTTTAAGACTTTAGTAGACTAAAGAAGTAAAATCACTTTAGCGGTTGGAAATTTAACATTTAGAAAAAACATTAAATTAATACTCAAGAAAATGAACATTTAATTAAAAAAGAATACAAAAATAAAATAAAATTAAATAGACACATGACCTGACCCACCAGCTCTCTCCTCTCCCCCTCTTATATCATTCCCTCCAACTCTTCTTCCCCTTCCATTAATTGCCATCTCAAAAAGCTTCTCCCTAACCAGAACCAAAAAAAAAATAAAAAAAAAATTGGAAGTTAAAAAATGGGGAAGAGGAAGCTAAAGCTTTCTTCTCTGTTCAGAGGCGGAGCCGGTGGATTACTCGCGGTTCCTCTCTGCTACAATGCCAAAACGCTTTCATTCCGAGTCGGAGACGACATGATCAAGACCGTCAACTCCGTCTTCTTCGACCACAACCACCACAATGTCGACTCATTAGAAGCCGAAACTCCCGAGTCATGGTTCACGAACTCGTCCGAGACGGCGAGTCACTCTACCGAGTCGGATCAGGACCTCGACGCTGAATCGCTGGAGGTTGTGGTGAGAGGAGTGGTTAGATCGGAGCGGTTATTCTTCGATCCGGGAGTCACGAGCTCGATTCTGGAAGAGATTAACGAGAAATCGAAATCTGGCTCTGACTCGAAATCGAAGGCGGCGATATCGGTGGATACGCCGCCGATTGAGGATATCAGCGTTGCGGTGGCGATGGAATCGGAAGATCCGTACGGAGATTTCCGGCGATCGATGGAGGAGATGGTGAGGAGTCACGGTGAGTTGGCTAAGGATTGGCAGAGCTTGGAATCGATGCTTGCATGGTACTTGAGGATGAACGGGAGGAGGAGCCACGGCGTTATAGTCAGCGCCTTCGTCGATCTCCTCTCTGGACTCTCTGATTCCGGCGCCGAGACTACGTCGGCTTCGATTTCGGATTCGGCTCGTTACTCCACCGCCGTTTCGTCTTTGCCGTCGTCACCGGTTTATTCATCATCTCGAGGACAGACGGAGATCGAAGAGGAAGAGAGACGGAGCTGTTAAAAAATAAAAACAAAAAGCTTTTTTTTTTTTATCAGATTAACTTTTTGGATTCTGTAAAAAGTAATTAGTGGTTAGAGGAAACCCATATATTCTCGATTATATATATTTAGAGCCTTCATTAACTTCTTAAGTCTTTAAGTACTGTGGTAACTTTTCTCATAACTTTTTTTTTTCTTTGGTAAAACCCTTTTTCTCATAACTCATAAGGGAAAGTAACAACTTCCACACGTAAATTCATAGCGACCGCACGAAACTCAGCAGAATCATACCAATGAATCCAGTAAAACTGTAAAACAGTTCCCCAAAAAAAAAAATAACAACAGAGAAATGAAACTTGTATATATGCTATTTAAGATATTTAATTTTGACTTTCTTTGTCTTAAAAGGACGTAAAAACTATTTGATTTTTTCATTTTAGATCTCATTCGGCATCTACGATATAGAGTATTTATAATGCAATTGGACCTTAAGCATTTTCTTATATCTTAAGATCTTCACCAAATGTTTGTTATATAAAAGAAAAAAAATCTTCACCAAATAAACACCACAACATGGTAAATGTTCGTTTGTGAGTTAGACGTTTTTTTTTGAAAAATCATTTTACTAGTTAAATCATATTTCGTAGTAATAGTTTATGTCTACTTAATCATTTTTATAGTTTACTTAAATAAATGTAGTTTATATATATCCAACGTATCGTTGTTTATATTCATACCATAATCTTCTTGACTAGCACTATAACAATTTTATATTCTTAGCAAAGTCAATATAAACACATTTTCATGAAACCTATCAAAATTGTAGTATCTATGAAACAAAAAAATATATTTGATAAACGCAGTGAAATAAGATGAGTGTAAATAAAAATTGTGAAAACATCAAATATAGTATTTTGAAAGTCCTATTTAATTCCTTTTGTTTTGTTTTTAATGAGTAATATTGCAAGTTTACTTCAAATTGCTATATTGAAAGTGCGTTGGTTATTTAGCAAAAGAGTATCAATAAAGAAGTTTATTAATTATCAAATTTGACGTATTATCAACATTTGATTTGACACTTAAAAAGTATCATCATGGTATATATGTAAACAAAACAGTTTACTTTATGTTAATCATATGCGAGTCAATATCTTGAAAGTAAGTATGAAATAGAAATGCTCCAAAGTTATGTAGAGATATTCAAAATTTTATGCAGAAATATATAATTTATGATATTTATAAAGGAATTTAAAATTTAGAATATTCAAAGATTATTATAAAAACAAGATACTGTATTTACGATGGTGCATTAAAAGAGAATGTTGGTCTATACTGAGTTAGATTGGAATTGAAATGAAGCAAAAGAGATTTGTAATTTGTAATTTGGATTGAGAAATGAAGGAAGAGTAACATGAGATGAGCGATGGTGGTGTGGTCACACACACACACACCCTGTGAATCCCAACATCATAGACCTACTTCTCTCTTATCTCTTTCCATTTATTGCTCCACATTTATTTCTGGGACCAACCTAGACGACGACGTTTAATGTTTCTTGTTTTGTTTTATTTTCTTTTCATCATTTTATTACAACTATCACAGTATTATTATGTATGTGCTCTACTCCCCAATTGCACCAAAAATTGTTATTATCTTTTGCTTTCTTTTAAGAGATACATATAGTACATAGGGCAGGTCCTCAGAGATATATGGATCCTACACGAATTTTTTTTTTTAAATGGGAATTTTAAACGTACAGAAAACTATATATCAAACATCTGTTAAATAAAAGACAAATTTGTTATTTAAAAAGAAAACATGTAACATCATACAACTAACAACAGTTTATTTCACAGAACATCTTTTTTGTTTCTACTTGCAAAAATCACTATCATTATGTTTATGTTTTTTTTTATAAAGTATAAAATAGGGGCCCAACTTGTTTGATAAACAGACTACAGTCGCAAAATCTATCATCTAAATATACTACGTCAAGAACGAGACAAAAATACATGGACACTTAGATTTGACAGTTGAAGGCCCATTTGGGGAAGGTTCTTCAACCTGGCCCCACACCCACACTGGTTTATTCAGATTTAGCAGAAAACAAACCAAAATCAATATGGTTCAGGTTGGTTCAACGACAGAAACTTCCCATTTCAAATTCGTTACTGCCTTGAATTCAAATTTTAGAGAAGACAACACTAATATGAAAAAAAAAAATCGATTTAGACGCCTTCATTAGCTGAAATATCCGACTATTGGGTACTTGAGGCGCAAGGAACAACGAGAAGTAGAAAAAGTAATCGAGCCAAAACCAACAATACATAAACATATTACACAAATCAAACTAAAACCGAAACCAATCCAGTTTTAAGGAGTTCCTCAAATTCAAGTAGCATTCTGAAGAACCTACTAGAGACTATAATAAAATGTGTCAGTGTGTGTGTGTGTGTGTGTGTTTCCTTTATTCAGTGCGAGTCAGGGTCTTTACCAAAACCCATCATGGCATGAGTCGCTAGCATCAAACCTCTTCGACCCATCTCCATTGCACGCCCGACTAACGGGAAGCCAACCGTGTCTCTGTTGCTCAGAGGTTTCTTGTCCCACCTGATACATTATTCACCAACAAGCAGTTAATACGAAATTAATGATACAAAAATAGAATCTGTGAAATTAGCTGTTTTGAGAAAAAGGATATATAATTATTACCAGTCTTCGTGTCGGACAATCTTCCCGTTCTCAACATAGAGTTTAATGAGAGAGATCATATCTATGTTCTTTCCAAAGATCTTGTAGTGTTGTTTGTTGTCAATTAGTATCTGTTTTTCCATAAATTGTTTCTTGTAATTAAATGATGAAAAGGTTACCAAAAATATCATGTAATAGTAGTAACGAGACTAAAATACGAGGATTCTAAATTTCTAACCTCTTTCTTCCCCGGTGCGATTTCACTTTCCTGAATATGATATTCTACTATCTTCGACTCACTGAACACCTGTGAGGAAAATATATATGATGCGTGATTGAGTCTTTGCTTGGGGATATGTAGTTCCATCATCATAGTATATAGTAAACAGTGAAGTGAGGGAATGAGAAGTGAGATTATATTACCTTAGAAAGTGAATAAAATGCTGATTTGATTTGCTTCACCCTGAAAAGACAAGGGTAGAAATTGAAATTTCAAAAGTGAGGAAATCTCTGTAATTGCAAGCAAGAACATGAAGGTATTAGTAGAGGATGATCACACATACCCTAGAGCATGTGTTAAAGGGTCCTCAAACGAAGCATCTGGTGCATACATGTCAAAATCGTTGGCGTTTGCGCAAGCACCGTACCTAAAACAAATGCCACAACTCGTGTTAAGAATCAGAATCCAATTCAACATACGACTCAAAATGGTTGAGAACTAAAACCAAACTTGTGATCCGCAATTTGTCATTAATGGAACTTGGGATGCAAGGAACACGTAAGAGCAGCAGCTCAGTTTACAACAACTACTATCTTCGGCTAGAAAATTACAATCAAATGGATGAAAGCTTCTGAAACAGCCATGCCTACAAAATTCAAATCCCTGTGGATGGATTCATCTAGGTGATCTACAGTTACGCAAATAACCAAACCTTTTGAATCTAATTCGGTTCAAACAATACCAAATTGAATCAAACAAAAACCAAAACTGAATCTAAACCTAATTTACTTGGAAATTTTCTTAAACTCAAGGATAGATTTCGTTACAGATGAAGCCGAACGTAACTCGAACAGAACAAAGTAAGTGGGCAACCAATAAAGCCAGCATAAGAAGCTGAACGAAATCGAAAATAGGAAGAATTAAAAAAAAAAGATGCATAAGAATCGGGGACAAATCGTTCTCACAAGTTGAGGATATGAGGCATGAATCTATCAGCAAATTGTTTGTGTTTCAATTCACAAGCTCCTTTGCCCTCGCATTCCCACGCCGGATCCGTTGCCGCATCAGTTTCGTCTAATATAAACCGCAAAACAAAGGATCAGTCATCACCAGAACGACACCGATCGAAAGAAGAAGATGAAGAGCCTCGTGTATCCACAAGCATTGGATCGTAAAAAAAGAAAAGGAAAAAGTAAAAGCTGAAGATCCAATGGTTAATTTAAACGAACCTGGACTCTGATTATTGTGTTTCCCCATGGATATTGTTGCGGAGAAATTCCTTGGAAAATGCTGAAAGAGAGGAGAGATGGAGAGATTTGGAATACCAAGTCGAAGCGAGGGAAGGAGAGTGTGTTATTGCCGAGTAGATGAAAAATGATTGTGGTGGATTAGCGACCACGTGGCACACTCGTCTCCATATGTGCTTTGTTTTGACCGTTGATTTTTAACGGAGAAAATGAATTCCCTTTTTTCTTTTTCTTTCTTTCTAGTCCCTTTAAATTGTATGGTTTATTGGAATTTGGGGGGGTATGTTTTGATAGTGAACCGGACCCTAGTTCACATTTTGTTTTTGATAAGCTAAATTTGTTGAACTACATAAACTTTAGGATCAAAAAGGAAAAACTACATAAACTTGTGCGTTTATGGATTCGCTTTGAACGAAGGAAATTTGTGATAAATAAATAAAATAGCTAGGTGTGTGCTTTCTTGTTCGACACTCTTGAATTTTGATATCAACTGTTCGTACACAAATGATTTTTTTTTTTTGTTTTGGACCAAATACACACATGGATTGAAGCTGCAACTTTCTAGATTCCAAGCAAGGATCAGGAACTATTGAATTTCGAATCTTGAAAAAATTAAACGTTAAATATAGTTGAGTTCTTTTCATCACCATTACTTTCATTTCAAGAGAAATATCTTCCTTAGTTTTTTTTTTGTCGACATCTTAATATTTAAGTGTTGAATGGCTATATGTTATTATAGTATATTTATTTTCATGATATTAATTCCCCACCAAAGTAAATACAAATGGAAACACAAAAATCTCAACTTTGCGTAAACGAAACAAGTACTCGATATATTATATAATACTTAAAGTTTGAAGCACAGCTGTTTTTATATAGGTCAAGTCTCAATTTTTAAAAAGGCAAAAAGAAGACCTTGATTAATTTTAAACTCTCTCGTTAACAACTATTCTAAGAATTTGGTCAAATAAAAAACTACGCTTTTTTTTTTGCCAACAAAAAAAAATCTACTCTAAGATACATGCTTTGACACTTTTATTAACAGGATACATAATGGATTTTGTGGATGAAAAGAGTCACTCTACATTTACAATGACGTGTATATCCATTTTATGTCCTTTAACTAAAAAAAAATGGATCATTTTATGTCTATTTTTGGCATGTGAATTGATTTTCTTTTGAATCAGCGAGTTTTCGTAAATATATTATGACTGTTTGATTTGTTTGCTCACGATTTACTAGCCTAAAGAAGCGGACTATAGTACTTAAACATTCGTAATTTCGATATCATATTGATAATAAAATTGCTGAGCCATCAATTTTTTGAATAATTCGTTTGGGAATCAAATAGACTGATGAAAAATAATCCACATCCGCGGTTAAACACAATTGTTACAACTTACATAATGTACCAATCAAATTAAGAGACTATTTGTGTATTGCTTTCAAGTTGAGACGATCTAACTCAGAAAGTGAATGAGATCGAATACAACACCTCGATCTATAAGAAACTTTTTTGTACTTAGGGTCAAAACTAATACCCAAAATGTGTTAAATGGTAAATAAAATTTTGTGTCAATGCAAATCTAAGAACGTCGAATATGATATATCTAACTAAATATTATTGAAAATATTAAGCGAAGAAAGTTTTGTGATATGGTAAGCAAAATTGGTTATTTTTCTATTCCAACACTTTAATGATACAAATTCAACCATATTGATTACGCTGTACATAACATTATATTATTTTTTTTGTCGACAACACATAACATTATACTTTCTCCGTAATACATTTCACACAGATTAAAAAATTAATAAAATATAAAAATATACCCTTAATTAATATACTTTTATAATATTTGATTACAAAGATTATTATTTTTAATAAGGGATAAAACAGGAAAACAAAATAACATTTTTTTTGAAATAAAAAATAAAATCTAAAATGACATTTATTATAAAACGACATTTATTATGAAACGGAATAATTATTATAACAATCTATTTTTTTAAAAAACACTCTGCTTCTTGACTATTTCCTTTACAGCTGTTCCTTGGCGAACGTTCTAGATTGATCAGAATGTATTAAAACCAAAAATTGGGACGTGTTAATGTAAATGCCAAAATCTGTTGAAATATCGTAATCAATGTGAAACTTTTTTCTTTTTTTTGTTTTAAAGTACGGATGGGGTCAGTGACCTGACCTTGACCAAAAAAAAAAAAAAAAGTAAAGGGCCCAAAAGCCGTCCGTACACCTCGTCTCCAGCCAATTGTGTTTTTTGGAATTTGGCCTTCCTCTTCAATTCCCTTCTTGCCTATACACACATTTTATACACACATTTTTTTTTAATACATTATTTATACGCACGTAGCTGTGAGATAAAGCGAAAAGAATAAATTCTCTTTTTTTTTTTTTTGTTCGATATACGATTGGTGTTGCACGCTTTAATATCTTTCTTCGCATACACTCGCCGTTTTGCTCTTTTACTCCGCATTGTTCCCCTGTCACTTTCTTCGCCGGATAAATTTTCCCGGAGGTAAATTAAGAATCTTTTCCATGATTGGAGACTTAAAACTTGGTCTGCTTGATTCCTTATGAGTCTGCTCGATTATTCGATTCAAACTCCGGTGATTTTCAGGGCTTCGTTTACTGTCTCTGTTGTTAAAGTTTCTGGGTTTTATTTCAATGCCGTTTTTCCTTAAGCTCGTAATGACTCCTCTGCTAACTGTTTCATTGATTCGATGTTGTTCGTCTAAATTTTTTTGCTTTTTTGTTCGTTCGTTTGTTTTCTTTGTCGTGTGGGGTTAGTACAAGGATGGCTGTCGGGATCTTTTTTTACCTCACAAACTTTTTTTGACTAAATTAAGATTTTTGTCTGTGATTGAGGTTTCTGTTTGATAGCTGAAACTGGGGTTTAGTGTGTAAGTTGTCTTTGCATAGAGCTCTACTTTCTTTAGGTTGATGATGATGATATATAGCAGCTTGTTTAACTATTTCCTGCTAGTAAAGCTTTTGAATCTTTTGATTTCTTAGGAAAACCTGTGAAGCAAATCTCATAGCTTTAATCATGTCAAGGCCTGGTCAGCTTCCTCCTCGTTGCCCGATTCCAAAGAAGATGTCCCTGAATCCGGTTGCAGATACTTATTACTCTTCTTCTTCACCCATTGAATCATACATTGGCCAGTACAACTCTTCCACTCAAGATTCCACGCTCGATGATCAACCAGCTTGGCTTGATGAGTTGCTGCACGAGAAAACTGATGGGATGCTCACTGGAGGTGGTCCTCTGCGCCGCTCAGCTAGTGACTCGGTTGTGCTTTTGGGAGACATCTCAGCTAACTTCTCTGGTTTTAACCAAAGCGAAGATGAAGAGAGTTTGACTTCTGAAGCTTGTGGGGAGCTGGAGTCAGCCTGTGTATATGGTCCTAACTCGCCAAGAGCGAGGAACAACTCAAGCTTCTCTAACAACCCTATTGCTTCTGCATTCTCGGATTTTGCTTCTCAGAAACCTCCTCAGAACCCAGATGATACTGTGAAAGGGATCAACTCTCCACCTGTGGCAGAAAATGCTTGCGGTTCAATGGGCGTACCAAATGCAAAAAGGTGAGAGAACCTAAATCTTCTTCATTGTACTGTCCTTACCTTAAGAGTGTTCTTTATCACACATATGCGGTTCAATGAACATTAATCTTCTTATGGCATTAGTCTCTTAGCATCAGTACTTAATTGTAGGGCCCTACCTTAAGATTATTCTTTAGCGGCTTCCTAATAAACATCATTCATATGGGTGTATCTAGTTTTTGTCCGTGAGCTCTAATGTGGTACCGCTGCATCTAGCTTAAGATGCAGACATAACGATAAGAATACTTTGGTTTCTGGTTTTTAAGTAAAAAGAAAGATAGGAGCAAGAACTTCCATATCTCTGGTTTACACTGGGAGTTGTTATGACTACTACATTGGCAAATATGTAGATGATATGTGTGTGGGTGTGTATGTGTGTGTCCACTAGAGTGCTCTTAGAATGTCCAATTTCGGAAACTTGAACACTATCTTGTTGTGTCATATGCTTGATTTATCTGTCTTTACTTTGCTAGGAATCCGGGACAGCGCTCGAGAGTTCGTAAGCTCCAGTACATTGCTGAACTTGAAAGGAGGGTATCCATGTTGCAGGTAGAGTTTCTATTCAAGCTTATACTATCTAAAACCCAATCGGCCTGGTCTCAACCGCGTTGGTTGTTTTGTCTATTAGTATGATAAAAATCTGCTACTAACCAATACCAATATCGTTTGCAGACGGTGGAAGCAGATTTATCAGTGAGAGTGGCTTCACTTCTTCAGACACGTGCAACACTTTCCCTGGAGAATAGCCAGTTGAAGCAGCAGATGGCGATACTGAAGCAGGACAAGCTCATTAGGGAAGGTAAATAAAAACATGGCATAAACTAAATATTCAAGGATCGTCTGAGTCAGAGATTGAGATCGATCCCCTGATTCACTTACCAAATATTCTCTGTAGGTGAATACCAGCTACTGAAGAAGGAAGCTCAGATATTGAAATCTGGATTGGGAAACTTAGGAAGCAATAACAACAATAACAGGCTGGTCAGGTCATACTCTGCTGGTTCAAATATAACTCCAAGGACAGCTTCGTCACACTTGGACTGGAAGTTGCTGGATCTGACCAAACTCAATCTCAACTAGAGACAAGAATCCCCCACAAGAAGAATAAGTAGGTTAAAGAATGCTAGAGCTAATAACATTTTCTATGTTTGAGAAAAGGACAAAATCTTTTTTTTGATCTGTATAAATATGATTTAGCAGACTATAAAGTATCCCACTTTCTGGGTGGAAAGTATGGGACTTGGTCTGTTTCTTTTAACTAAATATTGGGATTCTAATGTTGTAATCATAATTGTAGTTGCTCATTGTGGTGGATTTGAATGAGTAGCTTTAAGGAGGGAATATAAGCAACTTCTGGTCTAGTACCGTAAACTATATTACAGTAGTAATAGATTTGTTGTAAAATTTTACATCAATAGGAAGTGGCTGGAGACGACAAATACTTAACGACAATTATTGTGCTGTTGGGAGACATCTCAGCAAACTTTTCTGGTTTCAGTCGATGAAGAAAGTTTGACTTATGAATGTTGTGGAGAGTTGGATTCAGCTTATCGGAAATACTCAAGCTTCTCGAACAATACTAATAATATGGTGAAAGGGATAAAGTTCTTCTTTTTTCTAGCTATCTATTTGATGAATGTGGGATTCTGAGGTTTCCTTGTTAAAAAATCCAATAGAGAGACCAAATCGAGGGTCCAAGGATAATATGCACAAAACATATTACATCAGTGCGGGATTTAAAGGCTTTAGAATAGTAGCTTTCACAAGTGAAGTTGCTTTCAGATGAATTTTTTTTTATGCACACAAACGTGTGAAAACAGAATTTAGCCTCGAAGTGATGCACGTGGTACCGCCGGTAGTCCCCATTCATCCTCAGCCTGTTCATCATAAATCTCTCATCAGCCTTACATAAGAAAAAGTTGTCCAAAATCGATATAACATGTACTAGGAGAGTATATTATATGGTAGTTATCGTGTAAGAAATATCACTCATTTTCTCATGAAACAAAACGTGAAAACAAAGACTAGATCAGCCTCTAATAGATTCCTCTACAGCCAAGATAAGTGTGTGTCACAGGAGGATATATAGAGGTTAATCATCCGATTTCTCAACGTTTGCTTTAAGTACCTCAAAGCTCATAAATAAAAGAGAGAAAAAGGGTTGAGGAAACTCACCTGAGCTCGTCCCTGTTGAGGTCTTGTATCCCGATTTGGTGGTGGAGGCAAGTTCAGTTCCTCATCAAGATCCGGTTCCTTATCGGGTTGGAGATAGGAAGGCACTCCATCTGCTTCAGTCTCGTTTCCCATGTCAGCTTCAAGAGATTCAAGCTCTGAATTCACAAACACATGCCAATAGTTTCAACCGATCCCAAGCAGCATAAAGTCTGAAAAAGTGTCAATGACAGAGAGTACTCAGCAACAACTTACCGCCCATGAGGTCATCTTCGTCAATGTCATCAGGAACATTATAGCTCCTCCCCAGTGTCTCTTGAATTTCAGAACTCACATCCATTAAATCCATCATCTCGTCTTGTAAATTCTGTGCGATAACAGTAAATAAGTCATAATAAGCGGCATCTAGGAAGCCCATACAAGAGAGCCTGCTTGAATAAGAAAGATCAACGTACATCAATATCTTGAATCTTGACGGTTTTCATCATTCCTTTCAACTCCTTGTTGGCAGATTTCAACGCTGTCATCTGCAAATAAGCAAGTCTTTTAGATGACATATATAGTTATTCCGAGTTCTATCTATCTTAGTGCCTACCGCATTCATGTACATCAAACATCATATAGGATTCAGATTCTGGTTGGATATGTATCATTTTGTTAGGAAGATGAGAAAAACTGATTGATACATACAGTTTGTTGAGCATCTTTGAGGCCTTCAGCAGCAAAAGAAACTTGATCAAGGTTGAAAGTCTGATTGTAGAGCATGTCACGTTGTCCTTCATACCTAAAAATGGTAACAGATGGTACTAAGCATATGTCCACCGAAAGATGCACGTACAAGATATGAAGGATGAAATATATGGTCTTACATTTTCTTTTGCTTGAGAACTCTCATAGCTCGAGCTTTGATAGCTTCCTGAGCAGGACCAGGTCTTGTCCTTTTGATCTGTTCTTTGTATTTGCAGAGCTCGGCATCAAGCCTCTTAACCTTATCTTCCACTGATTCTCCTCTTTTATTGATCTGAGAAGATGAAAAAAAAAAAAAACTGGGATTAAAGATCAAGCATAGCTACTTTTGTCCATTCTATGAGAGCTATGAGAGCTAGCTAAATCTCGAAACACATCTCAATCGATTATTTTACGAATTTCGACAATCGCAAACCCAGAAACCGACGGCTCTCGAAAACCCTAAATCTCCACACACATTCCTCAAACGATTTCGAGAAGAAAGTAAAAAAAAAAAAGCGAGAAGTAGAAACCCGATCAGAGGCATCCTGGATGGACGGTGGAGGCTCTTTGTTATTCTTCGCACCAAAAATTCTCTTCATCGTCTCCTACTTCGACTCCTTGAAACAACTAGTTTCTGCGACAATTCAGATGATACAGACACAAGACTTCTTCTCCTAGACAAACAAAAAGAAGAGCTCGAAAATTTGGAGAAACTTCGCCGGAAGAATTCCGTATTTATCGATTTGCTAACAAGTTATATTGCTTTAATTTTTTTTTTTTTTTGGTCTTTTTTTCTCACCTTTTTCTCGGCTTTCCTGGTTTGATTAATAAAAAAACATGAAAATTACAACAAATAAGTACTCCAGTTACGGGTTAACATTTTAAAATTTCCACAAATAAGTACGTACTTAAAATTAAACACCAATCCATTGAGATCCAATAGCATTTTATCAATTAGTTAATGTTTTTATTGAATAATATTATAACATCTCTGGTAAATTTCCTCAATACATTATTGTAGGAGAGGAAGAAAAAGTCTTTCTCTTTGACTTTCCAAAGAAGACATTATGAACACCAACATAAGGCAAAAAAAAATTATTAAGTTAAAACACCAAAAATTCACACTAAAGGAGACTTTTTTACTCTATACACTTGTCTCAAACTTCAACGCCCAAAAGCTCAGCCATTTCGCAACCAAACCCACCACCACTGCTGAATACGACATTTTCAGACACAATTGCTTCTCTTGCAGAGGATTCTAGCAGCAGATTGAGTTTGGGTTGATCAAGGTGTCTGGTGTAGTGAAGCTCGATTTGAAGACGGTGGTGCAAAGACGATACCAATCCTTTCTTCATATCAGCTTTCACTTGCTGTATTGGAATCGCAGCGAGGAAGCTCTTTATATACTCTCTACACGACTCTTTACCTCTACACACTACTACTTCTTCGTTTTCTTCTTCTTTTTCATCTGATTCTGTTGATCCATCGGACTTGTTCTTACCACCTGGTTTCTGGTTCCCTTGGTCAGTGTTAACCGGTGCCAATCTCTGGATCTCTGCATCTTTGTCGAATTTCAAGACATAAGCTTGGTTGCAACCCTCATAGAGCCTCTCTCCAAGCGTGTCTATGATGTAATAAGCATCGTGGTCCACAAGAAGGACGAAGAAATGATCATTCCAGCTCACAATGTAGATCACGGGTTCGCTTGTAGACTCTTCTGGTTCTTGTTCCATGATCTCTTCCCATATACTATCAAAGGACATTACATCTTTGAGAAAGTCTAGACTCGTGTCTTCTTCTTCCTCTGATTTTTCTGGATGGAAAAAACCGATGAATGATTTCTCGGGGATTACACAGATGGGTCTGATCTTCGCCTGGAGAACCGTCTCGAGATCGAAATGTTTGTCTGGAAACCGTTCCCGGTATTCCTCCTTCTCGCACAGGTTTCTCCACTCGGATGATCCTTCTCTGATAAGACTGTCAAACTCTGACCTTGTTGGGATTATGTCCCTGTTGGAGCCTAACCAATGTGCCATCACTGCAACTAAGGCTGTGCAGGCGCTTTCTCCAGCAGCTCTCTCGCTCCTTTGATCGATTGATGCGAGAAATACTCGAGCCGTGAGTTTCATCAGCCCATCACGGCTTGTGATATCTCTGGTTTCCCAGCTACCAACAACAAAGTCATCATCTCCAAACTCGGATAATGGCTTCATGGTTGAATCATCAGACCTATACCACTGCAAAATAATAATTCAAGAGTTAAAGAAACAATGTCTGACTATATATGAAAACCGAGAACTACAAACGAATGAAGTCAATGTATTATACATCAGAGATAGACTCATCAGATGAACTTAGTTGTCTACGGTCAAAATCGATATCATCACCGCCTTCTTCAAGACAATCCTTTTTAAGAAGTGGTTCGCCTTTCTGTTTAGGAGATTTAAAACTGAGTTTTCTCTTCTTCCAAGATAACATTCTCTTCTTAGACATTTGTCCATTCGCCTGTACTACGCTTACTGCCTCATTCGAAACCTCATCACTGCAATGCTCGGTCTCTGCTAATGGCCTGCGATTGCTGTAATATATCAAATCCTCATCTTCGGGGTTTGTATCAGCATGGAACGAGCCTCTAGCCCAATTTGCATATCGAAGAGTTTCGTAATTAACCGGATCAGCCACACCGCTTGCATTCTCTTTGTTCTCTTCTGAGTCTTCCCCAGCATTACCTTCATCCAGAGAATCTGTATCAGAAGGATAAGTAGACTCAGAATCAAGATTTCTCTCAGGGCTTTTGCTTTCACTTCCGCTGCTTCCATCTTTTTTACTAGTCTCATTTTCCGATGCGTGGGGGTTTGACATGCAATGGTTGAATGTTTTCATCTTTCTCAGGCCTACTTTTACGACAGACTCGGCTTTCTCGGCCTCTGCGGAAAGAGGAGACCACAGAACAGGAAGAGCGGATCTCTGTCTTTCAGGCAATGATTCTTTAGGGGAAAACTGAAGAGATATCTGTAACATAAGTTGAAACTTGCGATTAGAGAAATGAAACGACAGTAACACTTCAAATAACCATCTAGTGAGGAAATCATGGACGCACATGAAGACACGGACTCCGCGCAGATGATGAGCCACAGATCTTTAGAGGCACTTTGACTTGAACATCATCTTCTTTCATCAATGAAAAGAATTCTGCAATGTTCAGCGATGCCTTTCCAAAGCTACGAACTTTCTCCTTCGATCCTTGATTCAGTCCCTACATAAACCAGCGAATGTATAAACAGACTCACTCAAAATGTAGATTTTTAATTTACTTTACAGGACAAATACACAAGGTAACTTGTTGTGACAAACATCTCAAGACACAACACATATCAAATCTTCATGTCAGTTCGGTTCTAACCAAAAAAAAATGCCCGATCAAGACCTTGGACCAAAGTTCTATATTCCATTATAAAATCTCCAAATGAATCAAAATCCCAATTTTACATGATTCCTTTGAATTGGGGCTAAATTACAGAGTACCTACATATGTATAGGCAAAGGTAGAATCTTTATAAAGATGGATCAGATGATTGATCATTCATCAGAGCAAAACCAGACACAAAAGTCGATAATCACAGTCAACAATTTCAGAGAGAGAGAGAGAGAGAGAGAGATAGACTGACATTGAAGACGGTGAAAGAAACGAGCCATGGAAGAAACTCTCCTTCTTTGTAAACAGAGAATTCGCAAACCCTCTTAAACTCTTCGTTCCACTCGACGACGCCGTCGCCGCGAAATCCGCCTTCTTCGGTGAAATTCCGTACGACGGAGCGTCTGAGTGTAACCGTTTTGGGTCCATTCCATTTGATCTCAACGACAGGTCTCTTCCTCGTTGGACCTCGCTGATTCTGATCACCGACTGTACTATTATCGCAATCAATATCGCAATTTAACCCCTCGATTTTGTGGACGACGACGACCACGTCGAATTTGACGGCGAAAAGCGGAGGCCACGGCGGCCACCGCATGATCTGCTTCATTCTCACCACCATAGAGTGGCTTAAACCTAAGATCGAAGATAAAGAAAGGTTGAGATAAGGTTTGATTTAGATATCGAGAGATTTTCGGGGGAGAGAATCGGATTTCAAGATATGGGCATGGCGGATTTGGTGGACGCGGTGTGATTCAGACGCAAATATTTGAAATTTGTAGAAAGAGAGAGAGAGAGAGGAATATGACTCATACAGAGAAGGATTCTGCGTTTGGTTCTTTAGCGTTTCGAGTCAACTCTTATAGAGAGAGGGACGGCAATATAAAACGATCATAAATAATTATTTAATACATTTTTGCAATTAATTAATACATTAAAAAGGATGGTAAAAGTTTGACAAAAAAACTATTAAATTATTTATTTAACAAAACTATCGTTAAGAATTTTTAGAGCAGGTGAAACAGAGGATATAGCTTACGTCTGTTGTATCCACGTTGGAGATGCAAAAAGTCTTCTTGGTTTATTAGTTTTTTAATAATCTTATATCAAACCAGATAATAGTTGCACAAAAAAAATCAAACCAGATAATCATAATCATCGGTGACATCAAAATGTATGTTGGGACCCAATATATGTTTTACATAGAGAGGAGTATTACAATTGTAAGGAACAAAATTTAAATAAAGCTGGACTTCTTTTTTTCTTTGGTAAAATTGGACTTGTATGGCTGAATCTATCTTCTTCTTTTTTTTTCTGTCATAATCCAGGAATTTCAAACTCATATCCATATTTTATGGGACAAGTGGAAAATTCATGTATTAGTTACCAACAATACTTGTTATATGAATTAATATTTTCAGTTGCCGAAAAAAAAGAATGAATATTTTCTGGTTTTGATATTATCCGTTGTGCTTTTTTTACAATTTTTAGTATACCATTCATATATATTACCAAATTTAAATACAGCTCATGACACAGTAATAACACTAATACAAACTACAGTATTAGACTTTATACATAATCCCGGGTCACCTATTTCTAGTTATTTAGAGCTACCAAAATTGGCTCTATGAGCAAATATATATATATATTTTTTGTTAATTGTCAATAACTTTTTTAATTTATCAGCATATATTATTCTTCTTTAAATTGCAGCCAATCGTGCATATCTACATTAGACTCTAGAGGCTCTTTAAATCTTGATCACAACTCACAAGTATGACTTTAATATGCATCTCGCACCATTTGTTTAGACAAATAATGTCGACCCATCTTATCTGTCATATGAAATGGTTCTGTTCCAATCATGTTTTTCGTGCTTTTTTTATAAGTAATTACCACTTGTTGGTTAACAATTTTATTCAACTTTTTGGTCACGGCAATTTCATTTGTATACTAGAAAAGAGAAACTTAAGTTTGTTTTTGCAAAATTTGGTTTTGTCTGTCATAAATACGAGTGCTGCGTGACCTTGGAAAGACAGACGCCAAAAAAGAAAAATGTCAGAGGCATATGTGTGTGTTCATGCGGCCTCTTGTTTGTTCATTCTGGATATGATGTTATACCGTCTTGTTCATATAGATAGGAGATATCATGAGTATGGTTCATGATCGTGTTTGTGAAAATCATTCAAATAAGTCATTGGTGCGCAAAAATTATTGGAACAATGTAGTTTTCGTATGGTAGAAGTTTAGATTTTTGTAGACCATATAGTTAAATTAATCTAATATGAAGCATCCATGCATAAATATAAGTATTCGGTTAATTAAACCTGATGTTTTTTGATCTGCATTTGCGGATGAATGTATTTATTCTTTTTTTTTTTCATGGATTCGTTTATAGACATAACCGCGGAAAGTATAAAAGAATCGAACTTAATAAACTAGTTGGTTGATTATTTTACGTACAATTTTTTTACTTTGCTAAGTTTATACATATTGAATGTATAGTTATATAAACAATGGGAAAATAAATCATACATCAAATGTTTAATTTGCTAAGTTTCTCCAATCCATGTGAAAGATAAGATTTTTTGGTTTTTTTAATGTTTATGAAGGATGATACTTTTAGGTGTTTAAAATGTAAGAAAATTAGGTATGTCCTAATTCATAAGGTCCTAACTTGCCAACTCGTAACCTTATGTCATTAACTTAAAGTTAATAGTTCCTACACTAACTCATGCTCTCATGATCGTTTTTCTTTTTTACTTCTTTTGTAATGGAACATAAAAGTACAATTCAAAGCCTCAATCCAATGTGAAATATACAACTCGTCAACCCACTGTGATGGGTATTTCTTATACGTTTTGAGATTTAACTAATGAACATGTACATTCAACGAATCTGAAGTTTTTTGGATTCAATATATATATATATATATTTTGAGTTTGCATGTTTATATATATATGTGTTCACCTTTTTTTTTTTTGGTAAAATAGCATCTTAAAGTTTTTATCAAAGGCCTTGTTTATAAACATAAAATATACTAAATCAATCAAAATCACTTTACACTATATTACAATTTTGTTTTTTTTGGTCTTCATTTCTACAAAACAATAACATAATACTTTAAAGAAGAACCAACTCACAGTTAGACCCATACACCCATGCACAAATAAAACCGTATGATCACAGTTAATGATGATCACGTTTTGTGGACTGAAATTGACAAAACTAAAGGGATAGAGACCCAGCTTTGAAATTCACAATTAATCAGTTTATTTAAATAGAAAATTGGAAACTCAATTTAATACTTTTATAAACCAAAAAGTCGTACCCTAAAACTGAACACTTTTTGTTTTATGTCAACAACATACGCACGCTTTAAATTATTTACTATTGGAGAAATAAGTTGATTTGTGACTTACAAGACCCACTTCTATATTTTTTTTCCTTTACTTTAAAGAAGCAAGTTTTTTTTTTGTCAACAAAGAAGCAAGTAAAATAAAAAATTAAATTAAAGAACATGATAAAAGCTAATATATATATATATATATACATATTTAAGTTAGACGCAAATTAAATTCATGTTTCCTGCTGTTATATGTTTTTATCTTTATGTTCGTTTTTAAAATTCGAATTATAACGTATATCCTACAGAAAAAATAGTTTTTTAATTATATGGATGATGTGATGCTTCTGTTATTTTACATAGAAACAAAGATGAGGATATACAATATTAAAATGATTAATATGGTCTAATTAAGAATAGTTTTGGTAATTAATATCATGCTTTACACTTATTAAATAGAATGTTTAATCTAAATTACTTTTAATGAGATAATAATTTTTTTTATTAATTTCCAATGACATTGTTGATAATATTCAACAGACGAAAATTATTATTTATAATGATTCTTAATTAATAGTATAGATATTACAATTCACTAGTTATTTTTTTTCCCTTTCTTATTTATATTATAGTGGTATATATGCTAATAATTCTGAAAAATCTACCAAAACAAGTCCAAGACAAATCTCATCCAAAAGATTGAGAATACAAAAGAGGGCAAAAGAAAATCTTGGGTGTGCATTTGTCTTCAACCCAATCAATCATATATTATCAGAAACTCTTGTCTTTGACTTTAGTTTTTGTAGTTTAGACTAGAGTTTAAGATTAATGCTAAAGCTTTTCTCTAGTCCCATCTTCACGGGACCTCCTGTGATGCTCCCTTTCTGCATCATCGCCACAAACTCATTGTAGTCTATTTGCCCATCCTGCAAACAACAACTCAGATTCAAACCAAAATACTCAACCAGAGATTCAGGAGTTAATGAAAAGTTCTAATAGGAAAGACACTAGAGGTTCCAGTATCTAATCCAAAGCTAACTGCAACATTGGTTAACTTCACCGTGTCTCAGGAAAGATAGTTTCTATTATTTCCATAGGTTTACAAAATCATACTCAATCCGCCGAGTTTTCAGAGAGAATCCATATTGTTCAGATAGTATATTATCCTCTAAGCTGTTCATTGTAGAGAAAATGTAGGCAAGATGTATTTCTTCAACTCATATGGAAATTATGATTGGTGATAAAAAAGGTGTAAAGGAGCTTACATTGTCTTGATCAACATCACGCATCATTTCTTCTATGCGGACATCCTCAACTCCAAACTCCTCACAAGCTTGTTGGAGCTCGTCCGGGGTGATATAACCGCTCCCATCTTTGTCAAAGTATGTAAAAGCTGCAAACAAATGGTCCTCTCTCTCTATTTTGTTTAGATGCAATGTTGCGGCTATGAACTCTTTGTAGTCTATTGTTCCACTGTTGTCCACATCAGCCTGAATTACATACGCATGACACACATACCATATAAATTAGAAATCCAAGCAAAAGTCCAAGCAAAAACGCAAAACTACATATCCAGAACCAGCTGAATAATTTTGGAAATATCAGAACCCCAGTTCATAATCATAGTTAAGAGATTTGTATTGAATAACAAACTAGCAAAGGGGTCACAGTTTACAGCTTGCATCAAGTCGAGAATTTCTGACTCTTTGAGATTTGCCCCTACTCGTTTTAGTCCTACTTTCAGTTCTTCGAAAGTTATCTGACCGCTTTTGTCGGCGTCTATCATATTAAACATTTCTTTTAAGCCGGCGATTTCTTCTTCAGATAAGCTCTCAGCAATGACCTACAAGACGGCATAAAGAGATAAACTTATTCTGCATTGTCTCTCTGATTCCACAAAGCAAGAAGAAGAGGAGGCAACTTGTAAATATTTTATGTTTATGAGAATCTTGTTCTACAAAGCTTTTAGATTTTACTCGGCGTTGAAAATTCGCTTACTCTAAGAGCCATTTTCTTGAACTTGTTCATTGCTGAAAATTGCTTCATACGGCTCAGAACAGCAGAATCCAGAGGTTTGTCTGGAGCCACGCCGTCGACTTGTACCCATGGATGACCTGTTCAGTGTTCAGACAAAACTTCATGAGAAATAGAACCATGGCACAAATGCACTCTACATGACAGTATACCTGGAAACTTCATTACTAAATGGCTGTGAGACAACACACGTTATTCATGTAGGACCAGTGAAATCTATGCTCTATGGAATTAGCAGAAAATGAATCACAACGCTTTAGCTGAAAGAGAGAGGTTTCAGATCAAAATAACTTACATAATACTTGGTGTGCAGTTAGTCTTCTCTTGGGATCCCGAACAAGCATTTTCCTCACTAGGTCTTTTGCACTTTCAGATATGCTCGGCCAGGGATCGGATGTAAAGTCAAGATCACCGTGGAGTACCTGTTCGAAAATACCTTGTTCGGATTCTGAATGTCCAAAGAAACAAAAAAAAGTTAACAAAGTGTTTTTTCGTCAGAAACCTGATTAGGACAAGTGACAGATATGTTATTTTTTTATTATACATTTCCTTACCAGCCCAGAATGGAGGAACTCCACTTAACAAAATGTACACAATCACTCCAGCACTCCAGACATCAGCTTCAGGGCCATAACGCTTTCGAAGAACTTCTGGAGCTACATAATATGGGCTACCAACAACATCTGTAAAAATATCGTCTGCAAAGAGGAAGGAACGGATTTTCCAAAATCACCGACTGATTTTTTCTATTGAGAATCATAGGATTTTCAAGTCAAAGACCAAATCTTGAAACTGAACGATCGAAGATAGAGTAACAAAGAATATGCAAACCTGGCTTAAAGAACATAGAGAGTCCAAAATCAATCGTCTTCAAGAGGGAATCTTCGTCTTTACTGACAAATAGAAAATTCTCAGGCTTGAGGTCTCGATGCATAACACCAAGAGAATGGCAAGCTTCTACCACCCCAACTATGGTTCTAGTGAGCTCAGCCGCTTTCCTCTCTGTATAGTGACCGCGTTGAATTATCCTGTCAAAAAGCTCGCCACCTGCACAACACTCCATTACAAGGTGCACTGCCACAACATCCTCATAAGCTCCTTTAATGGATATAACATTTGGGTGACCAGCCAAGTGATGCATTATCTGAATTTCCCTTCTCACATCTTCCACGTCCTCATCGGTCAACAGCTTCCTCTTAGCAATCGACTTGCAGGCAAACTCCTTCCCTGTAGTCTTTTCGATACATAAATAAGTCGTTCCAAATTGCCCTTGTCCGAGTTTCCTCCCCAAGGAATAGAATTCCTTAAAGTTTTCAGTTTTCCTCTGCAACACTGACTCAGTCCTAAGACCTGCACTGGACACTCTCTTCATGTGTTTAGGCTTCTTAGGCTTAGCTGGAGTATCACCTTTTGTCTCCGGCTTAGTCTCTGACTTGGCCTCTGACTTGGTCTCCGGCTTGGACTCTGGTTTTGTATCCTCTTGCGTTTCCAGCTTGCTTTCAGGCTGAATCTGTATGTCAGATTTCGCCTTGGTCTCGACGTCAGCCCCTGGCTTGGGCATTGTGAGCTGTTCAGGAGGTTTATTCATGACCTGATTAGATAATGGAGACCGAAGCTCTCCTGAAACAGCTTCACTTGCAGTATCTCCATTTCTTTGGGAAACCGAATCATCTGCATCCCTTGGCCGCCACATTGCAGCCGAAACAGATTGCAAGAACCCATTTCTGCTTGGTCCAACACAAGTATTACCCATCTAATACCCTTAAACTTGTCCTAACCTCTTTCTCCAGAAATAGCATCAAGATCTGATCACAATACGCTCAAAACAATCTAATCTCATTTATAGTGTGATGAAAGTCAAATCCTTCCAAACTCTAAAGACTTTTTTTACTTCTCAAACACCAACAGACATCAAACTTAACGGATCAAAACCAATGCATACAATGAACGGATAAACCCTACTAGTCGATGCGACCAAAGCCAAGATTAAAAGGGGAAGCAAGCACAGAGCTTATCCAGAGGTGAAAAATAGCAAGAAAGATCAAAAGGGTATTGAAAAAATCGTGAATTGAAGCGAACCCAGATGATGCAATGAACCAAACCCAGAGAGTAGAAGAAATCACCCCAGACAAGGAAAAAAAAAACAGAGAGATCTGGGGAGTAAATGAAAAAAAAAAAATTGGGTTGGGTGGGAAAATGAGGAGAAAATAGAAGGATAGTTTAATAGCACTACACTTGCATAAAACCGTAGGGACGTTGTTAATTTAATTGGAGAGTCAAAGGTGGGAGAGAAGACGATGAAGAAGATTGAACCAGTCTGAAAAACGCGTTTAGTCTTTTTCTTTCTGTGTGTGTTTATCTATCGCCGCCGAGTTTTGCGCAGCGATTTGTCTTAATTGTTTTTGTTTTGCAAGTCCACCCTTTTCAATCTTGGCAACTTCTAATGCCGCAGCCTCTCTCAAGCAGATGGGTTTTTAATTACTTAAAAAATGTAAACCATAAAAACGATTTTCCTTTTCTCGAGTCCTATCTTCTTTTTATTGTGATCCCTTCACTGGGAAGGACTTCAACTTTACTCTCATTTCTTAATCAAATCCACACGAACTCTAGGCTAGCGACTACTGTCGTCTTTTATAATCCAAAAGGGTAATTGATTAGCGATTTAGCATCTTACGGATGTAATGCTCCGTAACAGAAAACAACAAAGGGGAAAAAAGAAGAAGAAGACAGAGATATCAAGTTTTATCTATAACTAAGTATAATAGTGTCACATCCAAAAGCAATGTGAGAAAAAGCCTTCCGATCAAAGATTAAAAGTCGACATTTTTTGTAGAATCTAAAACCATATACTGTACGTCATAGATCAAAGACAGAGACTAATATTGTAACTTGCAACCAAATATCATGGAGGAAAACGAGTTTGATGCTCTAAATCAGCATCGTGACCCTTACTCTCCATTGTCTTTGGCTTGGCCAAGGAACCGAACAAGTGCGGAAACCTGGGTTCATTAGCAAAAAGCCTTAGCCTTTCAGCAGCAACGCTGACAATTCACAGAATTGGCATCACTCAGAAACTTCACGTATCTATCTGTGACTCAATAACACAAAATTCGAGGAATTGAGCAAAAGCATCTGACTTGAAAAAGCATCTGACTTTGAAAATCTCGCACTTTTTAATCCCTTGGAACACGAAAGCTCTGAAATTGCAGACGAAAGTTCGGTTCTGGATACTGTCCCCTTCGTAGACGACCACATTGACTCATCTCCTGCCCCGATTCAATCATCACAGCTCTGAAATCCATAACGTCATCAAGATCCTCCACCAACGGAATACGCGGAGGCTGTTGTTGAACGGCGGGCGATACGCAGAGTGGCCACTGGAGTAGCTCGGAGATTGGAGAAGATAACACGCGTGGGAGAAGCTAAAAGTCGAAATCGCTGTACATCAGGCCCGAATAGAGCAGTACGGTGTAAGTTTACGCCGGCCATGGAGATTGAAGTCGCGGTGGCCGGAGGCTGAGTTTTTCGCGGTTTTGCGTGAGATGAGAGTTTGAGGAATCTGATTGCCCCGCGGATTGACACGTGTCCAACGTAAAGCATACGATATTTTCATTTTCTTCGGATAATAAATGAAACGAAGATAAAGGGGATATCTGCAAAAAGGAAAAGATACTTTAGTAAAGAAACGACGTCGCTTTTGTTCGTCGTTTCCCCAGTCTCGTCTGGTACACAGATGTTTTGTGGAAAAACGTGAGCCAACCCACGTTTCAAGAAAGAAACAACTGCATCAAACGTTCCTTCTCTCTCTCTCTCTTCTCTCATTTTTTATACTCTCAATCTGCTTTAAAGCGTTTATTAAGTACTTCTTTTATCACTCTGAATTTTTTAAATAAAAAATTGCAGATATTTGCTGGTGTTGCTGTGTCTAACTCTACTGTAAGTTCTTCCTTCTTCCTCCATTATACTGTGGGATCTTGCGTTTTCTTTCCCCCAATGTATACGGTATACCTCATGTAGCCACCTGTTATCCATTTTTGTTAGCTTGAATCTTGTATGGGGCAAACTTTATGGCTTCGCTGAGGAAGGAATTGAGAAAAGATCCATTAATCATGTGTTTCTTCATCTTTGTTGAAAACTAGAACAGTGAATCTCAAAAAGTTGTTTCTTTATGTTAAAATGCTTGCTTTTTCTTCTCTCTTTTCATTGATGAAAAAAGGTTGCTTTTATTGTTTCTTGTTTGGCTGCTGAGAAGCACAAGATATCAGAAATTTGGGTTCTTTTTTTTTCCTTTCCAAAGGGACATTTCAAGCTAAGAAGTGACAACTTTTTCTTATCTTGAGTTTCTGTCTTTGTTTTTTTTTTCCAGAATTTCCCCTGTTACGAAAGATGAGTAAAGTTCCGGTAAGAATCGTAGGGATTCTTCTATGGATGTGTGTCTGGGTTTGTAATGGGGATGGTGAGTATGTGCTGTACAAGGACCCGAAACAGAAGGTGTCAGATCGAGTTGTGGATTTATTGGGTAGAATGACTCTGGAAGAAAAGATTGGTCAGATGGTTCAGATAGATAGAAGTGTGGCTACTGTCAACATTATGAGAGATTACTTCATCGGTATGCAAAAATCAATCTTACTTGTATTTTCCAGAAATCGATAATTTAGTTGTTTCATATGTTTTTCTCTCCAAGATTTCCAGCTTGTTTGCGTTTAGGACCGCAGGCGATTTCCGCTGTCTTTCTTTATATGCTTAATTTTAGTCTTCTTACATTATGGTCACAACGTGGAATGATTCATGCTTAAACTTGTTTTTGTGCTCCACTTTCTCTCATTGTGGGTATCTTGGATGGTTTCTTTAGAAAACGGGTTGGTCCAGCTGTTATTGTTCAGAGTTTGTAGGTTAATTGAGGGTTTCATTCAATGTTAGCCTTCAGTTGAGTTCAGTCTCTTATCATCTTGTTATCACAGAACTAGATAAGCTTCGTAATTTTTACATGGTATAGAGTGTATGCATGAGTGAAACTTGAAAGTAGAAGATGTCTTTTCTTTTCTGTACAGGCAGCGTATTGAGTGGTGGTGGGAGTGCTCCACTTCCTGAGGCAACTGCTCAGAATTGGGTTGATATGATAAATGAGTATCAAAAGGGAGCTCTAGTGAGTCGTTTGGGCATTCCTATGATATATGGCATTGATGCCGTTCACGGGCATAACAATGTCTACAACGCTACTATCTTCCCTCACAATGTTGGTCTTGGAGCCACCAGGCAAGTTTTAGTTAAAAACGGTCATTTTGATTTCTTCTGCTGAGGGATTCTGCTGATATTCTTAAGAGCTTTGAAATCCACAGGGATCCTGATCTAGTTAAGAGGATTGGAGCAGCAACTGCAGTCGAAGTCAGAGCCACTGGAATTCCATACACGTTTGCTCCTTGCATTGCAGTAAGCTTTCACCGTCTGCCTAACTTTTATAAATCTGGCACTATTTGCAGATATTTGGTGAAAATTTGCTAAAGTTGTTTCTCACTGGCTTGTTGTAGGTTTGTAGAGATCCAAGATGGGGTAGGTGTTATGAGAGCTACAGTGAGGATCACAAAGTCGTGGAAGACATGACGGATGTCATACTTGGTTTACAAGGAGAGCCTCCTTCCAACTTTAAGCACGGAGTTCCATTCGTTGGTGGAAAGTAAGGCTTTTCTGCTAACTTAATTCGTCGATTATATTGAGCCTTACAAGAGCACGGAGTCTCATTCGTTCTTTCTATTCATTTAATTTTGATAGGGATAAAGTTGCAGCATGTGCCAAGCATTATGTGGGAGATGGTGGGACAACCAGAGGAATAAATGAGAACAACACAGTGACTGACTTACACGGTCTTCTCAGCGTTCACATGCCTGCTTATGCTGATGCAATTTACAAAGGTGTTTCCACAGTGATGGTTTCATATTCGAGCTGGAATGGTGAGAAGATGCATGCAAATACTGAGCTCATTACAGGGTATCTCAAGGGTACCCTTAAGTTTAAGGTTTTCTTACTCTCTTTTTCTCGTCAGATGTCAGGCACGGCTTCAATGCACATGCTCAGTCTTTCTAAATGGATTTTGCTCCTTCTCCATGTATTTGGCAGAGTCGTCAATAGACCATTTATAGAGCATGTGTGAATTTTTAGATTGAGTTGATTTTGGGTCCTAATTCCAACTTATCTTGTCTATGATATGTGCAGGGTTTTGTTATTTCGGATTGGCAAGGCGTTGATAAGATCTCTACACCACCGCATTCGAACTACACAGCTTCTGTCCGAGCTGCTATTCAAGCTGGCATTGATATGGTTTTGTGTTTTAAACTTCACAGACAATCCTGCACTAAAAAATAAGTAAATGCCTGCGTTAGCTAATGAAATAATAATATGCAGGTCATGGTCCCTTTCAACTTCACCGAATTCGTCAATGATCTTATGTCCTTGGTGAAGAGCAAAGTAATTCCTATCACACGGATTGATGATGCTGTCAGAAGAATCCTGCTTGTCAAGTTCACCATGGGTCTTTTTGAGAACCCTTTGGCTGATTACACCTTTTCCAATGAACTAGGAAGCCAAGTAAGTTGTTTAATATTCCTGAGCTATAGCCAAGCCAAGTAAGTTGTTTAATATTCCTGAGCTATAGCCTGTTGCAAGTATAACAAAATCTTGATGGAATGTTCTCAATTTCTATCATAAGGCACATAGAGACTTGGCAAGGGAGGCTGTTAGGAAATCACTTGTGCTGCTGAAAAACGGGAACAAAACCAATCCTATGCTCCCACTTCCCAGGAAGACTTCAAAGATCCTAGTCGCTGGTACTCACGCTGATAATTTAGGTTATCAATGCGGTGGTTGGACCATAACATGGCAAGGATCTAGCGGTAACAAAAACACAAGGGGTAAGTTGTGCAACTCATATTGTAGTTTATACAACTGTTAACATTCCAGCGACTAAGAATGTGAACAATATACTCTCTCTTTTCTCTGTTTCAGGGACTACGATTCTTGGCGCCATAAAATCAGCTGTTGATCAAAGCACTGAAGTTGTCTTCCGCGAAAACCCAGATGCTGAATTCATCAAAGCAAACAACTTTGCTTACGCTATCATCGCTGTGGGTGAACCTCCATACGCAGAAACAGCAGGAGATAGCGACAAGCTAACCATGATGGATCCCGGTCCAGCCATTATTAGCTCCACTTGCCAGGCTGTCAAATGTGTGGTTGTGGTCATTTCAGGCAGACCACTTGTGATGGAACCTTACCTTGCCTCGATCGAGGCATTGGTTGCAGCGTGGCTACCGGGAACAGAAGGCCAAGGTATCACTGATGCTCTGTTTGGGGACCATGGCTTCAGTGGAAAACTACCTGTGACTTGGTTCAGGAACACAGAGCAGTTGCCTATGAGCTATGGAGATTCTCATTATGACCCGCTCTTCGCTTACGGGTCTGGTCTTGAAACTGAGTCAGTTGCGAGCATTGTTGCTAGGTAAAATCCTTCACACAGCTTCATGTTCCATCCATTTGCAGTATTCTCAGACACAAGGTTAAGAGCCTTAACTTCTTTTTTTTTGTACAAACAGGTCAACCTCAGCTTCTGCTGCTGTTACAAAGCCATGCATAATCACAGTCCTTGTCTCTGCTACATTTTGTCTGTTTCTCTTCCCAAGGTATCATCACCAGTTCAACTTCCGTTATGATTTCTCCACAGAAATTGGTGAGAATATGACTTTTCTGATAACTTTTTGTCTACAGCTTAAGCCGAGTTTTGAGATGATGAAAGCTGCAAAAGCTTGGGGTAGATCATTCTTTCGGTTATCTGATCGTGGGAGCTTTTTTTTTTCTTTTCTTTCTTTTCTTTTCGCTCTTGTAGCCTAGCTAAAAAGATCCTGAATCTGTGTCATGATACTGTTCAGAGTTATTGCAGCCCTGAACATTCTTGGATGATTAAACTGGAAAGTTCTTCTATGAAAGTTCTAAAATTTCTACAGACAATTATCTGCTTTAAAAATTATCACTCTTTAAATTGAACGTTGTGGGTACTTATGGTAAATCTTGGTAAAACGAGAACGAAGAAATGGTAGATCTCATCTGATAAAACTGATGACGTCATTCGGGGGACACAAGGCCTAAACTTGTGAAGAAAGCAACTGAATTTTATGCTTTCTTTGTAAGAGAAGAAACATATGAAGACCTGAGACTAAAGAAGAGATTTTGATGAACGGAAGGCATAGCCGCAAAACTAGGAATATCGATTGCATAACAGAAGAGAAAATGGCTAAGCATTGCCGAAATTCAAATCATATTTATACGCCGAGCAATAAAGCCTAATGGATATTCTCAAAGCTCATACAAAAACAAACAATTCAGAAAGAGATCATCAGAAAAGAAAATAAATTTAATTAATGGCAGGAAGACAGCAAATGAAAGGAACAGGCTTCGGGATTCAGTATGAGGACCTTGTCCCCAAATCCGAATGGAAAGATCAACCTGAAGCCACTCTTCTCACCATTGATCTTCCAGGTTTGTATACAAAATTATATATGAATTGGACTAGTTATGGTGGTTTTAGTTCATTATCTTATGTGGAATGTTTTTTTTTTTTAATAAAGGTTTTGCAAAGGAGCAAATAAAGGTAACTTATGTGCACACCTCGAAGATGGTAAGAGTCACCGGAGAACGTCCTGTGGCTGATCGGAGATGGAGCCGTTTCAACGAGGTGTTCACTGTTCCGCAGAACTGTCTCGTGGATAAGATCCATGGGAGCTTCAAGAACAACGTCCTCACCATCACCATGCCTAAGGAGACGATCACGAAGACGCCTAATCTTCCAGAAGCTTCTAAGGTGGAGAAGCTTGAGGAGAAGAAGTTGTTGGAAGAATCCAGAAGGAAAGAGAAGGAAGAAGAGGCCGAGAAGAAGAAGAAGCTTCTTGAAGAGAAAGAGGGACTAATTAGGACGCTGCAAGAAGAAGCTAAAGCAAAAGAGATGGCTGAGGCGAGGAAGCTACAAGAAGAAGCTATAGCAAAAGAGAAGGCTGAGGCAAGGAAGCTTCAAGAAGAAGCCAAAGCAAAAGAGAAGCTTGAGGAAGAAGCTACGCTAGAGAAGAAGATCCAGGAGAAGAAGTCTGTGGATGAGTCTGGACGAAAAGAGAAGATTCTAAAACCAGAACATAGAAAGCTTCCAGAAGTGGTGTATACAAAATCTGGGACCGGGTCTGGGACCAAATCCGGATCTGGAGGAGTAAGCGAGGTCGTGAAATCAGCAGAAGAGAAATTAGGTTACTTGGTGGAGAAAGAAAAGAAAATAGGGAAAGGGATAATGGAGAAAATAAGGGGAAAAGATTTAACAAGCGAAGAGAAGAAGATGATGGTGAATGTAGGAGTGGCTGCTCTTGTTATCTTTGCTCTTGGAGCTTATGTTTCCTATACCTTTTGCTCATCGTCCTCTTCATCTTCTTCGTCTCCTTCTTCCTCATCACCTTCTACCAAACCAGAATGATATATGTCTTAAAGAAGTTGTGTAAAGGAGAACTTTTATACTTTGTAACTGTTGTATACTTTGTGAAATCTAATAAAGTTTGGTGATGTTATGCATTTTTAAGACATATATTATCACATATGATAGAGAAAATATATCTCCATAATTTTTATTTTATTTTGGATTATAAGATGAAACTACACATGCATGCCAGCCAATTCACACCAAAAAAAAAAAAAAAAGTTCAATTAGAAATCCAAATATATTACAAGAGTTCACATGTAAAAAATTCTTTTAAATTTGGTGAGGAGCTACTGTATTTTGGTGAGAATGGAGTTTGATGCTTATTAGGTGTTCTTTTACTGTTCTACATTGATTGGTAAAATTTAACTATGCTAGCTCATGATTTTGAGAAAACTGATAGCTGGTTTGACAAAAGATTTAACTTAATCAAGTAGAAGATAAGAAAATGACTAATTTCAGTTTTATCATATACATAAAAAGTTGTAATCATTCCTAAAGTTTGACAAAAGATAAAAAAAATTTAATAGTAAGGATAATTCTATATTTTCCCCTTGAATACTCTCTCAATTAAGCCTAAACAAAAGAAAGAAAAATAGGCCGGTCCAGAACCCTTAAACCCTAAACCCTTTAGAAGCCGAGATTTACATGCCCATAATTATATCAAGAGAGAAGCCCTACAACATCTCTTTCGATCGATCTCGGACTAGTTGAGAAACAGAGATGGTCATGGGAGGAGAGAAGAGGAAATCTAGTTTCAAAACCCTCCTAGCTAAGGGAATGAAGAGGAAAGGACCTCACTTGCCCAACTCAATACTCGAGACTATTGCGAATGAGAGACGTCCTAATTTGAACTCTGACGAAGAAGACGATAAGATCGATTTTGATGACGGGAATGGCGTCCATGTGTACGAGTACGAAGAAGGTGTGCCTGAAGAGGAATCTAGGAAAAACAACCGCTATGACCGCGTCGATAACTACGAATTCGAGCTTCCCGAGTATTTCGAGGTATTTGTTACACTCTTTACTTTACCTTCTTTGATTCGATTGTGTTTCTTATCGCCGTCACTGAATGAATTTGCAAGTTTTACGTTTTTTTTGTTTGTAATTGATTAATTGGTAATGAGTTGATTACTTTCGATCTGGTTTTGGCAGTTGTTTTTCCTTTATATATGTATGCCTTACTGGTAAATCTTCTTCCTTCCAATGAAGGATGAAAATGTGGAGTCAGAAGATGATGACGATAGTGATGATGATAGACGGCCTTTGAAGAAACAGCGACACACACGGATGTTGCAAGCTGTCACTGGAATGCCAAGTTCAGCTTTTGAAGGTATTGACAATAAAAATTGATACTTTCATCCTCAGAGTTTTGCTTCTATCTTCTGTGCATTGCATTTGTAAGCTGCGAATGTTAACTTACATTCTTTTCATTTTTTTAAGGAGAGAGTAAGAGCAAACTTGTACTCTTCTCTGAAACATATCCAGAGTCTGAATTCAATCCTCCCCGTGACGTTCTGGAGGGTAAAAACCTTATCACTGTGGAAGACTTATTGGCGCCTCTTGAAGGAAAACCTGGGTATCACCAATTAAGCAAGAGAATCAGAGATACTCGATCTCTTGTCCATGCTCCTCTGCCAAAGCCAGAACGAGCAAGACTGGTACGGAAAGCAGTGAAAGGAGTAGTTGCCAAGGGGCTTAACAAGTGGATGCCTCTGGTAACGAGGAACAGGGAGGCGCCAACTGTTTACTTTAACCAAGATGTCGATGTTGGATACTCTACAGTTGGTGCAATAGCATCAGAATTTCAGCCCAGGACTGAATTTGAGAAGATAATGGCTTCTGTACTCAATGATAACGAGGTCCGGGAGGCTCACAAAGAAGATGGCGCTAGGCTTCTCCAATTGAACGAGGCAAGTTCTGTGATCTAGTTCATTCCCTGCACGCAGCTTATTTGACTTACAATTTCATCTGGCATATCGCTGCGCTGAACATAGTTTATATGAATTTCTGATGTAACTGCTTTGATCAAATTCTTTATGTGGCAGGTTTCTATGGAAGACCACATCAAGTTCCGTAACCACATGGATAAGATGAGGAGCGTGCTCTTCCGTGATGAGCTGAAAAGTAAACGAATCAAGAAGATTAAGTCTAAAACCTATAATCGCCTTAAATACAAAGACCCGAAGAAATCGGGAGTGGAAGCATCAATGGACCCAGAAGTGGCTAAAAAAGAGGCTATGGAGCAGGAGGCTAGACGAGCAGTGGTTAGTCTAAAATTTCCTCTTCACTGCACAAACTTTTCATCAAGACACTGTAGAAAAGTAATTAGCTGTCGTTTTTGTGCATATGTTATGTGCTTATACAGGAACGCGCGACGTTAAGGCACAAAAACACAAGAAAATGGGCCAAACGCACGGTAAGACTAAGACTGGATGTGAAATACGATGGAAATCGGGCAGCTTTATCTGAACAACTTCAGATTGGCGCTACTTTGTCAAAAAAGATGAACTCCACAAAAGATGGAAGTAGTAGTGATGAGAGCAACAATGAAGAAGAACTGAATGATGGTTCAGATCAGGATACTCCTTCTAAATTGATAGCAAAAGCAAAAGAGAAGACACTGAAAACTGCGGAAGATGATGATGTGCCCATTTCTGGTCTTTGTCATTACCTTTCATGGTAATTCTTGTTTGCTTTCTCTAAACTTCTGACTATTTTATTCTGGTTTCGTTCATTCTTGTGTTGGCTTATTTTTTCATTGTTTGGTTAGGCTCGTGCTATGAAAAAGAAAAAAGAGGGAGCTAAACGTGCACTTGAGGAGTGTGAAGAGTGGGAGAACTCTGGTGGAGCAAAAAACCCAAAAAAATACGCTCATGTTGGTGATAGAAGAGAATTTGGTGCAGCAGCTAAAGTCGAAGCTTCAATAGAGTCTAAAAAGGAATCAGACAACTTTTTTAATAACAGTGATAGTGACAGTGATGATATGGATGACATAGAAGATAATGACTTGAAGGCTGTAAAACATAATGCTTCACCTGCTAGAAACACGGGAACCATAACGGAAACCCAGGTACCTTGTGTTTCCTGTTCGGTTAGTCATAATTGTTCGTTCTTCTCTCCCTTTCAAATCTCTGATTACAACTTCTGTTGTTTGACTTCATGCAGAAGTTGGATGATGTTGCTGGAAATCCAGCATCTAAGACTAAGACAACATTTGATGTTGCCTTATATGCATCAGGCTCCTGGAAGAAGGTTTGCTTTGAAAAAAAAAAAGGAATCAGACTTCGTCTCTTTATGTATTATCTTTAATTAACTATATTTTGTATGGTATCCAGATGACAGGCTGCAAAAATGCAGAATCCAAAAAAGCTTCAAAGACGCATGTACCAATTTCACAGGCCCAAGATAAAAAGGTTTCTTTTCTTTTCTTCAAGATAAAAAGGTTTCTTTTAGCTTCAGGTGGTTTTCTTTCCTGACTTTGTATCTTACTTTAATATCATTAAAAGGAATCGAGAGATGAAGAAAGTGATGATTCAGAGAGTGAAGCAGAGAAAATGGTCGATGGGGTTTTGACATCTGCTTCAAAAGAAACCTATGAAATTCCTTCTCAAGCAGAGCTTATAAACCGTGCTTTTGCGGGTGATGACGTCATAGAAGAATTTGAGAAGGATAAGCGAGCGGTACTAAATCAGGAAGTTCCTGAACCCGAAAAACCGGTTCGACATCCTGGTTGGGGACAATGGACCAATGTCCACAACAAGAGAGGTTCTTCTTCACGGATGGATAGGGTACACGAAGATGCCAAGAAAAAGAGAGAGCAAGCTCTCGAAACAAGGAAAGACGCTGGTCTCAAACATGTTATCATATCAGAAAAAGTCGATAAAAAGGCCAGTGTCTCACTTAATACTCCTCCAATCCCTTTGTTCGTTCTTAACCATCCGATCTCTTGCTCACATAATCTATATTTTGACAGGCTGAGAAACTTCATACAAAGACACTACCTTTCCCTTACACATCGAAGGAAGTTTTTGAACATAGTATGCGTATGCCTATAGGACCTGAGTTTAATCCCACGACTATTGTTGGAGAACTAAACCGACCGGAGGTTCCTTTTCATCACTTTGTTAAACTCTCAGTAGTACCCATAATGTAGCATTTTCTTAAACCTTGGTTCGATTAACCTATGTGTGCAGGTTGTGAAGAAAGCTGGGGTGATCATTAAACCTGTCAAGTTTGAGTAAGTAGGTCCTAATGAGAAAGCAGATGAGGAACACCCTCGAAGCCATCAGAAACAAAGACCCAAATAGGGTAGTAAAACCAATAGAGGTTGAAGCAAAGTCAAGTCCAGTTAAATGGCCAAAGAATTTTGCATTCTTAAAACTTATCTAGACACAATTTTCGATCCTAAGGAGACATTTTTCTTATTTAAAAGCAAAGTCTTTTTTTGTAATCTGTCTTATTTATCATATAAAAGAGACATTTATAAGCGGCTAGGAATCTTTTATACTTTTTGTAATTTGTCTTAAAGAAGAAGAAGTGTATTTTATACTTATACCTGTGATATATTCTGAAATGTAATAAAGTTTGGTGTTATCATATTTAAGAATTAAGAACAGAAGTAATGATATGTCCATAAAAAAATGTTGGACTTTAAATCCAAATATATTAAGAGAATTCACATGTAAAAAATTCTTTCAAATTTGGTGAGGAGCAGCTATTATGGTTTGGTGCTTAGGTGTTCTTTTACCTTTCTGTTATTGTTTTATATTGATTGATTTTTTTTTGCTGATTAATATACATTATACTTATGGTTTATTAAACTATGCTTCCTCAAAATTTTGAGAAAATTGATAGTGGTATGACAAGAAATTTTACTTAATATGGTTTGAAATAAGAAAAAAATGACTATTTTCTGCAGTAACAGTAGATTCAGTAAAAAAGATTTATTATCTATATGTACTTGTAAAAATTAGAGTATTTGCATTCTTTAACTCAAATTAATGTCGTATTTGCAAAAGTAACAAAGAGAAACTTTTATTACTATTTATATTTTTAAAATCCCATTATACCCTTTCTTTCATTCTCTCTCATTTTTCTTATTCTCTCTCCTTTCTTTCCTTTCTCTCCTTTGCATCCCATTTTTCTCTTTCTTTCTCCTTTATCTCTTCATCTTTCTCTCGTCTCTTTTTCTCATTTCTCTCAGAAGCTTTTCTTCTCAATCAAATACAATCTTCTATTGTTTTTGTTTTCTTAGTGAGTTTTAGGTGTAAAATTTTTGAGATTTTAAATTAATTTTGATATCTGGGTTTATAGCGATTACTATTCATTCATACATTAAGTTTTCTGGTGATTGAAGATAAATTGTAGAATCAATATTCTTCTCATGAATATTGATACGTTAATCTGAAAGTTAAAAAATCAAGATTTTAGTTATCTTGTTAATTAAAAAGTTACAGCTATATCTAAACGTTTATACCATACAATAACATGTTAACAGTTAGAGATAATATATTAGTTAAACAGAAAATGATTAAGCTATCGTGTTAAAACAAATGTTAGAGATACAATATATAATTTAACGTGTTACAATCAAATATAACTTGTTACAAAATCATCACATCTACAAAAAGGTTGATGTTCCAACAAAAAAAAACATGAAAGTTAACCGATAACAACTATGTTATCGTACTAATCAAAATGTTAGCAATAAATTTATAAATTTTACATGATACAATAACTTTTAATATGTTACAATACCATGTAACTTGATACTATAAAATATATCCACATCATCTTGGTTTTTATAACCTAACTGAATTTTGTCCGATTTTTACCAAATTTTCACCCAGTTCTTTGTATGATTTTGTACTGAATTGTTGAGAATTGTCCAGATAAATTTTAAAAATGCTGTGAGTTAAAAAAAATGTTCGTTGCTGAATAAAGAAAAGAGGAAAGAGAGAAGAGTAGAAAGAAAAAAGGAAAACAAAATTCTAAGAAAGAAGAAAGAGAAATGCTTGTTCTTTTCTTTAGGAAGGTAGAGAAAAAATGTTGAAAGAAGAAAGGAGACGAGAGGTAAATGGTAATATAACATTCTCATATAAACAGTGACGGAGAAATTGTGTCACATCAGTGTTACCTTTTTAATTTTAATGCTTTCTATGAATATTCGGCTTATTGACTCTAAAAATTATTTATTTAGTGAAACCTAAAGTTAAATTTTTGTTTTCTTTTTTTGTTTTCCAATAGTTGTAGTATGCTGAATATGTGTGTCCTTGTTATTTCTTCTAAATTTTTCCCTTAAATATTCTCGATAAGCCTGAAGAAAATAAACTAAAATAGGCCGGTCCAGACCAGAACATTAAACAACAGATCACAAAATCCTTAAACCCTAAACCCTCAGAAGCTGAATCCGAAGTGATAGAGAACCCATCCGAGTTGGGCAGTCAGTGAAGCGGAAAGTAATCTCATTTGCAGGAGAACTACAAGTACACGGCGAAGACGGCGAGGTCGAGAACCATGCCTCATCGTCCATTTCGCTTTCTAGAATGCGTTTCACAAAACGAATAAGCCTCTTCCTGGGGCACACGACCAAGTTTCCTAGCCGCGCTCTCCTGGGAAATCCATCTCTATGCAGGTCCTATATCGTTGGGCCGGTCTCTAGTTCGCCGACGACGTCTCTGATTTCGACCTGTAATGGTGATAGTGTCACGGGGTTGTTCTACCCGATATGTCGTCGTTTCATAGGGTACACTGCAGAACAGTTCTCGGATGATGAGTACGAGTGTGAATTCGAGGAACATAAGGTTCGTGTTTTCTTCAAGTTGGGTTAATGGAATCAATCAGCCTTGGGTTTTCGGAAAGCTTAAAGCTTTGCGCTTTTGAGGCATTTGGTTCAGAAAGTTAGAGTACTGGGGTTGGGTTTATGCTGATGTTCTGTGTTTTCTTGATGCTCATCATATTGATCTTCAGACAATAAAGTTTCTCTTTTTGTGAGGATGACTATGTAAATGAGAGCTTTTTAACGCTTTTTTGATGCCTGTAGATCGTCATAGTCAATAGTCAATATTTCTTCTCTTCTTTTTAACGGGGGAAATGATTTAATACAATGGCATAAACTGGTTTTATAGGCTTCGTCTTCTGTGGCCAATGTTGATGAGTGGAAGTGGAAGCTAGGCATTCTGTTGGCCAATGATAGCGAACGAGAAATTGTTTCTAGAGACAAAAGGGATCGAAGGGATTATGAGCAGATCTCAAATCTTGCCAAGAGAATGGGACTGTACAGGTATAAAAAGCAGACCTTTTATCAAGTCAATCTCCTATTTCTTTTCATGCGCTGTGTGTTAACCTAATTCCTGTTTATTTGGATTTTTGGTTCCAATTAAATAGTGAACTTTATGGAAAAGTGGTTGTTGCAAGCAAGGTTCCTCTTCCCAACTACAGGCCAGATTTGGATGATAAGCGACCACAACGGGAGGTAAAAGTTTCTTCCTTGGTTTACCATTACCATACGGCACAATTTGTTTGTAGTTTTATGCTCAAGTTTTAATGCATCTCATTGTGCAGGTGGTACTTCCTTTGAGTTTGCAGAGAAGGGTAGAGGGACTCCTCCAGGAACATCTTGATAGACAGCAGCTAAACTCAGGAAAAGCTAATGAAGGCGTAGCTGATTCTCAACCTCCTAAGCAGACTGAAGAACTTCCTGATGAAAGCTCTGATTCATTTCTCGATGGTTCTGTTATGGAGAAGGTACTTCAGAGGAGGAGTATGCGGATGCGCAATATGCAGAGAGCCTGGCAGGTATTACTGAATCATCTTTACCTATGGCTTCATTACATTAAATACGTTTGACTTAAGAAGTAGTTTTTTGGTTGAGTAATAGGAATCACCTGAGGGGCGTACAATGCTTGAATTCCGGAAATCTTTGCCGTCATTCAAAGACAAAGAAAGACTTCTTCAAGCAATTGCTCGGAACCAGGTGAACTTTTAGAGATAATAATCTTTGCATTGTTATTACAATGGATGGAAGTTTACTTTCGTTGTGCGTCTGCTGCTATCTGCGTGAATGATGTCTTAAAAAAATTCTCAGGTAATAGTGGTATCTGGGGAGACTGGATGTGGTAAGACAACTCAACTGCCACAGTACATTTTGGAATCGGAGATAGAGTCTGGTCGAGGAGCATTCTGCAGCATCATTTGTACGCAACCTCGGAGAATATCCGCCATGGCAGTTGCAGAAAGAGTGTCAGCTGAGAGAGGAGAACCTCTTGGTGAAACGGTAAGCCAAGATGCTTAACTTTCATATGAGCACCAATTTGAGAATTGTTTGATTACTCTAATCAACACTAACAAATTGTTTAAAGAAGCTTTTTATTCTTGATTTCATACCCAACAGAGAATTTTTGGTAGGTTGGGTTTAAAGTTCGGCTAGAGGGAATGAGAGGAAAGAATACCCATCTTCTGTTTTGTACAAGTGGTATTCTACTCAGACGACTGCTCAGCGATCGCAATTTGAATGGCATAACACATGTTTTTGTTGATGAAATTCATGAAAGGGGCATGAATGAAGGTATATATATTCTAGATATCGAATATATGTTTAGATTTCTGTAAGTTGAGTTTTGTTTATGCCTCTCGTTTCTATGGTTGCAGATTTCTTAATAATAGTGTTAAAGGAGCTTCTTCCACGGCGTCCAGATTTGAGATTGATTCTCATGAGTGCCACTTTGAATGCTGAACTCTTTTCTAATTATTATGGAGGAGCACCTACAATTCACATTCCTGTAAAAAACTGCTCCTCCTCCTCCTCATCTTTGTCTTGACGTTCTTGATATTTGGTATACTTTCCATATTTGATTATTTCTCTATAAAGCCTTGAACGCACAGTTTTTTTCAGGGCTTCACACATCCAGTTAAGGCACATTTTCTGGAGGATGTACTGGAAATGACGGGATATAAGTTGACCTCTTTCAACCAAGTTGATGATTATGGCCAAGAAAAGACGTGGAAAACGCAGAAGCAGTTAATGCCACGCAAAAGGAAAAATCAGATCACTTCTCTTGTTGAGGTACTTAGCTAATTTTGTTTGATATAAAGTGGAAATTCCTAAAAACTATGATTTCTAGCCTCAGATGATAGGTGAAGTCTTACCAACCTATGTTTCTGTTGATGAAGTATGTTTGCTGGGCAGACCAAATCTTCCAATAACATAAACCTAACATTGGCTGTGTTCACCAATCTTTCTTCAAAATTGCAGGAAGCTCTCAGCAAGTCAACTTTTGAAAGCTATAACTCAAGGACTCGTGATTCA